CTTTCCCATTTTTGACACTTACTACAGCAAGTGCAACTGTTGCTAAAGACAATCATGAAACCGGTCTTCAAATTGTTAAAGTTAGTATCGACCTATCCAATGGATATTAATTAATAAAGTTATTAATTTTAGAGCTAAACAGTCCAGTGTCATCGATTCGTAATATTTGTGAAGGATCATTTTTTGGATAGTATAATAATGAGCAGCTAATATTATCTTGATGTAATTAACGCAATCTATATGGGCATGCTGGACAAATGGAGTAATTAGATCAAAATTTTTTATCCAATACTATGTCTATTTATATTGCTAGGGCTACTTAAAGGGTGACAGATTCCTTCCGTATCATATGCAACAAGATACAACGATTAAAGGAAAATTATGGGACTGGATGACAAAAAATAAATGTAGAATTGTTGTATCACTATGTCCATCTAGTGAACTCTCTCAGGTATTTGATGATTTTTAAACAATGTTGCTGGTAATGTACAAATAAAAAAGTAACTTTTCGCCTATCTCAACTGTAAGTAAGATGACAGAAGCATACAGTAAAAGCCGTGCGAGTAGAATTCATATTGTCCATTTTTGATAAATTGATATTACCTGAATGCCCATGCATCTACTCCATGTGATGTATATGATAGAAATGGATTAAGTTGAGACTAGAGAAGCAGAGTCGATCTGTAGGCAGAATTTTTATGTTGGTCATTTTAAATGAATTTATATTACATGAATAGTATTAATCTACTCCATGTTATGTATATGATGGAAATGGATTAAGTTGAGACTAGAAAAACAGAATAGATCTATAAAAAAGGGATAGAAATATACATTAATGGAATAAAATTGTAGTTATCTTATTCATTTCTAGTATTGTTTATTATTTATGTTGGAAAAAAGCGGAATCATCTGCCATTTGAAATCGACGATACCAATGCAACTATCACTGAAGTATATCATAACGAATACTATGTTGTATGGCAGTTGATGACATCGGTTTCATCGGTCAGTTTAGCTCTACTATAGACCCTAAATTTAATGGAGAAAATGTTGCGTTTATTCTTGCCTAAAATTACCTTATTTAATCGATTGTTTTTTTCTTTCCATGCAAGTAGGATATGAACAGTGGCTATACATTGCTCCATTATCACTACCTTGGTTGGAAATGTGATAGCTATCCATATAGCATTGTCGAATTTTTTAATTTCATGGTGGATATCAGAAAGAAAAATAGTTTATTGAATTCTGTTAGTAAAGAGAGTCCAATTGTAATTTGCAGTAGGTAATGAAATGCATTTGAGATGACAGGCTTTAGAGTTGGCTTATACATTAATTTATGGACTTTGATATTATTAAAATGCAATGATAAACGCGTGCAAAATATCATTATGAATTCTTTTATATTACCTACGTTTAGTAATGGAGCTGATGCAAGTGGCATTTATATTGCATTAAATGATAGCATACAGCAGTTGGATGCGACCGGATATATTAATCTCTTCAGAACAGTTAAAAGGATGCAATGTTATCGGAAGAATATTTTAACTTCAGCGGTGAATTGAAATATTAATTTACTGTCTAATTTTTAAATTCTCTCATCAAGGATTTTGATAAGACTAGATTGAGTACTGAACTTGGTTCATTTCATTACTTTTAGACGCATTCAATTGATATTATTGTAGTTTATTTTATGGAATGAATTCATTTATTGATAAACAAGTTAATCGATTTATTTCTTTTCCCTGCTTTGTAATGGATTATTATAGAATGATTACATTTATTGCTACTTGGCTCTTCGATTGTACTACGAAATGCGACAGCAAGGTAAAATAATGCTTTATGTATAGTAGAATGGAATTGATGGTAGAATCCCAAGGGAGGAAAAAAAGCATCCTGGCATAAGAAAGAGAGATTACTCATTGTCGTTCGATACGTGGCATCATAATAATTGAAAGTATTTACAGCCTTTCCTAATCCGCCATTTTGACGTACAGACTCTTAACATCGTACTGTAAATGAAATCGGATGAGCATCTAGTATTCATTCGCGATTCTTTTTAAAAGCCTGCATAGATTAGAGTAATTCGGGAAATTTTCAATTATTGAAAATTAAAATTGGGAAATATTCAACCTATAATTGATGATTTTTTTAACTATAAATTGTATATTACTTCCATCACACTGGACATGTGTGATTATTCGGTTTATGGAAAGAATACCCTTTATAAATGATGTAATGAGGACTTTGACATTCGTGTATTGGTTGATTGATGTAGCAGTTGTATATTGTATAGGAATCATTTTAAAAATGGTTATCACGGCTATGTAAAACGAGAATAAAGTGGATCAATTGAAGACTGATTGAGAGGCTGTAGGAAACGAGTTTGCCAGTTTATTTTAGATGTATGTGTAAGGCATTTGCTGGCCTTGACCCTGATATCGTATCCACTAGCTAAGAAATAGATAGGTTACGGGTTACTGTAATGAAACTGAACAGCAACTGCCATGTTTTGTGGTCTGTTGGTATAGATGCTATAGTGTAGGGCGTAAAATGAACTAAAATTATGGTTATCCTAATAAGTTGGACAACTTTGGACGATTGATTTTTAACGTTGACAATGTGTATCTCATATTTTATTGTTCGATAACGTTTTGAGTACATTACTACTATAATGAATGGATTTGTAATCCCTTGGCATAGCGACTATTCTACGTTGCATAGAGCTTTACTTTGCATCTCTATTCCACTTTGAGCATATTACTATTGTCATGAAATGATTTGCAATCTCTTAACATAGGGACTATTCTACACTATATACTGTAGAGCTTTGCCTTGCCTCTCTATTCCACTTTGAACAAATTACTATCGTTATGAATGGATTTGCAACCGCTTAGTATAGCGATTATTCTACGCACATAGAGCTTTCCTTTGCGTCTCTATTCCACTTTGAACGTATTACCATTGTCATGAAATGATTTGCAATCTCTTAACATAGCGACTATTCTACACTATATACTGTACAGCTTTACTTTGCATGTCTATTGCACTTTGAACAAATTACTATCGTTATGAATAGATTTGCAACCGCTTAGTATAGCGATTATTCTACGCACATAGAGCTTTCCTTTAAGTCTCTATTCCACTTTGAACATATTACTATCGTCTTGAATGGATCTGCAACCTCTTAGCATAGCAACTATTGTATGTCACATAGAGTTTTACTTTGTATCTCTATTCCACTTTGAGCATATTACTCCCGTCATGAACGGATTTTGTAACCCATTAACATAGCAACTATTCTACGTCCAACCTAGTACTTTACTTGGTATCTCCATTTGACCTTGAACACATTACCACCGTCATGAGCGTCTCGGCACTCGTCTACTGTACTTTATAAAGATATCTGCTAGGTAGCTGGAGCACTTATTTCATTCTCAGTAGACGTACGCGGTGGCAATATAGCAACTGCAATATTGTCTCATCGAACCAACAGATGGCGATGGATGATGAGATCTGCTATTTTATTAATTAATCGTCCTAGTCGATCCCTCGCTGGTGCTACTTTGCATGCTTGCACTTTTAAGTTTTAACTTTACTTTATTCCTATGAGCGCAACAGTTGACATCAAGCCATTCAACCTGTGCAATTTCGAGTCCATGGTATTAAATGCCATTAGGAAGAAATAAAATATCGCATGTGTATTTTAATGAGTGAATCTTTTTATACAATTATTTATCTATCGATTGGTATCGAATTAAGGCAGGTATAATGGGTTGAAAAGGCAATCATTTTGAAAATTGATTTGCTTTTTCCAATTTTCGGCAGTACTCCATGCTACTGCGTGTACGTCATGCCTGTCTGTCCGCACATGCCGGATGTCAGGACGAGTGGACTGTCTGCACTCCATTGGCCTATCCTCAATCATGTAGTGTACAGTATCTTACCGACCTACTGTACAGTACAGTATACAGTAGGCAAGATTTTGGGGGTTTTGACTAGTTTTAACCGCGAAGAAGAAGCAAGTTGTAAAACAGTGGCTGGCCACATAGGGTTCGGCTACAACATCGAATGCAGTTGGTTGTGGCTCATGCAGATTGAGCGACTGTCCTTTAGTCAGCCATTTGCCAACTACAACCCCAGGCTGGCTTAAGTTTGCCTCTTCCATAGTATATATACTGTATTTTACTTTGCTGTCCATCCATAGTGGATGGAGGCCTGGCTGCTGGGTACGACCGAACACCGACGTTGCGCAACAAGGCCCTAGGGATTCACACTGCGCATAGCGCACAATGCCCTTCAGCCCAATGAGCCAATGATCGAGAAGAACGACAACAATGCCAGGTATGCAGACTGGTGTTGTTCATCTACAGTACAATGTAGTGAATGAAAGACTGGTCCAGTACAGTACGTACTGTACGTACTGGAAAGTGGAGGGGGGGGGGGGGAGCAAACGGTCGTTGGGTCGAGTAAGTTGGCGCAGGCAAACGTGTGCACTGGTCATTTTAACTGCAACGGTCGATGATGGTCCAACCCAGTCACAGTCTACTAGACCGTGTCCGTCATTGGCGTCTCGTCGAATGACCAGAATGAGCGTTAGCCTGCCTATGATTTGCATTCCACGGCTACTTTTCCTCTTTTCTTCCTTCCAGTAGCCCCCGCCCTGATGACTCGTGTTAACATCAGCCGCGGTGGGTGACATACAGTAGCATTCAGACAAGAGTCGTCCACTCTTTTGTTGTGGTATTGATACGTCATCGCAATCAGGGCTAGTTGACGTAGTGTTGGTGTCAGCGTTCACAAGTGTGTTGTGGTATTGATACGTCGTCCAAATGGGGGCTAGTGGACGTAGTGTTGGTGGTAGCGTAAGGGGGGGGGAAAGCCGGCTGCCACCACCATCCGCTATGGGTATAGTGCAATCATAGGCGATAGCTTTATCCAAACATCATTACACTATTTCATCGGCGATTGCTGGGCCTACGAATGTTGAATTCCTCTTCCAAATGTCGGAGAATAGTAACGGTTACGATTATCTTATTAAATTATTAGCTCTTGGTGATAGCGGCGTTGGTAAAACGGTAAGCATTGATTATCTACCCGTGCTGTGTGTGTGTGAGTGGATGACATGTGTGTGTGTGTGTGTGTATGTATGTGAAGGGGGGGGGGGAAGGCAACACCATGGACAGCCTTGTCGACCGGAGAAGAAAGTATGGCGATATTCCTCCATTGCCTACTGGCATTGGACGTTCAAGACAGCATGGCTGGCCACGGGATTGTATCGATCAACATCACGGATTAAATCCATAGAAAATAAATATCATGAATATCTTATCCCTTGCAATGTTGATTTATGTCAGCAGTCATCATAGTCTGTAATTGACTTCCAATCCGATCATGATTGTCTTTCCAGAATGCAATGACTACCTAGACAAGGAACAGTCATTGACTTAGACCCGCTACCGCAATTCATCATTTTCATGGCCATCATGACAGTCCTTGCTATCAGGGTTTTCCTTTTTTTTCCTTTTTGCGAGAGGGGGCGAGGAAGAAAACTACATCGCTTTCAAACTAGGCATACAGGCATTGAAGTGAGAGTATGTAAGACCCATGTTGAAGGGATTGTTCATCAACTCTTTTAAAAAACAATTGGCCTTGAAATCGACTGTCTAGCGTTGACAAAGAGGAAAGTTATCCTTTGCATTGAATGGATTTGCTATGGGAAAAGGACGACAACCATCGGTATGTTGTTGATGGAGGGATTTATCCACTAGTCTAAGCTATTTTTTTCATTATTCCATCCACTTGAACGCTGCCATCATCAATAGTCTTGATGATCGATTGATGGCCAACCCTGATGGAGAGACATGGCAAAAGAGAAGAGAAAAGGCGTCGACTACGCTGGATAAAATGCACTTTGGTAGTACAATTTCAATGACAATAATAAGTTATTCTTCTTGTCAGATTGTAATATTGTAACTGTCTTGCAGTCTCTTGTCCAAATGGCTTCATGATGGCCGAGTAGAGTAAGATCAAGAAGAACGTTGTCTTCTTGATCCAGTGTGCCATCACAATGAATCATGGCGGCCTTCCATGGCGTAAGCGTGGTTGTTTTCACCAAGACGCCAGTGGAAAATGCTCTTTTTCAACCACAAGGAAACATTGTCAACCCATGGATGCATCATCGATACGCAGTATGGGATTCACGATTGCATTGCTACAAGGTTAATGGCGTAGTGGATACATGTCTTTTCCCTTAACTAAAGCCAATAGAATAAATGGCATAAACAAGTAGTTTTACCCGACAGTAACAAGACACATTTATCCCTTTCTTTCCTTGCCATCAGACGAAAGCGATTGAAATGATCAAGTTGGCCACCATAGCTTTCTCCGTGCCAACGTTGGACATCCACCAAGGTGGCATTTGGACCGAACTACAGTACATTAAATCACTTCAATAATGACAGCAAACCAATTAATGACACTAATCATGATAGGCATATTCTCTTTTATTCAACAAGATAAAAGAATCCACCAACACTAGTCAATAGACGATCAATCTTGATCGACAACTCGCCAAATAGACTTGACTTTGCAATACGATCGGATACAAGTTATTGCAAAGAGTTGTCCATCACGCCATCTTACTTAGTAGACTGGACATCAATCATGCAAGTTGTATTCGCTTTAAAACTACAGTAGAATACTGCTAGAAAGGACGAAATAGATTGTCGACCATTGGCGTGGAAGGAACGATCCATCGACTAGTTGAAATTACAGACGTCTATTTCCCACTCATTGCGTAGACGTGTCTAAAATCCATCAATCGAATTATCCAAGCTTTGCTACAGTTAGAATATCCTTTGGTTGCCATCGATTGTCTTGATCGACGTAATTGCACTTGTTAATCAGAATACAGTCTATAGCGTCCACCATAGACAGCTGTGGATATCTTTTCTTTTCATGTCGACCAGAATCCAACACTCATCATGATGATGAAAGGCGCAATAGAATTATGGATAAAGTGCTTTCTTGACTTGAGAGTACAAACGAAATGAATCGATTGTCAACGCTTAATCTGATTGTAGATCAATTCTTTCTTCCATACCCAACATCCATTGCCAATCAATCAATCGAGTAATAAAAAATGAATAATTCAAGGACTTGATATTTACTACCGATCCATTTCTTCCTTGCAAATCCTCCATACTTGATACAAATGCTGGATAATTATTCTCCGACGTGTATCTTAATCTATCCTTGCAGTGCCTTTTGCACATGCAAAATGCCCTAGTATAACTTTGCATGATTCCTATGCTTTTTCCAACGACATTCCCCTCCAATATCATTCAATGCCTACATTCTCCTTTAACTTTGACAGTATAATTGTTCTTATTTATTGTCAGTCTTGACAGTAAGGAACATGTCTACATGACGTTCAGAATATTGGATTACATGTAATTATTCTATCATTTCTTTGATTGTTTCAATTTTTTTTCAATATTCATATTGCTTTTATTTCTATGCAAGCTTGCATTAAGGCGGATAGCCAAGAGCTGTCGGCACAGGTGTAAAAATCAATATTTTAAAGTCCTACTCAAAATAATTGGCGTCTAGACGATGAAAGGCTCCATCTACATGATCCATACGATAGGCCCTACAAGCGTTCACAACTCAATTAACATCATCGCTATCCACTATTCTTATTTTTGTTGCTACAATTCAATGATTTAAGTGATTTACTCTTCAGTCAATCTGTCAACAGGATGATCGATTATAGAATCGGTTGGTATCGATCTTTATGCTAATTACCTTCTGTTAAAATGGCTGCTATTGTTTCCTGCCTGCTACAATATTCCAACAACGATCGGGCAGTGTAGGTTATCCCTAAGTTTAATGATCCATTCTATGAGAACAAAGTCTATGTTGGATTGTTGAAAGAAAACCCGCAAGGGGATTGATGAATTCGTCTTGGTTGTTGAGAATGGATAATACTCTCTCCAGCACGACCATGCATAGGTCATGATAGACGAAAAAAAAAATGGTCGAATGTGCAGAAAGGTTGTTGGCCTTTCAGCCAGAAAATAATCGAGATCCATGTTGTATTTTATTGCTGGAGAAATACGATATCCTTGTTTTATACCTTATCCAACTCTGTCCTACCAATGTCAGGGTTAATTCGCCCAATAACCCGTTTACTTTATATCGAGTAGAAAGATCAAAAATGATGCGAAAGTGTAGAACAAGGGTAGAGAACGGTTGTGGCTTAATCAAGTAGAAAACTATCGAGATACATGTTGTATTTTATTACTGGAGAAATACGATATCCTTATTTTATACCTTATCCAACTCTGTCATACCAATGTCAGGGTTAATTCGCCAAATAACCCGTTGACTTTATATCGAGTAGAAAGATCAAAAATGATGCGAAAGTGTAGAACAAGGGTAGAGAACGGTTGTGGCTTAATCAAGTAGAAAACTATCGAGATACATGTTGTATTTTATTACTGGAGAAATACGATATCCTTGTTTTATACCTTATCCAATTCTGTCGTACCAATGTCAGGGTTAATTCGCCAAATAACCCGTTGACTTTATATCGAGTAGAAAGATCAAAAATGGTGCGAAAGTGTAGAACAAGGGTGGCTTATTAACTTAAAGGTAGAGAACGGTTATAGCTTACTCAAGGAGAAAACGATCGAGATCTGAATTGTATTGGATTGCTGCAGAAATGCGATATCCTGTTTATACCTTGTCCAGTGCTGTCATGCTTAGGTCAGGGTTAATGTCATGTAGAAAGATTTAAAAATGCTGCTCAAGTGTAGAAGAAGGGTAAGGGTAAAGAACGCTTGTCCCTTTCTGATCAAGGGGAAAACTATCGAGATCCATGTTTTATTTTATTGCTGGAGAATTGAGAATACCAGTACGGTAGCAAAATCAATATCCTATCGTCTATAGCAAATATATACTTCATACTATATAGTCAAGAATCAATTATGATGCCCACATTGGTTTGTCTCGCCATATGTTTTTACTTTTATATCAAGATCCAAGTAGAAAAAACTCTTTTGTCGGCAAGTTAAACCATTCAAATTGACTAGTAGACGAATATCAGTCTTGAGAAACCATGATAATATTTATACTATCCTATTGGAGGTGGGATACATGTACAAAAAATAGATGATTACTCTTTAACGCTAGCCATAACTGCATTCCATGTAGTCATCATCCTATTCTATGGAGTTCTTCATTGCGTATCTTGGCCATGATGAGAGAATTGCTATAGTAGTCGGAATGGATTAGTCCAAAAAAATGATTGCTTCTAGAAGGGTATACAGTATAATTATTCTTGACTGTAATACTACCATAAAATAGTCCAAATCACGTCTAAAATATCTTCCAATTGGGTAAGAAAAAGAATTGCAAATCTCTTTTTGGCCTTTGGACATTTTGATATCCTGCGCATTTCACCGAGGCTAATGTTAACACGTATGTTAGCATAAGCAAATCAATCCAATGGCGGCAGTAGACATGTCTAAGTTAAAGAATGAAAATATTGAGAAATGATGATTTTAAAATAGAGTTGGCGTAAAAAGGCCGGTTGCAATCCATAACTAGAGCTAATTTTCCCGATATAGTCTGTCTATTGCTACCGGCTTGATCCAATTGTACAATATTGGAATAGATGAGCCTTACTAGCAAAATTGGTGGGTATCAAAACATTTTCAATCACTTGAATTCCTTGTATTGGATTGTAATCAGATCCAAGAATGAAGTTTAAACAGTTTCTTCTACCTCATTCTAATAATGACTAATCGAAAGCAATTTTACTTCAGTAGACCATCAATTTTCCTCATTAGAATGAATCTCCTGTTCCTCTACAATTGTCGTGTAGCAACACTACAGTTTACACTAGAAAAGTTTTTCTACTTTCCACTTCTCTATGATAGACTCAAACCTACAACAACACTAGCATAAAGGATAACGATGGTGGCATTACTAGCTAAGGACTATTTTTCTAGGACATCAATTGATAGAGTATTAGACAACGTTAACTGATTTTTTTTTTTCATTGCCTATATAACTGGCATTCGAGTTATGTATGTGGCAATGCCAAGGTACACCATGACTACAATATACTGTAAAATTGAAGGTCGAAAATAAAATAATTAATTACCCATCGGGAAATATCCATTGGATACGACAATCATGTTGGGTTATGCTCTACTATTACGGACAGTATCGATGAATGATCGAGTTCATTTTTGCCACTGCTTTACTTTACTATATACAGTAATGAATATATTCCAACAGCATCTTTGACAGTTTCGAGATACGCCAACACTGGTGCAATAATTAATCGACTGTCATGATTAACAACGATCAAGACAAACGCTTATGGAATAGTATTACTGTAGAAGGGCATGGGCTATAAAATGGATCATCATTTTACGTTAGAAAAATTGGAAATGAAGCCTTTGCAAACGGTAAACCATGGCTACGAGTGATCCAATTCTTGTACTCTAGTCGCAGAATGAATCAATTGTAACAAGAGGATAAAAAATATCGATTATTCCTCCACATATGAATTCAAATAACGCATTGGAAGAGTATCGAAAAACGGCTACTATGTTAACAACTTTTCGGCACGCTTGTCCATATTGTACAGCACTAATTTCACGGAGCCAAATTAAAATGTCTGCTATTGGCATGAAAAGGTGGCGTAATTTCTCTGTTATGGATAGAAACCCCAATTTCAAATTGCCACCTTCAATCAAGAAAACTACTATACAGTATATACAGTAGTTTAGTACCATTACATTGCATTTTACTTTCCCATTTCTTTCTCTCTCTGTCGTCTATTTATTATCTTTCTCTGTCATAAAATAATCAACCACACAGTAGCTTATAACATGCTTATAATAGTCAATACTCAGTAGTACAATGTAAGAGTAAGATAGGAAGATTTTTGATTCAATAGCGGTTTCCATCGACTATCCAAGTCGACTTATTCAATAATAAAATCTGTCATGAAATTTTTTCCCCTCAATTCCCTGCCACCGCAATGGCCTTCATCTAGACATACCACTAACACCTTCATAATCAACGTATTTGCTGCTAGCGAGCGATAGGATGACCAAATCATCTGTATTGACAATTTACTTTCCGTTGTCCTTCAATTGATTTTTACAATTAGGTGATGAAGATATTGGAGATCTACTGTGGTCTATCAGCTCTATTACTGGAGATTTTTATACAAATTTTATTGCATAAAGCGATAAATAGCGCTTGTTGACTATGTTACGGCATGAGATACTGTTTTATCCTTGACGATAAATTAATGTTGGAGTAGTTGGTGTGATTAGTGAAATAAGTATCTAGGATATGGAAAGCAAGCCAGCTAGGTATGCTAATACAGGTATGGCAATTCGTCATACCAGTCAATAGGATGTCAGAAAAGATATCAAGCCAGTTGGATAGGCTAGTACAGTCAATTCTAGTGATTGGTAAAAAGAGTTAATAGGGTATCAGAAAAGATATTCAACTGGCTAGATCGATTAATATAATTTTGGTGATGAGTTATGCAAGAGCGTTAAAAGAGATGTCAAGCTGGCTAGGTATGCTAATCCAGTTCTGGGTGATGGTCATGAATTAGTTTAACCCATGATAAATGTCGGGAAAGATATCAAGCTGCCTAGGTAGGATAGCACAAATTCTGGGTAATTGTAGTTGATCGAGTAAATAGGATATCGGAAATGATGTTAAGCTACCTAGGCCATGTTAGTACATATTTTTCCAACATCCTATTGACTCGTATAGTAGATTAGTGAATACTGTAGGAGTCTCAATAGGATGTTGGAAAAATATCAAGCGAGTACAATTTGAGGATTGGTAATAGGAATGATAGCTGTCGGGTAAAAAAATATCAAACTGGTTAGGTACTCCATGATACTTTGACATTCTACACACAGTATGTGATGATCATTACAAGTAGACGGGTAGTATTTTCTTCTACGCGTAACTACGCTTAGATAGAATAAATTTTCATGTGGCAATACAAAACCAAACCGAGTTTTAAAAGTTGCATTTTATTATTGACCGTGAATTGCTATTACAGTAAATACAGTCACAGTAGACGTATACAGAAGGTAAATAAAGTCTGTTGTTTCCCAAGTTCTTCTAACCCTCCAAAGAAATCATTACAATCGGCTATTCATCGGCTGATTAGAAAATGCAATTTTTTTTTCTTCAATATTAAACGATATATGAATAAATCGACTGTAGAATAGATTACGGTATATCTTGATATAGGAAGATAACCGTTAAGTTGATAAATGGACTTGAAATTTATCATCCGTTCAAAAACAATAATTATTTTAACAATTTTCTCTCTTCATTCTTTCTTCTTCCAAAATCAATAGCAACAATTTGTAAAGTTCACTCATTTTGATTGCTTTCAATTTGACCTATAGAGTGTGTTATACCAATACACGGAAGGAACATTTAATCCCAAATTTATATCAACAGTGGGTATTGATTTCCACGAGAAACGTTTGGTAAGTAAAAATATGATTTAAACACCTATGAATTCTTCTAGCTAGAATATTTTTCTAGCTATCATTGGCTTTAGAGAGTTTTTGATGTACATTTTTTTGGGGTATGTAAAGAATAATTGTTTAATTGAATAAATTAAAAGTGATATAGGATTTCAATAAATCGATGATAATACTATAATATGATAGAGTAACAATGATTGCCTCAATTTTATTTATTTATTATTTTATGGAAATAGAATAATCATAATGTATATAAATATTATTTATCATCTCTGTAACCATAATATTGCTTTCGGCCGTAACGAGATGAGAAATGAATATTACTTTTTTGCGCTGATCATCATTATACCATAGCTAAATACTATAGGAGACATGATATTGAATGATGGATTCTGCTACTACAGATAGTATTAAATGTCTTATCTTGTACGTTCAAACAATTGCAATAATTGAATGGAAATCTTAACCTATTTTTTTTACCTTTACAATTTAAAATACAGAATAGATGCAATGGGATAAAATCGAGATTATAAATACTGGATAATTAATTACGTTATCTTATATTTAGGAATCTACAATTGATTAGTCAGACACCTTTTACTATTTATGATCATCAATCATTTATACACTATACTTTTAAATATTAAGCCAAAGTACCACCGAGTAGAATAGAGATTCTATAAACATACTGTAATGGCTGTTCGTCAAACGTCAGATACATCTAGATAGATACCTGTCTTTCTAATATACGTGTAAAATTTGACTTTATAAGCTCTGAAATGGTATATCTTATAGCACTAGATAGCATTTATGCTTGCTAGTAGGCATGACGTTATATTAGCACATCTATAATCTTACTGCAAGTGTGCATTACTTTACGTAGTATAAAAACACATATGTAAAAATTGTAGAAATTTTAAAATTTTTTGGTAACTACTACACGGTAATAACTTATTTACAGTCAGATCTACAGTACTATTGTTTTACGCCACGTTCAATACATAACGGTCTTTGATCAAAATTATCCCTGTATGCCAGCTTAAAAATGATCTTGTATACATTCGTTTTTTATGTATTAAAGTCTAAAATTATATTTCTGTTATCAATTTTAATTAGGTTTACAGACCTCAGGGCGGTACCGGAAGAGGTCAACGTGTGCATTTACAATTATGGGATACTGCAGGACAAGAAAGGTATGCTGTATTAATTTAGTAAATGTCAAGTATATAGAATTCGTATTCAGGATCTTTATAGACATACTTTGGTAATTTCTAATAATTCCTTCATTGAATGTATAAAAGTGTAATAATGTATGTATGTCATAACCCACCTTTTGACTATGCTAAACACGAATTATTACGATCTTTTCAATAATATCTATTAATCTTTATATGTTTCATCCTTTTTTTGCAACAGTTTCATCATTTCATATTTCGTAGTTATCATTTTATAAACGTGTAGCAATTTGTATGTAGTAGATAAATCGAATTTTTACCTGTAAGATGCTATCACAGCTCTTCAAAAAGCATCCTGTAAACAGTTATATATTAATTTGCTTTTTAGGGATCGAGTTAATACTAGTACAATTATTTAATATTTAAGCTGCATGTCGTCACTAACCAAGATAGATAAATTGGCTCTCTGTGAATAGCCTTGTATATTGTATAATCCATATTGTAATAGATTGTACTCTTATTTAAAAATATCAGTAAACATAAGCCATAGTAACAGAGCAATATAAGCGTTTATCTTTAAGAAACCTATAAAGTAAATAATCATAACACTTGCTGCAGAAATTGATAAGACTTGTTTTTGATTTCATTTCAAATTTACTCTCAGAAAGCAATATATTAATTATCGTACTTTCTTTGTGTAACTAATTTCATATCTAAGCTAAAGCTTGAATGTACATAGGTATACTGTAGTAGTAGCGTGGATACAGAAATGCAAACGTTTATTACGCGCTTAGCTATCATTGCTTAATTACTTGCTGATTTTGCTGGAGCTATTCAATTTATTTATATTGATTTTTATGCCTTTTTTTTGTGTACAGATTTCGCAGCTTAACAACGGCCTTTTTCCATGATGCCATGGGATTTTTGTTAGTATTCGATTTAACTAATCGCCAGTCCTTTCGTAACATTCAAGACTGGATATCTCAGCTGCAAACTCATGCATATTGCGAAAATCCAGAAGTAGTGCTTATAGGAAATAAAATAGATTTAGCAGAATCTCGAGAGATTGCTGAAGATGAAGGTAAAAAGTTAGCTCGAGACTTGGGAAATGTGGAATATTTTGAGACAAGCGCTGCTAATGGTATTAACATCGATAAAGCTGTTGATTGTTTACTTCATAAAGTCATGAAAAGAATGGAGACGACTCTAGATAAGTCTAGTCTACCTGTGGTACCAGGCAAACGACCTGAGGACGTCAGGACACTTGATCACCAACAAGTAGATGCAATTGAAAATGATCATTCTTCTTCATGTAAGGCTTGCTAACCGCCTTGTTTTCACATGTTTTATTAGTCCTATATCCTATTTTCACATATTATCCTTTCAGTTTGTTATCACTATTATGTTAACTTGATACTATATACATACCAACCGTATTATTCAAATTACTTATTATTTAAGTGATAACTGATACCATCAAATTTTTTGAATTATCGAATATCATAGCATATGGACTAGAGAGCGAATCTTTTAGATTCGTAGCTTTATCGAGTATAATTTGTCATAGTTATAAATTGGTTAATAATCAATTAATAGTAAAATCAGAAGAATATTCGTGTTATAATGTGCTTTTACTTAGTTTTATAGGCATTACTATCTGTTTCTCTCTCTCTCTCTATATATATATATATCTGCCTACATATATATATTTACGTATATATTATATACATACCGTATGTGCATGATGTATGATATTATTGTTATACTAATATTACTACATCAACGCGTCCATCATGACGATTTCTGATTGCCCGTACTATAATAATAAGGCTTCTAAATACGTGTATTTACCATGCGAGTATAGTTTCGTAAGTAGACTACATAGCAAATTCCTTCGTAACAGCCCTACTGTCCAATAGGTGATTTTGTTAGCAATCTAACCTGTTCTAACTTAACCAAGATAGTTATAAAGTAATGATATCGATAGCATGCTTTGCTTAAAATTTGCTATGTAGTGAGTGCAACATTCTTCTGGCTATCATTTAAGATTAGGTTAAAATTTCTTTTATTGAAGCCTTTGCTATAATGTAGTATGAACCTTAATACAACGATCTGATTAGTCATATTCATTATTGCTATATTATTTCTTGAAAATTTGTTATAATTAGGGTCATGTAAGTTAAATATTGTTTCAAATATGGCTGAAAATTTGCTATTTAATATTATTTATCGTAAAATTTTGCAAATAACGCAATCGTAACGAAGTTGTTTGCGGCTGTCAACTATTTATATTATTGCACAATCTGTTGAAATTGCTACTAAACTGTTCATGGATGGTGATAAAGTTATAGATTCTCCAATCTGTACTTTATATCTTGTGAGCTATCAGTGCAACGTGCTAATTTTACCTGATCAATTCGCATCATCAAATTTGGAAACATCTTAATATAAATTGCGGTCACACATAATTATCTTTGGAAAATCATTTTGCTATTCTAGATAGAGTAGGATCCTAAAATTTGAACTGATCTACAATATTTATTTTGGTATTATTCGTGGCCACCCCAAGAAAATCTTCAATGCAAATGCTTTTTCCGCAACAGCCAAGTTATTGTCATATTTATGATGAGATAAAAATATATATTCAGTGCATCTAGCCATGGCAGTTTATAATTCTTTACCAAGACTTGCTTTCTAAACTGCTAAGCGTTTAGGGTTACGCTTATAATCATAATAGTTATAGCAGATCGATGCATCTGTATCGAATAAAATTGCACCTTAACCATTGATATAAAACAAATTATTGTGTGCGTTGTGCTGTTTTTGTGTATTTATTGAAGTTACTTCAGTCGAAAGCTAATTCATTAGCATTATAGATTTCACATGATGCGATCCGCTTACTTAGTTGAATAGTGAAACAAAATTCCATAATGTAATTTAAAGATTGAGCTAGCCATTCTAAAATTTATGGAATACCGAAGGTTTTCCATTCAGAATTTCGAGACAGCAGCTTTGCTTTTACTTTAAATATATAATTTAATGCCTACTTCAGCTTCTTCATTAGTTATCAAGTATGAACTGACAAATTCATCTACTTGAACAGCGGCCTACCGCAAAGTTAGATATGCGACCTATATACCCATAACTTTCCAATCGTGAGGGTTTATTACGATTGCAGCACCGCTAAATGATGATTATAATCATACGTGTTAACACTCTAAAGTTATAAATAACGTAATACCGTGAGATCATTAAATGCATTATTAAGAATATAAATACTACCATGCTAGTATATCAGCGTGTTATAATCACAGCTAAATTAATAGATACGTCGTACAGTACTATAACTATTTGTTCATTACCAAAAATAATAATCTTCAAACATTATTAACGAAATAATCCTTATTCTACTACGTGCTAATATTGTGCAGTCAATTACTATCATACTTTAAATCGTATCTATGGTTCCGGGAAATAACAACTGCCTACTGCAGTATTTCTCTGGAGTTAGAGAAATTTTATCATACATTTTCTAGCTGTTCAAATTATAAAACAATGATATCAAATCAATTTCATATACACTAGTATTTCAACTTGCGCTCTGTCTATCCGCTAGTATACAATTTTTGATTCAAATATTACAACTACGTAAAATCCATTCAAGTGAAACGTACATACATACTTGTAGTACAGTACTGTGGCTTTTCACTACAGTAGTAACAGCGATTCAAATTTAACGAAAGCAAGGCACAAATAATTTTTCATATAAGATATTATTAATAGTGGTAGTAAAATTCTATAATGAAATATCCATTATTGTCTCTAAATGGTGAGAATTGCTTTACCAAAGCCACAATCAAATTAACTTTTAGTCACAAGTATAACATCAGCCTAGTCCAAGTTAACAGAGCCATAATAAATCTTAGATAATTATTAGGACAATAATATCCAATATCCAGAATTATTGCGTTTGTTGCAATAATAAAATATTTACTTTAAAACGTCATAGTAATCGAGAATAAAATCAGCAAGAAGGATAAGGATGAGTGACCGGCGAAAAAAAAGTCTGAGTAAAAATTTGATCGCGTATGGTTTACCAACTATACCGTCAAATTTATCAAGCAAATCTCTAAAATTGCCTTTGGTAAGATAAGAATAAAGCAATCGACAATTTACACTAAAACAATACAGAAATACATAATATTAGTTGTGATAGCTTCAAGATAATTTCAACTTAGGCGGAATTTTCAATGAATCGGGATGCCACTTCTTTGACTTGTCGATATAGATTGTCAGCTTTCATCATAATTTCTTCGTTGGCTTTATATCTTCTTAACTGAGTATAGTTTTATTGAAGACCAGATTTAGAAACACATTACATACAATAGAAAGTAAAGTAAACTAGGCTTGCTACCTTTTTAATTGTTAATATTAGGTCTTTATTTTTTACGATCGCCTCGGCAGATAAATTGGTCACTTCAATATCGTTTAGAATGCTTATACAGCGATTAATGTCCTATAATTAATTATATAACCACATTGGAACAATTCAAAAAATTTTGACAAAAAGATTTCTAGTTTATTTATCATTTTTGCACGATCTTGAGCCACTAAAAATACCAATCCTAAAATAATTATCAAGAATCACTTGTTTATATAGTAAGATATACCGGTGAATCAACTCTCATCGATTCTCTTAGCGATAGAGATAGTCTCTTCAAATGTGAGTCAGCTGTTATTGATGTAGGAACTTCCTTAGTCTGAGGTACTGACTTATCGGAATCAAGTGTAGATTTCATATCAGCTTTGGCTCGAGTCATTTCATTACGAGGCTCATTACTCTCAGAATCACGTTCTTTACTTTCATCTATAGTACAATAATTGAAAGAATTGTATGATTTTAATTTAATCGATAAGCCGATAGATTTTATTCATTTAGCAACTAATATAGATAACCTTTTATCTGTTTCTTTCCTTCCATTTTGCGCGCTAGTAATTCTTTCTTCTTTCGTTCTTTAAGGGCTTGTTTTCGCTTTTCCTTTTCAGCTTCCTTTTTAGCTCTGATATTGAGCGTTGTGTTACGTATTAATACTTGGTATTATAAATCCATGCAAAATTTTACACAGAATGAAATAAAACTCTATATATTGTCGATATATCATTTGGTACTTACATTTTTTGCTGAAGCTTTTCAGCCTTACGCTTTTCTTTTTCTACTTTCTTTTGCCCTTCATCTATCCATCAATATTAGTAATTTAAATTGTTTTAATCAATATCTACAACTAAAGGTTATTCCAATCTTAATAGCTTCGATAACTAATACTTGCACCATGCATTAACGTACAAGAACTGTAATATTTTCTTACTTTTATCGTCTTCTTTTCCATTGGTGTGGCCGCTATTATCCGTTACAACACTAGCTGTGCCAGTACCTATCGAAATTTTGAGTTTTATACCCGCGGTTGCTGACTGACTATTCTTCTTACTCTTTTTTTCACTATCTTCTTTTATAGAACGTTTTACTGTATAAATGAAGAAAGTCAGACTTTAATCGATTAAATCTTTAAAAGTAGCCGGTACACATAGCAGAAGAGATATTCTATGAGCGCATCCAAACGTTCGATGATCTAGCGAGTTGTTTACGTTTTGAAATACAACGACTACGTAGATTTTATAATAGTTAACTGCTACTTCTTTCCAAGTAAAATATAACTTTATCTCATTAAAAGCACAAAGTGATCCGTTCTAGATTATAGATCATTTCACTTTATTGCTAATACCCAGAGAAAAGAGCTACCGTAATGACCACTGCAGCACAGAATATAGCATAAGTTCGTCAAAAAATGGAAGAGCTCCAAGATAAATTATTAATTTTACGTAATATAATTAATAATTATCATACAAGATAAAAAAATGAAAAAAAAATTTAATCTGAAATATATACGTATTCTTCTACTCTATCTCTGTTAATTAATACAGATTCGAGTCCAATTAAAAATATGAAATTGTACCATAGATATCAATCACAAGGTCAATATATTAAAAATGATACTCCAATTACTATTTTTACTACACTGCTAATTTTTAAACCATTACTACAAGTACAGTACCGTCTCCAGGGTGCTCTTCATCAGATGACACATCAAATCTACTTTGATTCTCTTTTCTCACAACATCCATCATTTTCGACGTAATAAGACCAAATTGTGAATTTTTGCCTTCACCAGTAACTTCATCAGGCGGTTCAACGTCATCTGACTCATTATATACAGTTGTTTTAAGTTTTTTTGAAGTAGTTTTAGCTTTTGATTTCGCTTTTCGTTTAATAGTTAATTTAGGAATGGATTCTTTGCTTTTTTTAGTCTAATGATGTCAGAGAGAACAGGCACATTGGTCAATTAATATTTCTTTATAATTATTCATTGGAATTGTACATTGTGAGGATATATCCATTTCTACCTAGATCATCTTACTATAGATTATAACCGTTTAAGTACATAAAATATTATTTGAAAGTTTTCAAAATTAGCGATCACTACAAATTATTAGTAAACTAGTTCTTCAACCCCGAGAAGAGATCCGTAACACCAATAAATATTATTTTTGAAACGCTTAAGTAAGAGGCAACAGTAATCATACAAGTTGTTATCAATAATGTTAATTTCTAGTATTAATTATGAACAAATAGTAGAATAGTGAGAAAATAAAGCACAGCTGGAGTTGATTATTTTAAGCATATGCTAAATTAGAAAATAGGATTGATCTTTACAACTTTTTATATTTAAATGCATAGATTTAATGCTATTCGTTATAAAAATAATATACGTAGCGTTTTCATTAGGTAAAATTTTGTAATACCTTTCATAGATCAACTAAATAATCCTACTTCTTGATATTAATTACGGTATAAAAATATTGACCTGAATATTCTTAATATTGTACTTACCACAGAAACAGATACGCTATCAGGTAAAGGAGTGATCGCATCGTCAGCATACTCATTTGGCTGCTATAATAGCAAGATTGCATTTTCAAGATGGTTAAAATTTTGATAGCATATTAACATGATATTGTTACAATGTAGTCTGGTAAAATCTCCTTGATTAATTTTTAAATGAAGATTAATCAATTACCGTATTATCAGCAGCGTTGTTATCAGCTTCATGCACAGATTTGGTAGTTGATGTGTTTTGTTTGTCTGTTTGGGTCTCGTCAGGTGGATTGCTCTGAAATTCTTCATCTACATCAGCAATATCCTCAGTAGACTGCAATTGCGTAGCATGGTGTTCAATTTCTGCTAATGCTTGAAGGAAAATTTTATTTTTTTTGGATTTTGCAAATTTCTCCTTATTCTTTTCGTATGGAAATACATTGTTAGGCAGTATAAAGCCACTGCAATAGTAGAAAAACAAAAGTAGGAGGATACATTTTAAGTTAGATGAAGTGACTACAATTTAAAAAGAGCGTAAGACAAATACGATGCAATTCATGAATAGAAACATTTGGTTGTGCTAAGCAACAACATCAATTGACATCGTAATTGGTATCATGTTGAAGATTCTTAATCAGATGTTCTACTTTTACGACGCATTTTGTTGACATACGCGTATCTATTGCATATTGATCAATCTTGACGCTAATACGAACCCAGAGGTCGTTTTCTATGGAAATATAGCTAAAATTTATAATTTACAATAAGTACAAATGTGCACTGTATGTAAACATAAATTTAGCTTCTCTAAAACTAGAACACAATCTTTAACATACCTTGTATGTAATCAAGTTAACGTACTCAAGTATACTGGGCTGTACTGAGCAAGCAAATCAAATTCAATTATTGACTATGATGCGGTACTCTATGGTGAAAGACTTGAACTTACACTTCATCACTACCAAAAAAGCGAACAGTAACTTTATTCTTCTTTACACCATTTCTGCTATCAACAAAAGCGGGCCAAGGCGGATGACCTTTAATCTTTGCCCAAACCAAATCCCCATCTTTAAATTTTGAAGCCATGTTGTAGTAGACGTGGATCAAATATAGCTACTGTACAGGAAAAAAATCAGTCAAGAATATGTTCTATTATCATACTGGAAGAAGTAAGAATACTGTACTATTTTAATCGTCTTGCATTTAAGCATCATCTCAGTTATAAATACAATACCACAGAAATTGTTGTACAGTAGATAAAAAGGTTGAATGTTTGACTACTTTGTAGAACGCTGGTCATACTCTACATACTGTATATACTTTAATGTATAGTACAATTCTAACATCCATGCACACAGTGCTCTATACACGTTTCTCATTTCTTTATAAAGTATTCACAATTCTATTCACAAAGCATCGATCGGCACTTTTATTGGCAAAATGCACTACGATCTTGAAGAGTCAATAAAATAGTAATGTATAATATAAACATATCTAATGTAACCTAGATTGATTGGTAAGTTCAACACTTTAACGAAATTGTAGACATTATAAAGATAATTGATCGTACACAACATGAATTGTATAGTCTGCCATTAATTAGACAAGCATTTAAAAATAATGATGAATGATAGAGAAGTTAAGTGTTGCTATTTATTGTACTGTACATATGCTTACACTGCACAGTTTTCAATGTAGTACAGAGCGAACGTTCTAGTAACCGCTAAAATTACTGAATAGTTGGCATTAATCAGTTCAGATATCTGTAAATTTTGTACTGTATATGAGTAGAAAAATAACTTTTACTTTCTTTTGTGAGATGAAGATACCATACAGTACTACGGTGTAAATTTATCAATACACGTAGTCAAGAGAGAGAGAGCACACTAAGCTTCAATACTTTGAGATCTACGTATGCATTGAATAGCACACCGAAGAATTTACGCGTACATACTGTATGATCACTATCGAATTAAGTGGTATTTTTCAATTGTGTAACTGTATTTAATTACAAGTGTTGTTTTAAAGTCATTGCCACCATAATTCTTCTATGCAATACACCCAATTATATGCGTACTGTATATTCTAAATCAAGCGATTTTAAGGTTTTAAATTCAATTTCTTTAGCGTTCTTCCAGTACAATCATAACTTTTGTCATTGCAATTCAATTTTTAGAAAAGGTTACAACTCTACTAGAGAACACTCAAGAAATGTTTGTATTTCACTTCTAAATAGCTTGATTTTGATACGGAAACCTTATTTGATTAATTATTGATGTTGGGTTTGCGTTGGCCCAACTAAATTGATAATAGCGTACGTATGCATGCATCAGGATACAATGTTACTTACTTATGGGTACTTATGGGTGATGAAGATAATACATAGAATATCAAGACACAGATACAACAGTGGCAACACAAGTTGTTGATCTCAAAGTGTAATAGGAAGTATGAATATGGAATATGATAAGAAGGTAGTTTAACGCATGGTGCAAATGACGATGATACCATTCCAATATTATAGTGATTACAAAGTCACTTTTAGTTGGATATGGTTATGAACGCAATTGAAGAAGTAGATTACCATGAAGTTGTACAATGATCGACATGAATCGATTGCGAAGTGGCACGATGGAGGTTGTGAGACAAGGAGAGGATATGAAAGAAGTATTCGATACCCTCGTTAATCCACAAATTCTACCTCGTCGCTCACTATTCGGTAGAACTACCTTCTACTACCTGTTTCTGTACTGCTCTAATTAGTACTAATCTACCCATTGATCCAGTAGAGAATTTGTGATCAACGTACATGTCTAAATTTTACTTTCTAGTTATTTTAGCTCAATTCAGTACCCATCATGGACTACTAGAAACGCATATATCCATGGTATCACTCCATTACGCGTACTTTTGATTCATAAATAATCCCTTGTAGGCTTTTACTGTATGCACAAAACATACGTATAGTACTTCCATCCTGAATTAATTGAAGCAATTTTACGCTTTAAGTTTGTTATGGTCATAACAAGAAATGCCATACCAGTACCAGGTGTTAAAAATAAGAGCAATCTTGTCTTGAAAACAGTACAAACGGATTAATATAAAATTTCATTTGTTCTACTTATTACTCTACGTACATTATTCCCCTTGAATGCAATGCTATTCCTGTAATGTTGAGAAAAGTACAAATTGAATTTATATGCAATTGATGGCATTCAATAGGGAATTCTTTATGAATAGAATGTCGCAAGTTCCCAGTGAATAGCGTGTATACAGGGTCTAAAAGGTAGTGGCCATTCCAGTACTGTAAGACGGAATGTTAAGAGTGATGGAAAGGCTTGATTTGATCACTAAGTGGCTTTTCCTTTCAGTGGTCAATCATACTGCAGAGACAGTATAGTACACTACTAGACGTAGTTAGCAATCCCTCGTTGCACACGAGTATGGTTATACTAGACGAATAATCATTTTTGGATACATGATTGGCTTCAAGTTGGCAAGGAGCTACGTAAATGGTTTACCTGCCATTGCTTTGTCATTTCATGACCGAGATTATGCATGGAGAGCCTTGGTTATTATATGTGATACAGGATTTTGCTATACCTGTAAGAATTCTATTGTAGGCTATGGCTTATACTACACGAATAATCATTCTTTTGACACATGGTTGGCAATGAGCTCCGTAAATGCTTTACCTGTCATTGCTTTGTCATTTCATGACCGAGAGCCTTGATTATTATATGTTATAGAAGATTTTGCTATACATGTATGAATTCTATTGTAGGCTATGGCTTATACTACACGAATAATCATTTTTTGTGACACATCGTTGGCTTTAAGCTGGCAATGAGCTCCGTAAATGCTTTACCTGTCATTGCTTTGTCATTTCATGACCGAGAGCCTTGATTATTATACTGTATGTTATAGAAGATTTTGCTATACATGTATGAATTCTATTGTAGGCTATGGCTTATACTACATGAATAATCATTTTTGTGACACATCGTTGGCAATGAGCTCCGTAAATGCTTTACCTGCCATTGCTTTGTCATTTCATTACTGAGATTATGCATGGAGAACCTTGATTATTGTATGTTATAGGAGATTTTGCTATACCTGTATGAATTCTATTGCAAACTCTAGAGTATCGATGCCATTTCCGTACGTTGAGTACGGAAATGGCGCATTACTTACTAAGGAAAATGTTGCAGACTGTGAACTCTGTGCCGTGACCGCGTACTCTACGTTCTACAGACAGCATGGAAAATGAGTGCTGCTTCCGCACTTGAGTGGAGCCATGGTCTTTCTCAATCGATCCAAATGCATCATGATCACTATTTACCTATTGGCTATCGGTAATATCTACTTTAAATTGATCGTTTTTACTATTATGATGCATCGGCAGCTACTGATGCTACTCTACGCTATGGGCTGTAGACATGAATCCTACAAATGATCATTCAAAATACCGGACATGGCATCCCTTTCTGTATTTGTCTGCTATTCTATGGCGGCTTTATTGACGATGACAAAGTTGAACACTGGATTTGCATCGTATAGTAAAAGTGTTGGAAGTGTTCAACCGATGCAAAACAATACCAATGTTCAAGTCAGCTGAAAGTGGACAGATATAGACTAACTTTCACGTTGAGTGAGCTTACAAGTAAGGAAAGAAAATTCAGTTCATTATCAAGAGGGGAAAATGGATAGCGACGAGCATAACAGTCGCATCGCTGTATGGTACATGTGTAAGTATTGTAGGGTAGAGTATAGCAGCCATTGGCAATGTTATGACACTCTTCAAGCATACTTGCATCAGGGAAAAAGCAGAGTAATAATTAGGGACTACTAAGCCCTTGATAGGATTGTAGCAATGCTGCCCTAACCGCAAGTTCTTGCTAATACTGCAGGAATAGTAGTATACTTGAAAAAGTCAGCAGTAACAATGGTTAGTCATGATATCGTCGTCAATCGATCGGACATGACTGCCCAAGGGATTGAATAAGAAAGGCTAACCATTAGTCCAGTAGGGTAAAGGCGAGTATTTTCAAGGTAAAATAGTCCGAAGAAAAGGAGATGAGATACTGTAAATTGGAATTGTTGTTTGAGGATTGCAACACCATGGTGCTACAAGGTCTAGTCACTAGTGAGTTTAAAGGATAGCGTAGCACTCTACGAGTCCGATGCAAATTCAAGTTGGCTATCGAAAGTGGTCAATCACGACTCATTTTGAGTATCGTCCTTCTTCAGGAAATTTAGTTGCAAACTGAAAATTCAACGTGTATCATTGCATAATGTGCCATTAGTCTCTCTACAATCGACTACATACTGCAAGTAAATTTCAAGTAGTTGCTCCATGTGATTAGAGTAGCGTTTTCATTGTCGTAGCTGACATCTTACGCTACTGCGAGCCTGATGTTGACACATAACGTGATTTGATGGAGTACTTACGTCGTTGGCAAGAGGGAGAGATGTTGCTAGCACAGGTTTTACTTGAAGGCAAGACTTGTATCGATGATATCAGCAAGAATTTGGCGATTCTTGACGCCACTTTACCAGTAGCAATCTCTTGAAAGCAGTAAAATCAATCTTTCGCCAGAAAAGATTTTTTCGCCTATTTGGACATACTATAGGACAGCACAGTCAAGAATCTTCTGCTTCGCCTACAGTCCTCTTCAGCACGACCTTACCGTATGCAGTACACAACACTGTACACTGTACACTGTAGCGGCAAGGAGGGAAAGCTGGGAAATCCACAAAATCACGTGTTCTACAGTACATTGTACACTGTAGGCAGGGAGTGTACTGTACACTGGACACTGTGGCTACTGGACGGTGTCAGCCAGTTCACTTGACCGTCGCTGTTCCCACCACTCGGTCCGGTCCAGTCCAGTTCGAGCTGAATCGCTCATTTTTGAACCCAACCCTTCAATTACGGAACGGAGCCGACGGGTTCTAGAGCCGACAGTTCGGTTCGGAGTCCACCTTGAGCCGTCAGTTCAATATGGACAGTAGTACCTGTAACATTATGATCTTATATAGAAGATGCCTAGTATAGTAATATCCTAATATACGAATACTTATCATATACCGTTTAAGTACTGTATTGTATTACATTCATAATGTACGACATCATGACTACATATAGACGACATGCTATACATATAAAGACATTATCTCAATCCCATCTAAAACCTATAAATACCCTTGTACGCTAACTCGTTAGTCAGTTCCTACATTCCTGCTATCTCAAATACCTTATCTATAACAACCATATCATTGTTAGCCTGTAACTTGTATCTCCATAAAATCCTTTATACCTTCTATCATCGTCTACCTTAAAATACTTTACGCTACTTAAAGAAGATATCATTACAGTACCCGTACGTCGTTATAGACTGTACAGTATTGGAGAAGTCACGGACTTGCGGACGTAAGTTACGGTCTACCGTATGCAGTACACTGTCTGGACTGTAGTGGCAAGGAGGGAAATCAACGAAATCCACATGGTCACGGGTTTTATAGTACATTGTACTGTACACTGTAGAACTACACTGTACACTGTACACTGTGGCCACTGGACGGTGTCAGCCAGTTCACTTGACCGTCGCTATCCCCTCGACTCGGTCCGGTCCAGTCCAGTTCGAGCTGAATCGCTCATTTTTGAACCCAACCCTTCAATTACGGAACGAAGCCGATCGGTTCTAGAGCCGACAGTTCGGTTCGGAGTCCACCTTGAGCCGTCGGTTCAAATATGGACTGAGTACCCGTACGTAGTTATACAGTGAGTACAGTATTGGAGAAGTCACGGACTTACGGACGTAAGTTACGGTCTACCGTATGCAGTACATTATTAAACTGTACAGTATAATAATACATACACATCAAGAATACATAGCCCAGCGAACTTTGATGCTGCTCTTGGCAATGTTACAGCAAGTACTTGACGCTTGGAAAGGGGGCCGTAATTGAAAAGAACATCCAACGAAAGGACAAACTATTTTATCCATGTTTACCATTTTAGGATCTGTTTCCCTCGTGATGGTCGCAAAGGAAGTACGCTACAGAGAGACACCCACCGGACGACCCGTTCCGTTGTAGATCCCTTACCAACGACCAACGGGTAGCATAACGCCATTCCAGTAGACTGCAGTTACAGTACTATGGGGAGTATTTTTGCGCCAGTCGAAATGGGGAAGATGGAGGCATGGACTACTCGTTGTACAGTATAAAACTGTACTGTACTGTAGAACACAGTATGGACAGCCATGACTACGGTTGGACAGACATGCCAAGCATCAAATGATAGTATTAATACAGTATGAATAGTCTACTGTACAGTATAGTACTGAGAACACAGTATGGCATTATAGCCATGACTACAGTAGGACAGCCATGCAAAAAAGCAAGGCAGTATAGCATGACAGGCAGTACGGTTGGACAGACATGCAAAGCATCAAATGATGGTATGAATACAGAGTATGCATAACAGTATGAATAGTCTACTGTACAGTATAGTACTGAGAACACAGTATGGCATTATAGCCATGACTACAGTAGGGACAGTCTTGCAAAAAAGCAAGACAGTAAGGCATGACAGGCAGTACGGTTGGACAGACATGCAAAGCATCAAATGATGGTATGAAACTATGAATACAGAGTATGCATAACAGTATGAATAGTCTACTGTACAGTATAGTACTGAGAACACAATATGGCATGACAGCCACGACTACAGACCTACAGTAGGACAGACATGCAAAGCATCAAGCAAGTCGGTATGGCATGACAGCCATGACTACAGTAGGACAGACATGCAAAGCATAAAGCAAGACAGCATGGCATGACAGGCAGTACGGTTGGACAGACATGCAAAGCATCAAAGGATGGTATGAAACTATGAATACAGAGTATGAATACAGTATGAATAGTCTACTGTACAGTGTACAGTGTACAGTACTGTACATACTGTACTGTATAGTACTGAAAACACAGTAAGGCATCAGAGCCACGACTACAGACCTACAGTAGGACAGACGTGCAAAGCATCAAGCAAGACAGTATGGCTGCCAGAGTCAGGCTGATGACAGCCATGACTACGGTTGGACAGACATGCAAAGCATCAAATGATAGTATGAATAGTCTACTATACAGTATAGTACTAACAACACAGTATGGCATGAGAGCCACAACTACAGACCTACAATTGGACAGACACGCAAAGCATCAAGCAAGTCAGTATAGCATGACAGCCATGACTACGGTTGGACAGACATGCAAAGCAGAAAGCAACACAGTATGGTATGACAGCCATGACTGCAGACCTACTGTACTGTAGGACAGACATGCCCAGCATCCACACGACGCCAGGCTACAGTACCTAGTCGCAGCTACAGTACAAGCTATCCTAAGTTGGACACGTATGCATCGTCGACTCTACTGCACATGCGTGGTGTCCATCTCGATCGCCCCAAGCCAAATCGACGCCTACGACGTTAGCATCAAATCCGCAATCGCTGTTGGACTTTCGCATTTAGTCGATTAATCCATGTACAAAGTGGCCAAAGGATGCTTAAGAACGACAGGATATGGATTACTTCACTATTATTGCTATTGGTTACATGTTCTTGGTGTGTAGAATTAACCTTTGAATTGCCTGACAATTCTGTCGAGTGTTTCTACGAAGATCTAACCAAGAATGGTAAAACAACGCTTGAATATCAAGTAGGTTCTTTGAGTGGATGTCTTACTTTCCACTTTCTTTAATCACGATATTCATGTCTACTCAAGTCGCGTTTTTTCCCCCCCTCCATGACTGGTTCCAATTATCCATGTTAAGCCATTTTAATGCCTACCCTATCGATAGTCATGTCCATTTTTCCATCTTCAAATGATTGGCGTAGTACAATACTGTGCGTATGTCATCATCATAATCGATATCCTAATCAGAAGCCGGGTGGGGTGTCCAAGAAGGGGGAAAAAAAGGCTTCCTCTTCACGCTATAGGCCCTACTTTACTTTCTATTTTCTCAAAAGAAAATCTTATAGTCATTGATCAGTAGTAGTTGTCAGTTATAGCAAGAAGAGGAAATTGCTGCCGACGCTTTGGAGATTGGTATGGACTACATCAAGTGTGACCAATCAACCAAACACAATTTCTCAAATACTGGATTACGCGTACGTCGTCTACGCGTAGTTCTTATAAGAAACAAGGGTCTTTAAAATGAGATCAATCCAACGATATCCATTCTACTCTACAGCATAATCCATTGACTTGATCCAGTGAGACTAAAATCTTCTTCTGAACAATTAAATGCTACTTGTCAAACTCTGTACAGCAAAATAGGCCTTGTATGTTATTCAAGTACCAACAAATTCGTCCAGAAATAAACCATGACCTACTCAATGAAGATGGTTGAGCGATTACAGTGTTAATCCATGGCTTTCATATCATCAAGTTAAAACTTTTGTGTGTAAGCTCTACAAATGCCTGTAGTATGCTTATTCTTAGTTGTTAATCCGCAAAATATCTCGTCACCTACTCGAGTAGAGGAGTACTCAATAACAATTCTGCCAATCATTCCTTCCAATTAGACCTTACTTGTTGGACTATTAATGCTTTCACAGACTTTACCGTTCTCGACCGTATTTCAAGTTTCATGCCTGCTATCCAGCAGGTAGTTCTAGTCAATCCATGTCCTTATTGATCACATAGAGCCAAATTGATACGTTATGTTAATTGTATAAATGCTATGTATTCACAAAATTGAATGCTTTCTGCTTGCATGAAGTCAACATTCGTGGAATGATAAGCTCTGTTAGTTTGTCTTGTCTAGGACAGTGTATGGCTACAGTGTCGTCAAGGATTCATCGTTTAGTAAGCCTGGATTTTGAATTTGAAGCAATGGCCTATGTCAGCATTTGTACTGTATAATGTATCCCTATATCAATCACGATAATGGATCTACTTGTTCAATGTCTATATATAATGTTAACGAGAGCATGGACCACGAAACTATGATTTTTTCAGTAGTCCATGACTAGACGTTAGTTACGCCTAACGTAATTTAGGCTTTGAGGCGGCTTTTCTTCTCGCTTAAAAACCGGCTGAAATCATCAAATTCGGATACTGCAGTGACTTTATCATCTAGCTGACTACGATCTAGCAAATAGATTTAATTTGTATCCAATTTAGACATATTCTGTATATCTCAGCACTCATAAAAGAGCATCATTTTCAATTAACCAATGATCACACACGGTAAGAACATCATCATCCTACCTTATAGCAAAAGAGTGCGGTGAATGATCCCATTCGTCATTTCGTTACTACAGTCATTAGGTCGAATAGAATGGGCTAGACGAAATCATCTCCTTGATTATCAGTATCCTTTACACAAAAATAGGATAGGCCATGTCAAACTCTCTGCTCGACTAAAGTAGAATGAGGTTTCTCATCTCAACTGTTGTAGAAATAAAATGAAATACGTATACATTTGCAAATGGGTTAGCCTAACAACGGATTCGATTAACAAGTACTTTTTGTTCACAGCTTGTTAACTCTACTCCATTATTTCAACTCCGTTTTCTCTGTTGTAGGTACTTTCTGGTGGAAATTACGATGTCGATGTGGTTATAAAAGGTCCAGATTCCGGTCAGATATACTCTGGCCAAAGAAAACAGTATGACAGCCATACGTTTTCAGCGGAGTCCGATGGCGTTTACAGTTTCTGCTTTAGCAACGAGTTTTCATCATTTACTCATAAAGTCATCTACTTTGATCTAGTCGTAGGTGATGAAGCACCTATTTTGGATAGACTGAACAAGAAGCAATCAGCTCTGACACAATTAGAGAGTTCATGTGTGAACATTCATGAAAATTTGAACGTTTTGATCGACGTTCAGACTCATCACCGTAATCGAGAATCTGCTGGAAGGAATTTAGCTGAATTATTAAACGAGCGGGTATCATATTGGTCGGTTGGAGAATCGGTTATTATTGTTATTATAGGCATTGGTCAAGTTTGGCTTTTAAGACGATTTTTTACTACTAAAAAGTCAACTCTGTAATACAGCCAAGATACTATTTTGCGTATTATGTAAACATTTTTTTTTCCAGTTTCAATCTTCAATTAATAATATCAATAAATTAATTAATTATATACTGTATGTTCTCTTTTCCTTAAATAAAAATTGGTTTCACCACGGTCTAAATTTTTGGGTTTGTACTGCTATGACTATCCAATATCTCTCTTACCTTGTTATTTACGGTACTACAAACTGAAATGGATCTTTTGCGTGCTACTAAAGATGCGTGCATCACTATCTTTTTTTAATAGTGTCGTATTCATTGACAATGTTAGAGCTAATATCTGCTTAAAATCCCATTGCATGAGTTGTACTCTGGATTGATATTGAAGTTTGCAAAGGTATGAAATTACTCTAGAAAGTTACTATCATTCTATCACTGTATAGAGCTGGACGAATGCAGTTCCATCAGTGTTTGAGCAACTGCATTTATTAGACTTTAAATTGGTATTGTAAAATGGGCAGGACTCACCAGAGTACTCAGAACATGGAAGCTATCGTTCCATGTTGTTGCTGAATTCATGACTCCTACAATATTCCAATTTCATGAAATGACAGTCCATGATGGCAATGCTCAGAACACGACGAAGCTATCATTCCATGTTGCTAAATTCATGACTCCTTCAATATTCCAATTTCATGAAATGACAGTCCATGATAGTAGTACTCAGAACACGAAGCTATCGTTCCATGGCATTACTAAATTCAAGACTCATTCAATATTCCAATGTCATGAAATGACAGTCCATGATGGTAGTGCTGAGAACACGACGAAGCTATCATTCCATGTTGTTGCTAAATTCATGACTCCTTCAATATTCCAATTTCATGAAATGACAGTCCATGATGGCAATACTCCGAACACGAAGCTATCGTTCCATAGTATTACTAAATTCATGACTCCTTCAATATTCCAATTTCATGTAATGACTCTTCATGATGGCAATACCAACGTTCCGCACTTGATTTTCATTTTGCAAGTACTCATGACATCTGTCTCGTCAATCTCTTCCTTTCCCTTCGATGATCGTATTCGTTTTAGCTCAGCAGGACATTGCCGCTATCACTTTCATTTTATTTTCATTTGACAATCAGCTATCAATGCAGGTCCAAGGCCAGCATGCCATCCTCGATTGCAGAGTTAGTGATGTAATGGAGCATCCGCTTTCTGTTGTATCCATATTGTTGACATAGTCCTAAATGAGTGCAATATCCTATTTGCATACACAATACATAGAGACTGCACTAAAGTGAGATTATTTGGACGTCTTATTACAGTCTGTCTAAAGTCTTCCAAATTCTCATGCCTACAAAAGTATAATATTGCGATGGGCAGTCAAGGCAGTATAAACTTGCACCATCATAATCAGTAAATAGTAGAACAGAGTTGTCCTATTCCTTCCCATCACGAGACTTGCTGTTGTGTTGTGGACTGTACAATATATTACGTTGTAGTTGTTTATAAGTGGAATACAAGAGTCGAATTTTCTCGCTGATCTTGAGTTAAAAGTTAATTTCATCAGCTATACTCTGGTCCCATCGTACACGCCTGGAAGGAGAGAAATCGAGCAAGATTCCAAAATGGTACAACAATAATTCTAGTCAAAAAATGTCGCCCATGTCTGATTACTCTATTGATTATAATAATGTAATGCATTGCAAAATGAACGTGGATGACGGTGAAATTCTGTATCATATTGTTGTGAATAATTTGGGACTGTTATCGAGTTGATCCTTTCATGGAGGATTTTTTTTTTCCTGCCGTAGATCATTACTTCTCTATCAGCATGCATTGACGTAGGATAGAGTTGCAAGAATTGTCCCAATTTCATCACCACTATCTTTAGTAATGCTGTTGGCTTACCATAAAATTCAATGAAATGATCAGTCTCTATGCAATGTAGATAGATTATGAAGTTTTCTTGATGACATTTGTTCACAGTACTTTCATATCAGCAAGTAACTAGTCTACAGTATTTATTTTATTTTTCTGCTGTAGACCACCACTTCTCTATCAGCATGCATTGGCATATAATAGAGTTGCAAGAATTGTCCCAATTTCATCACCACTATCTTTAGTAATGTTGTTGGCTTACCATAAAATTCAATGAAATGATCAATCTTTATGCAATGTAGATAGATTATGCAGTTTTCTTGATGACATTTGTTCACAGCACTTTCATTTACGGTTGAACTAGTTATCAAATAACAAAACGCCTTCTGAAGCATATGTATATATATATACAAATGACCATCAGCAAGTAGCTACCGTAGTCTGCAGTATTGATTTTAACGCCGATATCATAGCAGTATCGAATGTACAACATATGGATTAAGAAATGAGTTCAATCATTTAATAGTTCGAATAGTTGATAGGCTGAATTAATATTCTAATTGATGAAATACAGCAACATATTACTCTAAAATCGTACTGACAATTTCATACTGACTTGGAATTTGGAAAGCAAGTCGATTCAACGTAATCGTTTTCGTCTGATAATTTTATTATTCTTCATGATACTGCCATTAACTTATATCACTTTCTATCATGGTAATGGAACAGGCCGCCGAATTACCTCAGCAATCTATTGAAAGTAAGTAACAAACTTTCATTATGATGTTCTAATCCATACATAAAATGCACCCTACTGATTGAAATTGTAGCCAAATAATAGTATAGGATAGAAATTGAATAGAGCCAACTTTCGAATTTACTCCAGGTTATTGTTAGCGATTAGTATGAGTAGTTTACTGCATAGAGGTTTTTACCTCTATGGTGAAGAATATTAATAAGTAAAACTAACGTTGCAGTCTTACAGGAAGTTGATCATTTACTTAACACACACAAAGAAAATATGGATGTTATTGCAACTTCCAGTTGCGAAATTCTACGATCCTGTATATGCCAATTTGACACTCTAATGCAATGTAGTACTGTAGTCGTATGAATATTATCCCCATAGCGCAGTCCAAATCCATTCGTGATTGTACTGCCTAGCTACAGCATTAACATTTCAATATAAATCATGAGTTCAAAGTGATGACCAATGTCTTGCATCTATTCCTTTCGTTGACTTCTTTGATAGGAATGATTCGATTAAACGAATCATTTGTTGAGCTGTATAGTGTACATCTTTGAAAATTAGATTATATGCTGCAGTCCTATCATTGATGATAATTAATGATATCTATCTCTCTCTCTATAATTATTATTTATTACTCAAGCTAGTGAGGGAAGTAGTAGCTGGTGACATGAGTAGATTTCATCTGGACTCCAACTTAATTATTTCTGAAGTAAATCTTTAGTGTCCTCGGAGCTTGCTAGCAAAATGGCGTATTAAATAGAACTGCAAAGCATAGTCTCGTAAAGTTTACTCGATTTTACTACTGTTCTACATTCTGTAGCCTGTTGCTAAGAATGCTTAATCCCAAGTGTGAAGTATGAGCTGTACAGTGTACGTCTTGAAAATTAGATTATATGCTGCAGTCCTATCATTGATTATTATTCATTACTCAAGCTAGTGAAGAAAGAGTCGCTGGTGGCATGAGTACATTTCACCTAGACTCCAACTTAATTATTTCTGAAGTAAATCAATAGTATCCTCGGAGCTTGCTAGCAAAATGGCGTATTAAATAGAACTGCAAAGCATAGTCCCGTAAAGTTTACTCGATTTTACTACTGTTCAGAAACATTCTGTAGCCTGTTGCTAAGAATGCTTAATCCCAAGTATGAATTTAGAAGAGATTCGTTCTTCGCTCAGATTCACTCTATCATTGTTTTACAACCATTTTAATAAAATCAGTTTGTGTACTGCATAAAACTGCCAAGTGTAGTCCTAGAAAGTTTATTTGACTTAGTACCATTAACCATTCTTTATTCTGTTGCTGATAAGCTAGTGCTTCGCTCAGATGAAATGGATCATTTCTTGTTTTATAACACTTTAATACAATCAGCTTTTTTGTCAGTATAAAGTATATCAACTTGAACTTATCAAGTCCTGAGGAATGATCATTCAAACGTAAAATTTTCAACCTATCAAGGATATGCAATGGTATTTCATTACAGTCTTATGCTAATTTTCACTAACCAGGATTCAAGGAATGCTTCAACTATTACGATTTCAATCATACGGGTACGATAGCAATGGATCAGCTATCGCTTGTAATGCAATCTCTAGAATTCTATCCAACACAATTGGAACTTAAAGAGATTATTCGCCAATACGATAGACGAGGTGATTATCATTTATCGATAGACTGCTGTAAATGGAGTCAATCAATATCTGGTTTAAATAGTAACTAGAGACTCGTACAAATGCCGTGATAAAATTTGAATCGATTGTAAATGAATACCTTTAATTATATACTGCATGACTGTAATAGACTCGTATGTTGACGATTATTTAATTGATTTTGATGACTAATGGTATATGTGGAAGGCGTAACATTCCCTGATTTTCTCGAAATTATGGCTGGTCTGGCACAGAGGAATTTGAACACGGAAATTTTAGAAGCATTCCAAGCTTACGACGAAGCAGGCACTGGTACAATTCACATACGTGATCTGAAAAGAATTTTACAGACAACAGGGCAAAAGCTATCGTCTGCGGATAGTATGTATACTAATAGAAATGATAAGTCTTTTAATAGTTCAATTTTACTAATCGCAACTACAGTACTAAAGTACAACACCATCATCCTTTCCTATAGTTAAGCATGCTATGGAGCTAGCAGGAGCTGGAACTGCTGAAATCATCCATTACAGAGGTTGGTCATAATGCAATTATGCTTGTAGATGGTGTACATTTCTAGCTTATTTCAGGTTCAATGTAAATGCTTAACTAGATTCTTCATTTGCAATAGATTTTGTAGGGAAAATAGTTGAGGCTACGAAACAGAACGGTCACCATCAAGATAGCTTGCGTACAAGAACAAAGAAACGATAACTTGCTGCAGCCGAAAGTAATTTTGGAAGACTTTCTACATAAGCCCTAGATTGAAGATGTATACGCCGTCTATACAGTAGATTCTACGAGCATATAAAATAATATGTGTATATTAGGATAGTGTATATTATATATATGTGTATATTAGGATAGTGATACACTTTCCTCTATTGCCAGAACGTTGTATTTGAAGTCCTCAGCTATTTCAAGATGAATCCATATGTATATATATGTGGACACTTGTAAAAGCGTTTATTCTTCCTATACAGAGTTGATAGCTGCTATAACTGTCCTCGCTACACTCGCTATATATTCATTTCGATCTGATATCAATCAATTACGGTGGATAAATACATCCAGCACAATTCTTTAGAATTAATTGAATTTTATTGTTGTACTTCGACGGTTAATGCAGGGACTAGTAAAGAAGAACCTCATTAGTAGACCCTTGTTGATGGTACTATACACGTCTCTATTACAAATTATAAAGGACAGCATCCAGATTTTTTCAACTATAAAAATGACGTCCTTGGTACCACCATACAAGTTCAATAGGATAGTGATGCACTTTCCTCTATTGCCAGAACGTTGTATTAGAAGTCTTTAGCTATTTCAAGATGAATCCATATGTATATATAGAGAGACACTTGTAAAAGCGTTTATTTTTTCCTACAGAGAGTTGATTGCTGTTATAACTATCCTTACTACACTCGCTATATATTCATTTCGATCTGATATGAATAAATTACGGTGGGTACAACTCTTTAGAATTATGCCTTAATTGAATTTTATAGTTATACTTTGACGGTTAATGCAGGGACTAGTAAAGACGAACCTCATGAGTAAACCCTTGCTGATGGTACTATACATTTCTCTATTACCAATTATAAAGGACAGCATCCAGAATATTTTCAACTATAAAAATGACGTCCTTGACACCACTATATAAGTTCAAAAAAGCAGCAGCCGCTGAATACTACAGTATTATAACCATGCACCTAAAATTATTTTATCTGCACGAGTAAGAGCTAACGCAATGGAAAATTTCAGAATTGATATCCATATTTTTTTATTACTGCAATTGTATCTGTCACAACTAACTATAGAGATTTATAATACACAGTTATCTTACTTTGTAGTCTTTATAATTCGATACAGAAATAAAAAATTCATACAAAATTGAAGGCATAACTTACGCTATGCATGAAAATTTCGCTACTCTTAACAAACTCCAGTTGCAATGATACGTTAATATGCGAACTCTAATACTGATATCCATAACAAATACATATCATTTTAAAATGTATATATATATACAATATATATGTCATAGAGCAGAGATTACAATCAAAATTGATAATTATGTTCTTACTGTAACATCATTGGATATGAATTTAATTAGTGGCTTTTGAAATTGAAATGAGGCATATGGGGCATAGATACATTCGGTCCCATACTTTTAACAGCACTGATAGCGCGTGCTGGAGCAGCAGTAATTCCAGCCTAAAGAGTTGTAGTAGTGGTTGATGAATTTAGTGATAAAGTAGAGAGAAAATTTATATGACATTGAACTAACCTCTGATTTTTCTGTCTTGGCCTGAGCATCTAAGTGAGTTAAAACATCCGTCATATTCGTTTCTAAAACCATTCCTCCCATAACTATTTCAGCCAGGATATAATGCACCTTGAATCATACGAGCATACAGTTGATATTAGTAACCTTTGCAGGAGTCGATTTGACTTTAATCAAGTTGTAAATTAACTACAAGCGCCTTGATACAAGGGTTACTATGGGAATCAAATTTCAATTTTAAATCTTTGAAACTGCAAATTGATTCAATTTTATTATTATAGTATGGCAGTAGTATACGCTATTTCAAACCTTATCAATATGGAAGATTAGATCGAGTTCGCATACATTTTCAAAGTGTTTGTCCAGTGTTTCAACGAAAACCTTTACATCAATAAGAGCATTTTATTTTTCGATTGCAAACGATGAAAATGAATCCATTGTTAATTCGTTTGATTAGTATTTTTCTCATTCAAATTTAGCCCCATGTATGATTGAATATTACGGTGTTAAACTATTGATAAAAACCTGAATTAAATCAAGAATTCCAAGTTCACTTTCGGAAGAGTCGACGCAAAAGACAAAGTATAAGGTGGCATAGTGTCGATAGATTAATTTGTAACCAGAATCTCCACCTATTAAACTGGTCGAAATAAAGTTGGATAAGTTATTTTAGACTGGTGCACACCTTCACCTGAGTCAACACTATTCATCTTATTCTTACACTACTCGATGTGCATTAACACTATGCAATGGATGCTATAAGAAATTGGAATTGATCAAGTTGAGGTTACCTTCCTCCTTCCAAGAAATTGCAGACATTGTCATCACGTTTGGATACAAGATGGTAAGTCTCGCGCAGGATTTGCTGTTGAATTTCTTCACTCTATTCCATTATTCAAGAAAAGGATATCAAAAATGGATGAAAAAAAGCTTCTTTACTAAAAGTGGACTCGGGATTCTATTGGATGATAGAACGACTACTGAAGCAACTACTGTATCCTGTGAAGCCGTTAAGAATAATGACGAAAGGTTCTTTAATGACAGAGGACTTTAAATTCTATTGGAGTGATAAAACAACTGCTTAATTGACTCCTGTATGCTATAAAGTCGTTCAGTAACACCGTCCTTGCGGTAAAGTGACGAGTCGAGAACGACTTGATTCCCATAATGTATTATTGCATTGTTGAAGAAAAGGATATCCAAAATACATGAAAAAAGGTTCTTTACTGATAGTGGACTTGTCGTTCTATTGGATGATAGAACGATTACTTAAGCGACTGCTGTATGCTATAAAGTCGTTCGCATCGCCATCATTACAGTTATATGTTATTCCATTATTGAAGAAAAGGATATCCAAAATACATGAAAAAAGATTCTTTACTAACAGTGGACTTGTTGTTCTATTGGATGATGGAATAGCAAGTGATAGAACAACTACTTAAGCGACTGCTGTATGCTATAAAGTCTGTAAGCATCGCCATCGTTGCAGTAAAATGAAGTGACGAGTCAAGAACGACTTGATTCCCGTAATGTATTATTCCATTATTGAAGAAAAGGATATGCAAAATCCATGAAAAAAGGTTCTTTACTAACAGTAGACTTGTCGTTCTATTGGATGATAGAACAACTACTTAAGCGACTGCTGTATGCTATAAAGTCAGTAAGCATCGCCATCCTTGCTGCAAAATGAAGTGACGAGTCAAGAACGACTTGATTCCCGTAATGTATTATTCCATTATTGAAGAAAACGATACGCAAAATACATGAAAAAAGATTCTTTACTAACAGTAGACTTGTCGTTGTATCGGATGATAGAATAGTAAGTAGAACAACTACTTAAGCGACTGCTGTATGCTATAAAGTCAATAAGCATCGCCATCATTGCAGTAAAATGAAGTGACAAGTCGAGAACGACTTGATTCCCGTAATGTATTATTCCATTATTGAAGAAAAGGATATGCAAAATCCATGCAAAAAGGTTGTTTACTAACAGTAGACTTGTCGTTCTATTGGATGATAGAATAGCAAGTGATAGAATAACTACTTAAGCGACTGCTGTATGCTATAAAGTCTGTAAGCATCGCCGTCCTTGCATCAAAATGAAGTGACGAGTCAAGAACGACTTGATTCCCCTAATGTATTATTCCATCATTGAAGAAAAGGATATGCAAAAATACATGAAAAAAGGTTGTTTACTAACAGTAGACTTATCGTTCTATGGTATGATAGAATAACTACTTAAGCGACTGCTGTATGCTATAAAATCAGTAAACATCGCCATCCTTGCAGTAAAGCAAAATGACGAGTCAAGAACGACTTGATCGCCCTAAATGTATCCTTGTAAAGCTTCCATACCACTGGAAATGTGCATAATTTGAAGACATGAACTGCATCAACTTACGTAATATTCGAAGAACTTCATCAAGCGCGGCTTGCCATGATTATTAAAAATCATTATAGCCCTAATCATGATGGAAAAGGTATCTACGATGGCTGGAGAAAGACTGCTTGGGGATTCAAAATGGCCAAGAGTGAAAGTGGACGCGTAGTAAAGGATAGCTTGGGCTAGCTGCACTCGCTATATACTGTATGAAACAGTCGAGAGAATAGGGTGTAATACCATTAAGCCATTGACAAACAGCAACGCCATAGGCTAGGGCTAGAGGCAGCCGTCGAGCGATGTGTCATCCTTGATCACGCATGCCCAGTGGAAAGTCGCCATCGGTGAGGCATTACTATGGAACGCGGAGGAATCCATGGTACCGTATACAGCTTGGGTTGATCAGACGGACGGTGCGACGACTGCGGCAGCAGTTCCGCCATTCCAATTTGTCTTCCATTTCAACTTGCAATTTCACTGTTGATGTTGTCGTAGGAGATGCATTTGCTTGAATGAGTTTGCAAGTAGAAGGAGTTATAGTACAAGTATTGCCTTTGCCTTCAAGTGAGGAAAAGCAAAGGTTAGGTACAGCGATGGCACGGTTTTTGGCCAACGCAACAATGCATCTGTTATGATACCAATAATATTAGTTCTAGTTGTTGGGCTGTTCTGCTGCAGTAAATCAGCTCTCTTTCGAGCTCTCCAGCTAGGATACACAAGCCAAGTAGAGGATATTGCAGTCCATTTTTACTGTACTTATGCTCAGTGCACAGCCGTGTATCAATCCAGCATAATATAGCTACTACAGTGTCTCCATTAGCTAACGCAACAATTCATCCGTTACAATCACAAGTAGTTCAAAGTCAGCAATGGTGAACGCTAGGACTGTTCTACTGGAGTAAGCTGTCTCTTTCTCTCTATTTAAGATGGACATTGCACACTTGTACAGTCGTATATCCATCGAATAGAACATCGCTACTATAGTGTCTCAAATTGGCCAACGTAAGAATTCATCCATTACGATATGAGTAGTGTATCAATTGAAATTTAGCCAAAGTTTGCAACAGCCAACGCTAGGACTGTTCTACTGCAATAAGCGTTCTCTCTCTCTCTAGCTATCATGTACAAACAAAGTAGAGGACATTTCAGTCCATGAAGTCCCTGTCTGTAAAAAAGTTCATCGTGTGCATGTACCTTATTACTGTCCTAACGCTCCTCCGCAGCCATATATAGATCTAATATAGCATAGCTACTAGCCTAATACAGTGTCTTTGGCCAATGTAACCATTCATCTGTTAAAATACGAGTCGTGTACAAATTGAAATTTTTAGCCAAAGCTAGCCATAGTCAACGCTAAAAGGGGTCTACTGAAGCAAGCTTTCTAGAGCTCTAGCTAGGATACATTAGTGAAGTAGAGGACAGTCTAGGCCATGACTAACTTGAATACAACATGCGTAATAACAGTACAGTTTCTATCCATCCGACTTGATGAAATGCTTGTCAACTTGATCAAGAATCGAGTGGACTGTAGAAGAGACTCGTTTATTCTACTGGATTAATTAATTAATACTCGTAGAGAGGCTGTTCACATTGATTCATTAATACTCGTAGAAAGGCTGTTCACATTGATTCATGAATACTCGTAGAAAGGCTGTTCACATTGATTCATTAATACTCGTAGAAAGGCTGTTCACATTGATTCATTAATACTCGTAGAAAGGCTGTTCACATTGATTCATGAATACTCGTAGAAAGGTTGTTCACATTGATTCATGAATACTCGTAGAAAGGTTGTTCACATTGATTCATGAATACTCGTAGAAAGGCTGTTCACATTGATTCATGAATACTCGTAGAAAGGCTGTTCACATTGATTCATGAATACTCGTGGAAAGGTTGTTCACATTGATTCATTAATACTCGTAGAAAGGCTCTTCACATTGAACACCTAGCTCTATAGTATCATGGACTCTACCACATGAGAAGATGATAGAGCCAAAAATGCCATGGCGGAATAGAGGTGGAGGACTGGATTGAAAGCCCAAGAATAGCTACAGACTAAATTCAGTACTCGTGCTGTTGAAAGACAGTATAACAGCTCTAACAGTAGTCCATGCCCCATACCAAAACACTTCCACCCGAGGTACTAAAGCATGCAGCCTAGATATTACCCAGTGGAAACCCTGGCAAGCGATTGCAGAAGTAGGCCAGAAGGAGCAATCTACTGTGGATCCACAGGAGTTTTATCCATTCTCCTGGATTAATCAAGGGTATACACTGTTGTCCTACAACGCCAAATTGTATTCCTAACACTATTGACTCTTATCATAGTAGAATATGCTACAGTTATGACCAAATTGTAATTGATAGAGGTATGAAATCGAAAGCTGACGAGACTACACACTAGCTGGACACCAGCCATTTGCTGGGAATACTCTAGTAGAGATGTAACTGAAATGCATTTTTATTGCATAGGATCCAAAGCAATGTCATCCAAGAAAACCAAATTAGTAGAAGCAGATCAGACTGCCAATCGTCATGGCAGCGATCAACATCAAATGGAAAAAGATGAGATGACACAAGAAATGGAACACTATCAACGTATCGTGCGAGCTTTCCTATACTACAGGTTAGCATCGACCTACAGCTTGTACACTATTTGCATATTCAGACTGTTGTTAATGGATCATCAAGGCGATAAGAATAGTTTTAATCCTCTATTCGACATAGTGCTGAGCTATCATACTGTATATATATACACTATCGATCGGATTAGGGTAATCACGGTACTCTTCATTTAACTTGTATACTGTCTATTATGATAGCAATAATTAAACGACACGACATGGACTTTTACATTACTTCCTGCCAAGTAATACATGGATAGACTACTGGAGGAGTACAATATTAATGAAGATGATGCACATTATCAGTTCAGGTCTTCCATTTTGAAAGGTCCAACCTCCAACAGATGTACACTAACTTGAGTAATGCACGAGATGTAAAGCCATTCTAGACGAGTACATGATCTGGATTTGTTTATACCATCAATTAGAAATACAGTATGTATGCTTATTTGGATTGGACGGTAGTCAATAAAAGTATAGTCAACACCGCATAGAAGCTGTAATACCATGATATCAACCTAGGAAATACAAGATTATTTTCAACATTATTCCCCCTGTTCCAATGACCATAGCCAAATTGAAACAATTGATGTTATTGCAGGATTCATTCACTCAAAAGGGTGAATCAAGCTCGGCGATGTTTTACTAGCCTATCCAAAGAAGATCAACAATTGGCTCCTAAATTTACAACCAAATTAGACTTGATCAAGATGGCAATTGGTGTGAATTATGATTTTATAAGAACCATTCTGCAAAGAACTCAAAACTTGTTTTTAAACTCTGAAATTTATCAAATGGATGAGGTTATTTCTAGCGTTTATATTAAACTGACATATCTGTATTTCTTTTGATCTTGTATCTAGTAAAGATTTATATACAACCACAATATTACGAGTCGACAGCACATCGTAGGGTATCTGAAAGATTACATACAACATTATTTATATAACCAAATACAGTAGTTCACATATTCATTGCAACAGATTGTTAGCAGTATCACCCTATAACAAATTAGCACTGTTTGTTCAAAAACTTCCTTGTTGCTCTCTCTTTAGTAATACTATGCGAGGTCATCATACAATTTGAATAACAGTTGCTAATTCAATCTAGCCCATCAAGGTTAATACTATAAATGGTGTCTAAGTATTTAAATACTCGTATGTTATCAACCACAGACAGTAAGATCAATACTAGCAGAAATCCAGCCTATCTTATACGCTTACTTTAACGTCAATAAACACTATTTCTAGGATGACTTTTATCAATTCGCTATTTTCTGAGCATTGAATCAACCTAGATTCTCACATCACTTTAGACATCCCGTATTCACCTTGATAGTGCAGCTGACGAAATCCATGTCAGCCATAGAATTTCTACTGTCCCTGAATTTGACATGGAAAAAGTCAAATCAACTATTAAACAATTTGTTCGAGATTGGAGTAAAGAGGTAAGTGGTACAGCTTTAATACATAAACGCATTACTATCTAGTGTATAAATTGAAGCCAAATGTCTTGCTAGGGAGAAAAAGAACGAAATACCTGTTATCTACCAATAATAAACGAAATTCTCCGTCTTTTTCCTCGAGATGATATGTATGCACCCTTCAATTTGAATCAAACTATACGATCTGTTGTTAAAGCTAAATACTCACTGAACTATTACAGACAGCCAAATGCTATCAACATTCTGGTCCCTGGTGCTGGCCTAGGTAGATTGGCGTTTGAAATAGTGAAGTTAGGTACTGTAATAATTAACCCTTCTAATTAAACTAAGATGATAGATATCCAAAAAATAAATATCAATTAAATGATTTCATCGTCAATCAATTAATCAGTCATTACTATTTATAGGCTACAATTGTCAAGGCAATGAAATTAGCTTGTATATGTTAATAACTTCAAATTTTATTTTGAATAAGTATGAAAAAAGATATTAATAATCAGAACTATTACGTTATTTGTAATTTTTCTCGTCAAATGTGTGTATAAAATCCTAATCATGATCTATTTTGGGGGGCATTAAAGCTGTACTACTACAGAACAATACGTGATCTACCCGTGGGTTCATCAATACTGTAACATTGCTGGATTTGACGACCAGGTTAGAAACATAAAAATCCCGGATATGGCTCCTTCAGAGATACCAAAAGATACGTCCTTTTCCATGTGTGCTGGAGATTTTTTGCTGGTTTATAATGATCCAGGTAAAAGTTTCCTTGCTTAACCATCAAATACTTGGCTTGAAAAAATTATTTGTAACACTAATTTGATCATGCATAATCTAGAATGGGACTGCGTTGCAACTTGCTTTTTTATCGATACCGCTCACAGCATCATAGCATACATTAAAAAGATATACCAGATATTAAAACCTGGCGGATACTGGATAAACTTGGGTATAAATTACGTCAATGTAACAATTGTAACACACGTCTAATATTGTAGTATAGATTTCTTAAATGATGTCATTTGTACATTAATATTAGGACCGTTACTTTATCATTTTGCTGATATGGCTGGGGAACAATCGCTTGAACTAAGCTACGAAGAAGTTAAAACTGTAATAGAAAATGTAGGATTTAGCTATGAGGTAATAAGAATATCATTGCAATCACCTCTTGCTTTTGCCGACCTGATAAAAAAATCGATTTATAAGCGCTTATGATTAATATCGTGCTTTATGCATTGTTATAGAAGGAAGAAAAGGGCATAGTATCGGGATATACGCAAGATCCAAGTTCCCTAATGACAACTTTGTATCATAATATCTTTTTTATCGTTCGCAAGCCAGAAATTGATCAACAGCAATAAGTTATATATCTTTTGTCTCCTGCTAATTGTATCTGTTGCCATTAGCAAAATTGAGCCAATCAACAAGGAAAAAAATATTAAAATCTCACAATGAATACGACATATTTCCCATAAAGTAGCATTTTAATAGATTAGGGTTTTATTAAGGCGATTTTACCTATACATCCAATAGTTTCTACACATCTACATTGTAACAAATACTTCTTAGCATTTTAACCTCTTTAACCTAAATAAGGACACTTTCTTACTTATTCTACTGGTATTTAATATTTTCCGCAATGGCAGTGGCAAGAGGAATGAAAGTGCTGCAAACGTAAATAGGATAATTATTAGTGTATGAAAATAAAAGGAGAACCTGTTAAAAAGGTTCAATTTTATGTTCTTGGTATAAAATATTTGCTAGTAAAATTATTCTATCTTCATACCTTTTTAAGGCGATAACGGATGCAGAATGAAATTTTGCGCTTATTAGGTCTAAATCGTCTTGCACATTCTTTGATAATCCATATGATTTTACGATCTAATCTAGCAATTAGCTTTCGCAAATGACGTGTTTGTTTCTGCAAAAAAATTTTTGAAAAGCATCACTTTTTGGCGTAAAGAGTTCTACGTAGTTGTAACTCCTCATTTTAATTGTTCCAGTGAAGAAAAGAGTGATCTCGTTTGTTACTTACACGTAATTTACGAATCTTGCAACGTAAAGCGTGTCTTTGCTTGCAGCAAGGATGGTGCCATGGCCTGTGATGTGGAGGACGTGGTGGGCGATAGGGTGGACGATGAGGTGGACGATGAGGTGGACGGTGTGGTGGACCACCGCGAGCAAAAAGTTCTTGAGTGCTTGATTTTTCGTCCAAATCACCTTTATTAGGTGATGACTCTGAATTATCTTCTTCAGCATCTTCGGAGTTATCGCCGTCATCATTATCAGACTCCTCTTCATTGCCTTGAGTATTATCATCGTCATTATCCATTTCATCATCTTCAGCTGTGTCCAGAATATTATCTTCTTCTAATTCTGAAATGACTTCAGATGCATCTGAATTTTCAAACATTTTAATCACATCTTCTTCAACAAAGTCTTCCTAGATTTTGCAGATAGATTACAGAAAGTGCAGGGTATTCAGATACTCTATGATGCTAAAATGATCGATAGTTATCGATAGCAGGCTAGTGATATTACATGATTGTACAATTTTTAAATGCACTATTGCATAAGCTAATAGAAAAGCTCACATACTGAATAAGTGATGTTCCTTGCGTTTGATAAAGGAAAACGCACACCGATTACAAGAAATAGCAAGATAACTAAAGCTTTGGTCATGGTAATATCGATTCCTGTTAAAAAAACAACCTCATTAGTAAATAGAGATCTAGCTTTATTCCAGCTAAAAGCTTTTCATAACTATAAAATAGCAAAACTTGAATTCATTCAACAAGATTACTCAACTAGAAAAGAGCAATTAGTTCAAGCGTGTGAGCTCGCTTAGCGTGAAAATGAGAAAGTATACATACCGTTTCGTGAATTTCCTCTCTGGAAAAAATGAGGTGATCTGACTGAATACAAGATTTAAATAAGTTTTTCTCAACATCAGCAATGTCAGTAATTCTAAAATAAAGTCTATATTTGCATCTTGTGATATGTAAAATTTGGTAGTCGGTGCGATCGAACTGATCTTTCCCGACATTATCACGCTTTCATCATCCTTATCATCTGACCTTTGCTGGCAATTCTCATTTATGGAGAATTTACCTATATCTCATGCCCTAATTGTTCATTCGTAATTTTATTTAATCGTCTAAGTGCATTTCTCATCACTAAAATGAGATTATTTTTCGTTCGATGGAAGCGTATAATTTACGCAGCTAATTAAGACTTTTATTAAAGTTTTCATATTTTCTTTCCAATTTTGATGCTTTCGTAGCAGTTGCCAGTTCGTTTGTATGCAAGAATAGACGGCACAAGCTGTGCAATTCCTCACTATCTAAATTAATTTTTTCGTTCAGGATAGTACTATCAAAACCGATAAACTTTGCTGTTCACTAAAGTATAACCGTTGATCACATCTTAAATAGTTCATTCAGAATTTATGTAGCTCAATTATTCTTTGGATAGCGTGAACTAAACTGTCTATATATAGAAGAAGAAACGATGATTTGGCCATGTAATTCTCATTTAGTAGCTAGTTGTAATTATACAGCTGCTTGATAAACCTCTGCTGTGCATGGGATATACTCGTATTCGATAGCAAGATCAAAGCATTAACTTGGCTGCTTCGACTTTAACGTAATAATAGGGTAAAATACCTTAAATTGTTACTTCAAATAGCTGAACTAGCTCTTTAAATTACGTATGCTAAAAAAGGGCATATACGAGTAGAGAGGGAGAAGTAGGAGTTTAGTCATACTATCACCGATCGATTATAACGCCTTGAATGACGATTGCGGTAGATAGAATATGGAACTGAGATAGAGGGATAAGGTGGCTGCTAATTTCACAATAATATGTATAAAAATTATTGCATATACGGTAATAACTCCACGTAAGGACATTATAACTCAGCTAGCATAGTTTACGGAATATATCTCTGTACCCATCATTTTGAATTACTAATTTCTATAACTAAAAGTTACCTACCGATTGCGTCAACAGAGTCACAATTTGCCGTTCTTTAAAAGTGTTGACAAGCGAATATCGTCAGCATTCCATTTTTATAGCTATATGAGTACCCAATTGCTTGTCTAATTTTATAACAAATTTTGCTGACGATTTTTAATCGATTCTATGAAAACTGTGGTTATCATTCATAAGAGTCATGATATTTTTCCTCTGACTTTTACGTTGAAGTCAATAAATCATAATTGGCTTAAATAATTATAATCAGTTATTCACTCAATTATCAAGCACTAAATTATTTACTTTCGGTACTGTATAAAGCTGAAATCTCTAGAAATTGCATGAGATATTACTTATATTATTTATAATTTCAGAATTTATTTTTGAAATGATGATGGAAATCAGCCAGCTAAAAATTAATATGCATTATTGCTTTATAGTCTAGATGTAATAATCACCAAATGAAGTTATCCTATTTTTATCAGATTCATTGTCAACGATGAGTACAGTAACAATTATACCAGAATTGATTCGATATAACGAAAATCAATCCAACTATTAAAATAATTTCAATATCTTCCTTTTAGCTTTGGTATACATAAAATTGCCAAGTTCATAGTTTTGGGCTACTAAGCTCAATCATCCATATGATAGACTACTCCAATACTCGTCATAATATCAGTAATTAGAGCGATTATAAAGTCTGCAAGCCATACTTTCGATTCACGTAGAAATTATAGCACATCTGTGGAAGGAGAGGTTGATCGAAAGACTGCTAAATGATCCTACATGCTTGGGAAATAATTACATCTATACACAAACTACTGTAGTATGGGTAGCATTTTTATTCTCGCACTGGTCATAAAATTAGTATTAGGAGTGACTATAATGTCTGCAAGTTGCGCTTTTCGATTCATATCGAAATCATAGCAGTCTATGGAAGGAGAGGTTTATCGATAGACTGTGAAATGATCCTATTAGATTCAGCTTTGATTACAACCATACATGAAATAATGTTGTAGAGGTATCATTTCTACTTTCCTACTTGTCATTATGTTGTTAATAAGAGCGATTATCAAGTTTGCACACTATACTATCAATTCATGTAGAAATTGTAATACTCTATCGATGGAGAAGTTTATCGAAAGACTGCGAAATAATTCTACTAGATTTAGAGTGATTAGATCCATGCATGAAATAATGTAGTAGAGGTGGCATTTCTATTCTCGTACTTGTCCTTATATTCTTAATAAGAGAGATTATCAAGCTTACACATTATTGTCGTTTCATGCAGAAGTTATAAATTTATCGAAGGAGAGAGGTTGACTGAGAAACTACGAAATGATTAAATCCATACAGGAAATAATGTAGTATCAAGCCTGCACATTACATTTTCGATTCATGTAGAAATGGTCAAAGTCTATCGAAAGACTGCGAAATGATTCTATTAGACCCGATTTTTCTTACTCGTTATTGTATCGGTAGTAAGCGTCATGATTCCCATCCAATCTTAAATGGTGATCATTTTCCAATCGTGCATGACTTAATTTTTGTACTCATCATTGCATTCTTAATCAAAGCTCTGACTCAAGACCCATTGCCAACCATGGGCTCCTTAGAATAGTTATAGATTACTACCTGCGGCAGTAATCCTTAGCTTGTCTTCGTCATTATTTTCATTCTACAAGCCATCATGAATAATATAATTCTTTCTCTTTGCCTACCTTAACAATACAATATGTTCTATAGTACTTCTGTAAATAGATGTCAAACAGTAGTAGCAAATCAAAGAGGTTACTGTCTTATAACAAAAGTCCCATTGCTATAGCATACTACAAAGTGGAAAGCTAAGGCCTTCTCCTGTGCCAATAAAGTAAAAGCATTGTCTAATAGTTTAAACGTCTAATAGTTGTAATTTTACTCCAATCGCACTCCACCCTGACGACAGAATAGATTATTATTTCGATGATTACGATACATCTTCGTTATCATTAGAAAACTAGATCTGCATGGACCTACTACGCCTTGATCATGGGCGATTGCAATGCTTAGTATAAGTAAGGTTGGAAGATAGATCTTATGTCATTAAAACCATCAAAGTGTACTCTAAGTGTGAAAGAATCCATCAAGACTAGCTCGCACTCTCGATCTCACGTTATTTGGGCAAACAAGCAAGTCGATGAAATTTATCTTTCGAATCGCTATTAGTTTAACTGCCATCTTGTTAATACTGCTGCTTTATCATCAAAATCTGCAGAATAAAAAGTAAGTCAAGATATTGCTAATTAATTTTACAGTTAATCATCAATCTGTGGATGATGGAGGATATTCTCTCCCAATCGATTGTTCACGCCTTGCAGGTGTCTGCATTCTATTTCCTTCTACACTTCATTGTCAATTTTACCATCAGAATGACCAAATCGATGGGATATGAGTATATCCCCTATCCAAAATTGGTCTTTCATTAGGAATGGACCCTAATCTATTTTGATAAAGCTGTTTCGATTGACTATGTTAGACGATTGCACAACTTTTAAGATTTTACTTTCATTACGTACCTACTCGCACTTTTATTACTAAAAATGACCAAGTCGATTAGGGTGCATGCTACTTAAAATTTTTGTTCTTAAAATCATGAGGAGTAGATCCTAGCCTACCTGATCAAACTGTTTCCATTGATCATTTAAATGAATGAACAATCTTTAGGATGATACGGTACTTCTATTACTAATTTATGACCAAAAATAATTAAATCGATAGGATGCATTGCTACGTAAAATTGAACTCTAATCTACCTTATTAAACTGTTTCCATTGACCGTTTAGACGCATGAACAATTTTGAGGGTTACACGTTATTACCAATTTTATGGCCAAAGATAACCAAGTCGATAGGATACATGCTATGTAAAATTTAAGGGATAAAATTTATATTCCTACATTCATAAGTCATGGGCCCTAATCAAACTGTTTCTATTGACTTTTTAAACAGGCGAATATTCTTTAGGGTTACGCTTCTATTACTAGTAATTTCATGACCAAAGATAATCAAGTCGATAGGATAAATACTATCTAAAATTTTGTTCCTAGACTTGCAAATCATGGGCCATAATGCACCTAATAAAGCTATTCCGATTGACTATTGATCACATTATCCTCTCTCGTTACAAAGGATAAAGTAACGATTTAAGTTGTAAAGTAAACTGATAAATCAACATTGACTCAATATCTCTCTATACTTAGTGTACTGTTGCCAAAGTTGATAAACCGGTAGATAATGATCTAAACTATTGTAATTACAGTTTACTCTATTTTTTGATTGATTACATTCGTAGATAAATCTACATCTTGCCCTGCTAAACCATATTCGCTATTCAGTTCTTGTGCTACAGGATCCATTCTGAATGATCAAACTTTTTATCATGATCATGTCCAAGTAAGCCTATCGATTAGTTTCCTATCCTAATTCAAGCTGATCTCGACCTTACTCTAGAACAAGCAGTTCGTTGATAGGCTATCGTACCTGAAGTACCAGCGTTGTTAGTATACGATTATATTTGAGTGTTATATCCTTTATCGTGTTGCATATTAACAAGCTACATCATGCGTTTTCTCCCCCTCTCTCTGTTCAGTACGATTATCCTTCTTTTTAAAGACGTTACCATATATGTTTATAAAATTAAAAATGAATGAATAGAGTCAACGTAGGCTTTACATAGATGTTAGAAACCATTTAAAGGTGAATAAAATCGAAAAAATGGCTTACATCTCCCAGTTTAACGAAACTATTAAATTACCCTTTACATCATCAGATATACTGTATATTTAGGCTTGCACATACTATGCTGAGCTCGCTAGGTAATGCGAAAACATACTGTAGCCGTAATCTACTAGCTAATTGCTGCTCTAATAGTTGAACTCTCCCCGTTAAATAAAATTTATTTTAACCTGATCACATAAGACATAGTAGAGCTCTGCTAACTTCAATTTAAGCTATCTTTAACTCATTCTCTGTCAGTCGTTCATGATTGAAAATGAAAGCCAGTAAAGAAACATGGCTAAGACATCCGTAGATACAATCGTAATAGTTATTGTTAAGCAATTTATTCTTTTATTAATTCACTATAGCTCCCATAACAAAGATGATGATAAGGAAGATTCTTTGCAAAGAAAGCATTTCCCACAATTCCAGAGCAAGAAGAATAAATTATTCATCCCTCAATATTTTGGTATTAGAAAAAACTCTAGTAACTCAATGACGTTTGCTAATCATGCAAAAATAAAACCATCAGCTAGTTTCCAGCTAGATACGCAAATGATAATCCCTATGGTCATATTTTGTTCCTATCGGCCTGAATATACGGTTAAGCTAATCGATTCTTTGAAGAATTTACAATTCCTCAACCCTCAAACACCATGCTTATTTGTCTTGCATAAAAGTCCCAAAGTTACAGAAGAAAGTGTGAAAGGGATGAATGATTTATTAAACAAAATTGACTTTTGCAAAGTAATCAAGTGGAGAGTGATTGATTTGAGTAAGAATCGAACGTCAAAAGCGTTTAAAATGCATTGGTATAAGGTTGTGGCTAAAGTATTTGAAGATCGAGGTAAGATTTCATCCATTAAATCAACACCTCTGCAAAATGTTAAACAACTCTGTTGATTTAGATAATAATACAATTGTAATCTCATCGTTTTCATTCATGATTAGTATCTACAGATAGAGATATTCTCTAATGTTTAACCAATTTTAGAACAATTGTAATACGTATAGTTAACTAGCTCTAGTCTCGTATGACAACATCATTCAATTTTAATATCGCCAAGATTTTATAAAAAGATAGAAATCAAGGCCAGATTATAGATTATTTCCATGTCTACTATATCGATATAAACTTCTACCCATTTTGAATAAATCATTCAATAAAATCGCGAATCCCATTCATCTTAAGCTCAAATACTCCATTATAACGTATAATTGCGACGTTATAGCGATAATAATTTGTTCATCTGTAGCGACTTTTCTACCTTAATTGATAGCATAAATTTTAATATTAATAATATCGACAATCACTACCAGTACATCAATTCGTGCTACATAGGTTTAGGTATAACACAAAATATGGCATAATGCAGTACTCGTATTTATGTCTCGATATATTGTATCATGCAATAAATGATTACTTTATAGAGTAACTAATCAAAGATATAGTTCTTGCGCCCTTTTCATTTTCTGTTAAGTACTTTAAGCTGCAGTTTTTTGTTTAGGTTAAATAAATGAAAAGCCATGAGAATTCTAACGTTTTCAGCTTTAGAAATTATTATTAATGGCTTATAGCATGTCGTGCAATAGTTGTAAAGTAAAATATATAAGTACCTACGGTACGCCAAGTATAACGAGCCTGAGTTCTACTAGTATTTATATAGATGCTCTTGAGCTAAATTTGAATGTATTAAAAATTATAAAATGCATACTTTAAATTGATTCTTAGTTAAAATGTATAAAAAACGATGACTATGCATTCGCATCTTGAGTAGAATGGCACCGCCAGACATGGATAATACATTAATAACTGCATAGCTATTACAGGCTTGCGGTATGTCCTATCCTACGATTATAAATTTTCCTTCTAGCCATAATTTCTACGTACTATTAATAAACGATAATACATATTTTAAATTGATTCGTAGTTAAATAAACGAAAAATAATTATTAGCGTATCAGTCTTCTCTATATTTCAAATTTGAGTCTTGAGTAAAATAGTTCAACTAGATGTCTATAGATATAATTGATAGTCAGTATCAGGCTACGTACTCTTAAGACCTACGTATAATTCTAATTCTAAATCTACTTTTAGATTTAATTTCAATTGTTTGAAAGTAATAATCTCTATTTTAAATTGTTTCTTGTTTTCGATGGCCTAATGCAGATATATTCCATTTGGGGCAAGTATACAGGAAAGACGTGATATTTTTAGAAGATGATATAATATTATCACCTGATGCAATTAAAGTATTTTCTTACGGGATTCAAGTTAAGAAATCTCGACAAAGGGTTATTGCAGTTGGACTAGGTGGATGGTCGGGTGAAAACCTAATCAACGCACACCCAGATACTTTCGATATTCGTTACTCAGCTTTTTTTCCGTCAATGGCCTATGCATTTAATGCTTCTTTCTGGAAAACGATTAAAACATCAAAATTTCTAAAAATACCGAATAATGACTGGTCTGAATCACTGGGGCTTATTATCAATAGATTTATTAACCCACGGCCATTGTTTTTGCTTCCTACATTAGGTCGTCTATGGCATGTGGGTAAAGCAGGTTTAGGATTACGTGGTGATGGATCAATCAGGCGTGATGTCCAAATTGCTGCACATTGGTTAAAATCTCCACGATTAATTAACTTGGAAACTGCCTCTGTAAATACTGGTATTCGGGATATTTTTGGTTTTGTATGTAAAGAATCGGAATTGAGAAACATTTTCACGATGCGATGTCTCTGTCCACAATCTTATCAACGTTTTCCACCCGATAGACGATTTGAAATTGTGTGCTATCAATTTGGCAATTATATCCGCGATCCTTGCTTAAAAAAGTTTCCTTTTCTTTACCGAGATGAAAGTCAATGGTCGTGATAAGTATTCTGACTACAAGGAGTGTTTTCAAATTTTTGGTAGATGGCATAAGGTTATTATCCATGAAAAATATTGTATATATATATATATATAGGAATTGTATGCTTTGTCTTATAAAATGTACAATTATTATTATTAATCATTTACTACTAAGCTTATTGATACCAAAAATGTATATGGTTTATGAAAGAGTTTACTACTAAAAATTAATGTAATGTCCGATGCTACTACATGAGTGAAATAGACATATTTGTGAATAAGTATATATCACGTTATTTAAACCTTAAGATAACTCATAAGGTCAAATAATAAAAAGTGTTTCAAGTGCGTTGCTTTATTACAAGTCTTAAATAATTTTAATTACTATCCGAAATATTCTTATCGTTAATCATAAAATAAGGATGACCCTGGTAGACGGTATTTCTCCTATTTATGTGTACGCGTACATGAAAGTACTAATTGCTTAATAACTGGAGCGCTGAAATTGATAGCAAAATTAAACCATGAATTGTTATATTAAACTTTCGATTCTGTATACAAATTTCCACATAGTTTGCTATTCAATGTTTCATCGAATTCAAAATTTCAATAAAATTTCAAATAAATTACCGAGGCAGAATAACTCATTCTGTTGCCGTAAGAACTTTTCTTTGACATAACGTACCGTAATCTTCTCTAGTCAGCCTTAAAAATTTTTTAATTCGTATCGCAATGTAAAAGATATCTATCAGTCTATTGCTGAATCAAAATAATAAATTGTACCGGTTAGACAATCACACGCTTTAGAACTATTCCATTATAAAGAGAGAATTCCTCAACATTAATTGGGGTAATTCTCCCTTCTAAGCTTCGAATATATTACAATATTGTAGTTGAAAAGGTATCAAAGCTATCAGTAAATCAAAATAGTAAATTGCCTTGGATAAAAGTCTATCAGCTTAATCTGTAATAGGCGGGTATTGCGTATAGGATAATGAAACTCTGATGTACTGCTTCCGGCACCCCGTAATATGAAGCATAAAAATAACACAGTAGAAAAAGCTTTACAAATTTCCAATTTACTGTATGTACGATAAAATTCGTGGCCCAACGGTGTGCATCAGATATTGCAGTCATTTGTCCTGTCAAATACATTCGAATATGTAGTAATCAATTTATCTTTATATAATTTCATTTATTTAAAGAATTTGTCATTTCCTATTCGCCGATACCTTCGCAGCGTCTGTACAGTCGTCATAACGCAAAAATTTTTAAAATATCAGCCGATATTTCATGTACAGTAGATTATAAATGACAAGTACATCATACTTGTATTTCAGCTGAACATAGTTCGGATGTAGTTTCCGATGGAGCACAATATACATGATGTGTACAGTACTTCCATTGAAGTTCGTCAAAGTAACAAGATATCTTGGTATGTACGGCACTAGCTAAATCGTACAGTGGTTGCTTATAAAGGGCACTATTTAAACTTATATCAAATCTTATTCTTGATTACGGACAAAATAGACATAGATAAAAAGAGTCTCTATTGAGTCGATCGTATCCATGTATACTAAGCCACATTTATCTAAAAAGGGTTACTATAACCTAGAAAACGAATACTACGAAGGAATAGCAGAATCTAATACGGAGACTTTATCGGTAAAATAGACTACAGTATTTCATTATAAAGTTATACATAGCTAAGTTTCAGTACTCCTATGCAGTCACAAGAATCGGTTTGACATTATTATAAAACTATTGTTGTTGCTAAGATTTTTACTATTTTCAAAGAGATCCACTATCGTGCCTGTTCTGGAGTACCACTGTTGTTATTAAAATATTTAAAACTCGCTCGTAGTAGCCTAAAAATAGTGAAAATAGGCTCTAATTAGATTATATATACAGTAGGATATAACAAATGAAATAAAGCATCATTTATGTAAAGGAATTAATGAATACTGTAACCTACTTTCTTTATTTATGAGACTTGGTTGCATCTTTTGGCTTCTTGTATTCCACTTTTAATTTCTTTCCATAGACCATCATACCGTTTAATGTAGAAATTGCATGATGGGCAGACGAAGCATTGTCATAGCTTACAAAGCCTAACAGGGTAAGAAAAATTACACTTTATTGAGAGCGCAAGTGAATAACAGATACCTCAACAGCACAATAGTACTTTTGTTGTTATTATAACTAGGTGAATGTTTATAACAAATAGCTAACATAAGCATGTTATGTAACTAGTCGAAATAATTGGAAAGGCATCTTTGAAATATTTTATGATTCATTTTATTGTCACTAATTGTAAAAAATCTATCAATTAGTTTTTGACTTTAAACTTACCAAAACATTTACTTTGCTTCGTTATTTTATTAATATACACCTTCGCACTAACCACATTACCATAAGGTGCAAAAATATTATGGAGGTCATAATCTGTGAACTCTGGTGGCAAATGGTAAATAAATAAATTACAGCCAGCAGGTCCTAGTCAAAAATAAAAAATTATAATTAATACTTTAACAATTATGAATGATTTCATACGTATTTCTTAGTTATAATAAAAACAGGGTCAAAATTGCAATTACCTTCCTTAGGGGATACTGTACTCGCCGAAACCGAAGCAGCATTGTGATTGAAAGGTGCATATTGGGCTATCAAATATTTGACTATGTATGAGTATTATAGGTATCTCAGTACAAACAGTAATAGAGTACAAATGCTCACTTACCACTGTAGGGAGATTGAATTTGATCCACCAATCCGTTAATGTTAATTTGATACCCAGGGAAGCCATATCCAACAGCACCAGCAGATCCGGTAACAACATTAGAGTTGTTTTGAGTCGTTGTTGCTAAGGAACGATTCGATAACAGCTAGTATTAATATTATTTTATAGCTACAATTTATAACAAATCCCGGAAAATAAATTACTGCATGACTAATAAAGAACCGTTGACTTTGTGTTTATAATGATGAAAGTATCACCATATGTGTGTAAGTAAAAACGAATAAGATGATTTATTATTTCTATTGCTGTAAAGTTACCAGGAAAAGTAACTGAAGTTTGGGGGTGAGACATTGAGGTTGAATTATGCGAATGACTTCCAGCATTAAGTCGGTGATTAGCTGTATATTGACCCATTAATCCTACATGTACACCATAATTTTGATTGGAGTTATTTTGTTGCTGCATAGCTGGTTGAAGGGCAAACTGTAAAATAAATGTGATCGTTACCATGTGATATACGCATGACAATACAGGTAAAAAAATTTGCTATGTAAAGAAAGAGCTGTTTCACAATTGAGAGCGAGACTATATAAAAGTAGTACCGCTGAAAGTAATGAAATTTCATATCGTGCGATCAACAAAGTAGCAAACAGTAAGTATGTCTGATACTTCAGAGTACGTGTTGGTGTTTGTGATTTACAGCTCCAAGTTTTAATTAAAGTTGTGGTTTTGAACTGTTAGATGGCATAAACGAATTCTAGCGAGTGTTGTAGGTCACTCGTATAATAGTATAAATAATTAATATTAGCTTACCTGCCCATAGGATCCATAATTATTATACTGCGGAGCATATGATGCATATTGTCGACCGAAATTTACGATATGATTATTCGATGCATTTTTTTGCATCTTTCTGATATATTTATCTTTTTCTGTATCAGCAAATTTAACTACCAACTGATGAGATGCACCCTGTAAATGTATAACAATAGAATATGAGTAGTTAAGGCAATACCCATAATATCTACACTAAATGTTAAATACTTTTACTTACAGGCATATTACGGCTACCATGTAAATTCTGAATAGCTACTTGAGCTTCAGACTTAGTCGAAAATTTTACAAAACCACATCCTAGCGACAGGCAAATAAATAAGTTATTTTGAATGGAGAAAGCTGCTATCCCGTTAACCTGTTTATTTAACATATTTTAGTTATACTATATTTACCTTTACTAGAGCCGTCTATAGCTCTCAAAATAGTTACTTCTTCAATGCTACCATAGGGTGAAAACATAGATTTTAATTCATTTTCATCATCTAATTTACCCAACATTCCAACGAACAATTTTCTTTCTTCTATAAAAATATCAGAGAAATCATTTCAACCTGGTGATAGATTCATACGAAATAGCAACTAAACATCATTTATGGTACTTGCTGTGGTAAGCTGACAACGCAGTGATAGTAATAAGTAAAAGTGTTTTATTGTGATTTCTGTATAATGGCTAAGTCTATTTTTATCATTGTTGAATAATAGAATTTTACCACTTGCTCTTATTGCTATAAAATTAAAACCGAAGTATTGATAATCTCTTAAATAGTGGACAGTATTTACATTCTGAAATGTTACCTCGATTTTCACAGTCCGCTGGCTTAACTTGCATTGGCCTTGGCATCTTAATATATCAAATATAGTATATTATTAGTACGATTAAATTCTATTTGGTATAAAAACTACCCTAAACCGCATCTAAAAAATGTCTCAATAACCATATTGATCTTAGAATTTGTCTCGATTAGGCTCATTTCTTAAATGAATATAAAATTTAATATCATTTGCAATCATAATCAGAAATAACACTGTATCGGCGATGGCACCTAGAATTGTATAGTATTTATTAATTAATTTTTAAAAAGCTATGAAATCCTTGTTAAAACTGCAATTGATTGATAAATATTTTGCAAAGGCATTCAACTTTCGAGTCATCTTCTTTGTATAGATTTTATCTACTAAAGTGTCACGCCAGAATTGCAAGGTCAAAAATTTACTAGGGTATTTACAACATTTCCAAATTAAATAAAACTATTAAAAAGTTTTACTATTGAAGATAGAACATAAAACTACTTAGTGATATGTTATCTTTTTGCAGTAAATTGTAATCATTGCTATATTTGTATTATGTGCATTATTTCGCTTGATTTCATTATCACTTGGGTTTCTATAATTTATCGTTCTTTGAATAAATTTTCTTTCGATGCTTATTACTGCTAATTTAGTTCACTTATACGCACATGTCAACTTCCATGGAAGATTATCGACAGTTTAGATCTGTAAACAAATTTTAACTTGCAGTTTGACGAAAACAACTTACTCCTGATAAAACTTTCTTTTCATGGAAAGCTGACTGAGCAGCTTCGGCACTAGATTTCTTACAATATGTTACAAAAGCACATCCTAAAACATAAAATAAAAGCATAGAAGAATGGAAAGATTACTTTTATGCAGAGTACAGTCATCGAAAAATATAAAACAAAAATAAATTAATCCTCTTCATTAGTATCATGAACTGAATGACTTTTACATCAATAACTACTATAACAATATTGGTCTGTACTTGTACGTTAATGTATGAAAATATCAGTTTTAGCCCAAAGTAATGTCAATGTTGGCAACGTGAATTTCCGTAATTGCTAACTTAACCTATGCATCTAAGAGGGAAGAGATGATGTACCCATACCAACAGCGAACGATGCCACGAATAGTATAAAGAACTGTGCCTATTGCAATCCTGAAATTGTCATAGTGTTATGTGCAGCATCCATATAGTATGCTACGGTATAGTAATCGTTGCAACAATTATGTGACTGATCTTTAAAGATCTAGGCACTCACGGTCATATAATTTGCAACATTTTTAATTGGAAATTGTCGTTGTGTAACAGTTATCTAAGTTAATGATTTGAAATAGACTTTACGACACTAAACTGGCCAGATTACAACACGATGTAACATTTTCTCTTTTCATAAAGTCTCTTAATTTTTGACTCTACAAAGACAGTGATACGAACTTAGTATCAGTTGCTCCGTTGTAGATTGCTAAATATAAGGTACATAAAACCGTTAAATTCAATTCTCAACAAACAAGAATGCCTTGTTGAATCGATGAAATGAAAAGCACTAAGCATGCTACTTACATTATGCAGTCAAAGACTGCTAGCAATATATCAATGTCATTTTAGTAGCCTATGGTACAGCATATTGTATAATGCGTAACCCCCCAAAATTGAAGATTTCTTTTCGATATTGTAGTTGTAGTCTACTGTAGTATGGATTCAATTACACCGTCTATACAGGCTACAGCACAATCCATAGTAGTACAAACTGCATTTTATCATGCTGCGTCATGACAACCTGTCAAATTCAATTTTGAAGCTGTAGTGCTCATGAATAAGAAATAATTGCAGTATTTCGTTCTACAGATAAATCGGTTTATTTATACCTATCCTGATTTTATTATTTTTATAAGATAAAGTGGTATGTTTCTTTCGGACCTTTCTATGACTTCATTTTCATCCATGGAGTAGAGTACAGAGATAATTAATGATTTTCTTGCCTAGCTTACTCATTTTTTCCTAGGCTCCAATTGCTCTCCGTATTCGATTGATTGTAATAATAGGGCATGCGCTCATCAGTGAAGCTAGGAGAATAACGCAGCAGGGAACCAGGGAGTTCATGTCATTAATTCAAAAATGCATTTAAATGCAGTTATAGCTGATGATGTTGTACAATAAGGCAGATTGTAGAATTTATCTGACTAAAGTTAATCCATGCTCCAGAATCCATCCTGACACGATCTATATTAATGGCCTGTCATTGTAATAGCGAGAAGACTAGGAGATTGATTTAATCATTACTCAATTAAGTTAAGAGAAAATTAATGACCCTATACTAAAGTATTTGATCAATAATTAAATATCTCTCTCTATATATATACTGTATAATATAATTGTAATAGCCATTGGCTTCTTTGTAGGCGCATGTATTTTCCAATACTGAGTCCGTTGCGCTGTTCCTAGGTGTGATCATTGGACCAAACGGTACAGTACTGCCTGACTGTGGATTAGAATTACAATACGTGCACAACAGTGGTCACCTTCGTATCGGGCACAGTATAGGTAGTCACGCGTAGTCGCTCAAGAAGGAGAAACAAGTCAAACTTGACCATGGCTAATCATGAATTGTATGATTCTTGTCAAGGCTGGATAACGTCTACTACAATATGCAGTATCCGGCATTTAGTGCTTGCAGATCTATGGTAGCCGATTGTGATGGAGAAATATCGTCAAGGAGATTTGACTAGGGGCAATCCGATGCAGAACACACTTTGATACTTTGTTTCGTTTTTACAATGCACATTGGACTTCTTTGATTGGCTGCAGCAACACGCTGGTGAGCCACAGTCCTTCCAGTCCAGTACAGTACTGTAAGGCTGCTACTGTACTGTAGCGTTGAGTGAAAAAGCTCTTTCAAAGTGTTGACTACAGTACTACAATGGACTGTAGATTTTCTATTTGTTCTGGGGGTCCATGCGACGATGGGACCATGCAAGAGATTCTTTTTCTACAGAATCAGATCCTCGATAAATTTTTAATTTTCAACTGCAAATAATTTTCCTTTTGTCGTTATTATCAAGGCAAATGATTGAAGAATGAAAACGGTGTTCTGACGAGATCTGGAATCAGTATCCGATTGCAAGTTATTCCAACCACGGATGATTGCAGACAGGAGACCTCGACAACAAAAACTTGGCGATTCTGCAATGCTCTCTACTGTATAGTACAGGACAATATGACAGTACAAAACTTAGTTGATTATTTAGCTGTTCGAGTGGCAGTGAGATTAGTCAAACTAGACATCGTCGTCTTCAAGTTCACCGAACCTACAGTACTCATCGTACATGACCAAACAGTACTTTTACGATGGCGACACAGTGTCGTCAAGATCGAGCCAAGAAAGCATACCGTAGTTGGCTCAGACAAATATTTGTCTCAATTGTCACATGTTACTGTTAAAACTCAGTCTGGAACTGCAAAGTGCTGACACTATTCTTCCCTAGTGTACAGCAGCCGGCACAAGTGCCTACGACTGCGTACAGTCTACTATACTCTATGTCCAGAGTGAATTGCAGCACTGGCAGTGCAGCAGTTTGGACTCGTTCCATTATGACAATGCCACCAATTCAGCATTCATACTGTACTAAGACTGACTGGGAATCGTGCACACTGCACTGTGCAGTGGCATTAACACATTGATTAGAAGGGGCATTTCTAAAAAATGATTCATCAAAAAATTCTTGTCCAAAAAATGAATTGAAAGTGAGGAGTTTGACCCTCACTAATCTACGTGTAGGGTCTGCTTGGTGTCTATCTATTTTCCATGCTTGTGAGTTACTGTACTCTCTGTGCAAATGGTGATCACTGGCATGAAACAAACAGTGGATCGAGTGTTGTCAATGCTCAGACTTTACAATTATTCAGATGACGTCTAAAAGTTGTTCACAACCCTTACAGTGTCTTCAAGCACAATATCTCGTATGCTATACTGTCTGCCGCACCATCAATGATACACAACGAATCGCAAAACCAAAGGACATGACAGTATTTGAAGATAAAGCCAACACTGCTGTACAGCTTGTGCCTATTGTTGCAGACAGTATACTGTACGGAACATCAAGTCATCCATTAGAACTGTCCATGGTTGGGTCTACAATATCATTCTTTCCTCCATATCAAGATGCAAAATCACTTCTTTACAGGCGATACTGTTCTCTACTGTGGAATGATCGTTGCTGACCAACAATACATCTATCATTAAAATGCCAATGATATACGCACAGATGTGTCGAGATGAAGTATTTTAAATGCTATAACAGCAGCACCAGTTTCCATCATTTTTTTACTTGACTACAGTCTACTGTATACTATCGTTTTACAAAGTTATTGGGTCACTTGGGTGTCTCTCATCTCCACTTTCGTCATGCACTATACTATAGTAAAAAGACTAGGGATGAAGTGAAATTGATAGTATCAGCTCGTAAACTCATGAGCAAGTGGCCAATGCATGTTGAATCGCTTATGCATCTACTTGTTTAACCTACCTTTATGTTGTTTGGTAGTTCGATCTTTGATAACAGCTAACTCGTAGATCGGACCAAATTGATCAAATAATGAATGGAGATCTTCTTCCGTACAGTCGCGTGGCAGTTGACCGACAAACAATTTGATTGCGTCCTTATCTTTTACGGCGCTTGTTATTTGTAATGAATCATTTCCATTGCTATCGACGGATGTTGTCGGTCCATTACTACTGTTACCAGGTGCTGCCATTACTCACTTTCGCTGACTGACTCTTGGAGTCGCTTCCTATCACCTGATAATTATGTACGTAATTTGCAAGATCTGCGATGACAGCGATGCGTGTTATCGACTATACTGTAACTTTGGAACACAGTACAGTATTATCCAACACAGCTACAGTAAAAGTTAGCTTGAACAAAGTGGCTACTGTACACTACTACAGTACTGTACTACAGTACAGTAGCGACTCCACTCAACGTTGAAATTGTACCGTACTGTAGAGATTGGATTACCCGCTGAAAAGAAAAATGAGTACAGTACTGCAGTTTTCCGCCACCACGGTGACACAAAGTACAAACGTGCCAAAGTGCACCACTAGTCGACTACACCACAAGCGAGTTCAGCCGATAGCAGTCTACTGGTCCTACAGTCTCCACTACAGTCAAGCACAAGTACTATGCCACTAGCAAAGCACTCTGCCATTCAGATCACGTGGTGTACTGACGTCATGAACTCATCGCTACATCATGGACATGGACGAGTTGATGGCCCATGCTGAACTCTACAGTACTCAGTACTGTAGTACAGTACCCTAGTGTACAGTACAGTACCGTACTGTAATGCATGCTAGGGACTTGTGTACAGTACTCTGCACTCTACTCTACACTGTACAGTCTTGAGTCTTTCTGTCGCTTGGGTACTCTACTGTTACACTATTTACTGCATTTTTCTCATTCACTGGCGATTTGGCCAAGAAACAGGATCGACTCCAATCTCAGCGCAACCTTGTTTAAAGAAGTGGATGCATTTTATAAGTTTGCAACTGGACTAGGGATCCAAGCTTATCATTTCATGACTGATAAAATAGTTATAGAAAGATCTTATTGATACTCTGGCTGGTTTATTGAATGAACAATTTGCCAAAACGATACAAGGTAAGCTCAAGTAAATCAAGTAGATATTATAAATACACAACTGTGTCAAGGGAAAGACCAAACCAACTGGAGCCAATTGCATTTTGTCTTGTTTTCAATAAGGCTGCCATGGATTATTCACCTCGAACGATACGAGTACTCTACTGTACTGTACTGTACATTATTAGAATTGCCTAATCAGCAATCCACCGATGTACTGTAAAGATCAGCACGTTACCCGCCTTTATAGAATGATTTACTGTTGAAATAGATAGGAAATGATGTTTCTTTTTGATCATTACACTACATAACTTGATAGATATTGATAGATGCGACATCAACATGACTAACTTAATATCAAGTTGGTTAGCGTGAAAGGAGACAAGACTGAAGCACAGAATACTGTAGCGTCTACTGACGCAGTTCTAAAAAGTATCGACATACACAGTACAGTAGATATCCCGTATAGCGTGCAGTCGGAGAATACTCTGAAATACAAGTACTATTACTTGACGAGCAATCAGTTTACCACTAGGAAAGGGAGCAAGTACGTTGCATCATTGTTGCATGGCTTAAAGCTAAAAATGGCTGTGTCAGCCATCGGAGTTGAACCATGCAAAGCTATACTTCTTTACTTTAAATATACTGTACAATCAATTGAGATGATACTGTGAGTCGTTTACAGGATAGCTATTTAATTAATTTATAATTAGATATTAAAATGATAGTGTACGGTAGACGCTTTCATACAAATTTTTATGCGTTGCTTGGTGTCTATCATGAAAACTGGATGATATTGACTACTGAAATCAAATCTAAAAGTGAACTATTCTATGTAGCATAACTGGAAACCGAATCTTAGTCTTTTTTTTTTAATCCATGTTATTTGTTATTAAAGCATTCATTTATATTAACAGTATAGTGTAGATCAACAAGCACATCCGATAGCTTAGTGCACACTATAGCTAAATCAATGTATACTGTCCGTACAGTATCGCTCTAGTCGGATGTCTGTGTTGATGATGTGAAATTTGCTCGTTTTTCAGTACAGATTAATAAGAATATATACTTCACTTTGCACACACTAATGTGATATAGTGCAATTGCTAAATGTGCATTGAATCCGTTAATTTATGGATCTTCAAATTAAGCAATAGTAACAAAGTTCAAATTTCACGTTAAACATTCAAAAAGTTAATGAATACAATCGTATTATCTTATTATTGCATTCATTCCTGTATCAACCATCTAATGATGTAGTTTACTAGCCTGTATGAATTTTGTTCTAGAGTATACTGCACTTCAATTGGTACTGTACTGAATACAGTAATTCATTATAGGGGAATGATAGTATAAGTTTCATTCACCGCATGATATTTTTATTTTCTTGTACTTGCTCGCCATTTTATCAATCGATCAAGAGCGTATCTTGACAAAAATGTAACATTGACATTTTGTTATTATTAAACAATGTGTACAGTACAGTATAAGTACGTAGAGTACAGTACAGTCCCGATACGGTGGTGCTTGTACTGTACAGTACAGTACAGTCCATTTCTTATCTCGATAGAGGCGTGTAAGGATAAGGATAGGTCGGCATTTCCAAGCATTGGAGGTAGCGTCGTTTAGACTGACTGTACAGTACTGTACCAGTACTAACGCTAACGTACTACGCGTATGAATTTGCTCTTTACAAGGCCTTGACTGTATCCGTAAATCTAAAATAACTTATCACATTTATGATTGATCATGATTGATGTAAGAGAAAGATATTTATTTATTTAAGATTACAAGTTCGCAATGCCAAGAACTGAAATTGGCGCAACATCAATCTACTTTAAAATTAACATGATACTGCATAAATAAGAGTAATGCTTTGAAGTGTACATTACATGAGTTGAGTTAGAGGTTAAATTAATTTAAACTAACAGCATTACTATATTAGTAGAGATTCGATATCATTCTCGTTCTCAAGTTTCCTGCTTTTACTACCTACTCTACTTACGATGATAGTACTGTGTGAACAGTGCAGTCTTGCGTGTGCCTTGTTTGCAAGCATTTCAAATATGTCGTGTACAGTGCAATGCTGTGCCTAGTCAAAATCAGGTCGTTCGCCTTTCCTCGATCTGAAGTACAGTAGGTAGTAACCAGGGACAACTTCAGGTCAAAAATATTTTTGACCTGAAATTGTCCCTGGTACTAAATGTATAACCAGCGTATTCTTTCTCGTAAACAGCCACTAGTATTATATAAACTACAACCTTGAATCTATAAATAGATATGGATTAAATTTAGCTACTTCAAGGATTAACTGCGTGCAATTTTATCTACCAACTTGAATTAATATAGTAAATGAACGTAGTACGATGCCGTGAAATTATAATCGTATAAAAGTATATTAATTGATATGATGACTACTGTCGACTTTTTGTAATGCTTACAATTATCAACATATTAATAAACTATGAATACTAGAATGAATTGAAGTTACCCTCAGTTCTAGCTGTGCATCTACTGTACCAAGGTGCAAACGTCATTGTATAAAGAGAATCAGTATTGTAATTTATATGAAACCGTGATATCATTTCCTGTCGTAATTTTTATACACTGTTAACATACAACGTAAACGTATAATTCAATTACCAAAGTATAGCATATTGAAATTTTCCTTTACTTATTATATTGTGCAGATTATCAGCAGCAGTCAAATCGCAAGATTTACGGGGCGACGCTTACATCATGAGTGCATCTGGATCTGGTGATGCGACGCTTGGCATTGTTCATACGTTGATGTGCCATCGTCAAGGCGGTGAATCGGAAAATTTTGCTAAACGTGCCGTAGAATCGTTAGTAAAAAAATTAAAAGATAAGCGCGATGAACTTGACGCTTTGATTACAGCTGTGACTTCGAATGGAATTCAGCAATCTAAATGCGTTACTATCGCTGTGAGTATATCAATTATTGGCTATCTAAGTATGCGTTCTCCCTTAGGTTGATTATTAACTTTTTGGGGGCCATTTCCTATATTAATTTTTGAGGTATAATATTATTTATCGAACATTTGTGCAGAGAACTTTAGATGGTCGATTACAAGTTGCTGGTAAGAAGGGTTTCCCTCACGTTATTTATTCGCGAATCTGGAGATGGCCTGACCTTCACAAAAACGAATTAAAGCATATAAAACTTTGCAAATTTGCCTTTGATCTTAAATTGGATCATGTTTGCGTTAATCCTTATCATTATGAGCGAGTTATTTCACCTGGTTAGTAATGGATAATAACAATGCTACAGTTCTTTAAATCTATCTATCTTGTTATTCTATACCTATAACAGAAATTCGTAAAATCTTGACGATTTAAGATAGTGAATCGTGATCTGGATATTTGTTTCTTATTAAATTTTAGAGCTACCCCCATTTTCTATACCACATAATTGTAAGTTTAATAGTCCCTTAATCTAGTTCCATACAGAGAAAAATTTTGACGTTTTTAGCAATTTACAACTGTAACTGTATCGCTTTTGTTTTAATGATCTTTCTATTTCTTGGCCTATGACCGAAAGATGCCGGTTACCCTCTAGGTAAGAGATAGATAGCTGATGTTCTGTTTATAAAGCGTTTACATAAAAGAAATTCTTGATGTCGTAGTTCTCCTGTAGAATGTATTGTACAGTGTATATGTTAAAGGAATGCAATACTTTTATTATAGCACGTCAGTAATATCAATACTCAGTGCAAACTGGCTAATCATGTCGTAACTAAGTTGCTGTAGATGCTAATGATTGCGGTCATTCTTTTATTCTTTCATTAACTATCAATTGAATTACATATGCATTACGATTTCTTCAAATTGAATAATTAGAAGGGAATGGCTCAATGACAGCGGTCAACGAATATCAGAACGCGCAAATGATGCACGGTTGGTCTATTGACTTATATTTTATTTCGTAGTCATTATCACTAATATTGTTGCTTAGTTTGTTACCTTCGGATCGTATATAAGGACTAGTACAATTGATTAAAGTTTTTTTTAACTACTGCGATATCGGGTGATAGTAACGTAACTGATATTTCTATAGGTGCATCGCAGATACCACTAACTGTCGATCCGACTGCAATAACAAATAGCATGCATGCTTCTCGTCAGCAGCCTAATGAAGCCGCAATTAGGATGCATAATAATCAACCTTCACCTATGGCAATGATGGTAAATAGTCCAGATCCTCGTATGATAATGAACGGTGGTATCTCGGCGCCTACGGCCTCAACTTCATGTGTAGATAACTCTGGAGGAACTAGGATGATGGGTCTTGATCCCGAAAGCGTTGGTTGGTATATATTGTATTATTTGTACCTTAGCGCTATATCAGTGTACGATCTTTTACAGAAAAGTGTTTCTTTAAAGATCACTTTAAATATTTACTTGCTTAAGTAATATAGAATTTGATAAATGAATTCAAAATCAATATTACATTGCTATATTTATCCAGTAGATCACGCCATTACAGATGACTTTAACAGTTTAAATGTTAATGATGGCTTAAATGCACCAAGATTCAGCGATTACCAACGTAAGTGTGCCATGCCAGTTATTAAGTTAATGCAATTTAATATATATCACGCTTTGTATTAATGTGTAATTATTTTGATTCATAAGTTTATTTAAAATCAGTACATTTGACCTGTTAAAAATCAAAACAACAATTTTTGTAGAACCCGGAGACCAATTCATGTATGATAATGGTAAATGGCCTACATCTGGGTATAATAATAGTATCCCAGTTAACCCTCCTCCTCGTACCGGACAAAACACTGCTTACTGTAATAATAAATAAACCTACTGTGAAATTTTATACGATACTATAAACAGTAATACTCGAGTCACTGTATTATTGTATAGGGACTCAAGCAGCAAGTTCTCCGTCAGCGGCTTCCATGCCCAGACCAATATCTAGTCAACCTCGTAAGTTATCGAAAATAAAAATTTTTTTTTCAATTTTGTCTTTGTAAAAATCTATAAATCACAACAAATGATACTTTCTTGCCTATATAGCTCCGGACAATTGGTGCACTATAGCCTACTACGAGTTAGATTTACAAGTTGGAGAATCATTTAAAGTCCCTTCTCAGTTTCATACTGTTTCTGTAGATGGATTTGTTGATCCATCTGGAGGCAATAGATTCTGTTTAGGCCAACTTTCAAATGTGCATCGTACTAAAGAAAGTGAACGTGCCCGTCTTCATATCGGTAAAGGTGTAAGATTGGAATGCCATGGTGAAGGTGACGTTTGGTTAAGTTGTCTTAGCGAGCATAGTGTATTTGTCCAAAGCTATTATTTAGACCGAGAAGCTGGCCGAGGGCCGTTTGATTATGTGCATAAGGTTTATCCTAAGGCATACATTAAGGTAAGACATCGTATACTTTATGGTATAGTCAAGTATTAGCTAATGATATGGAATTTTAATATCGGCCTATATTACAAATTATTAAGACGTGATGATTATGGCACTAGGTATTTGATTTGCAGTTATGCTATCAACAAATGCAACAAGAAGCCAGCAAAGCTCAAGCGGCAGCAGCCGCGCAGGCCGCTGCTGTTATTGGTACTGGTGGTAGTGTAGGTGGAATTGCTCCTGCTATAAACATGGGTTCTGCTCTTGGTATAGGTACGATAGATAAATAATGTGGCTATACTTCCCAACAAATTCTTATACTAAGTATGTCATTTCAATTTTTTTTTAAACACATTTTTATGGGTTTAGGAGTCGATGACTTACGGCGATTATGCATTTTGCGATTTAGTTTCGTTAAAGGGTGGGGACCTGATTATCCTCGTAAGGATATTAAGCAAACACCCTGCTGGGTTGAAATTCACCTTCATCGAGCTTTACAGCTTTTAGATCAAGTATTGCAATCGATTCCATCTACAAATCGAATGCCACCAGATTAAAGTGATTTAGTCACGATGAAATCACTAATTGTTCTATGGTTAGAGATTATTCAAAATTACTAGTAGTCCTAAAGCATATGATCATATTAATACTTTAGTATTTGTATTAACAGGTATTCTCGTATTGAAAATAAGATTAATATTAGGCGTTCTACTGTAGTATAATAATTTTAGACGCTATTTCCAGCAATTGCATCATTGCGTTATAAACGTACTTTGTGTAAATTTCAACGTTTTTAATACTTAGTACTGACCATATGCGTATCGTATCTAGATAGTATCTATTTCAAATTAGTAATAGAACTCATTAGGATTTAATCGTACTAATTAACTCTTAAAGTACAAGTTTCATTAACCCAGAATCATGTATAATCGTCAACGCTCTTGATACCGCGTCAATACCGATATGATTTTTTATAAATGTATGATTGTAGGCAATGATTCACGATCAAAGAATTAATCATATTTACTGTGTAATATTACGTTGCTAGATAAATTTATTGCATATAGGAATAATTTGCGAGATCAATTGCATCAATCTGTAACGCAACATTTGTACTAGCACGCAAGGTTAGTGATATAACATGGTGCTAATAGATTTGATATCTATGGATAAGAGAATGTTTGGTAATGAGGGCTAAGAATATTGTGTCCAATCTGTCTTTAAGATTATGAAATGAAATCGAATTTTAAGGGGCTAAAATATTTTTAAGTTATCAACATTGTGCGTCGATCACACTTTATGTGAAGCTGCGGTTTAACACGGAATTAAAGTTTTAAACCCTAAGCAAATGATAGTGCTACGATATATGCATAGAACGCATACATGTCTCACTTATTTAACATAGCGTTTTTTACCTGGCACTACGTTGTTATAGCATTGCCATTGTTCTATTTTATTACTCGTTTTGAATTGCAACCTGTAAAACCATGGATGCACTGTAATCTTTAAGAAGATGATACTCCAAAAAATATACTAACATCCATTAATTACTAAACTAGCAATGCAGTAATGAGGTTATCTTTAATTTTTGACACCAGTCCTTCTGATTGGACTTGTTACTGTATATCACACATAATTACACATTTTGTATTGAAATGTTTACCTAGCTCATTGATTATATTACCGTTAACTGGGTTGAATTTTAAAAGAATGATTCTTAAGCCGTAATTAAAATTAGATGAATAAGATATGCGTCTATTTAACCGTGTTTATGTATATTTATGATTCTATGCAAGAGCAGATCAGTAAAATATATACGTTTATGCGTATTTAACTTAGAATAAGTCCTGAATAACTGAATCACAAACCATATTCGTGTGTTCATGTTTTAACGATGTGCGCTTAGATAGTTGTATAAGCATACATAGGTATTACGATAGTAGCAAAGTAGAGCAGTAACGAAGTCTATTGTGCTATACCGGACTATCTCGTATACTCTCTACTCATATAGTTGGACCGCTGATATTACTGGTGTAAATAAGTTGTCAACATGACTATAAAATGGACATCAGATATTGATTTGGCTCGAAAATGTAAAGATTGATCGTTATGTATGTATAATAAGTCAATGATGGTTCTATTTGCATGGTACTACGTAAACTGTCGTACTTACTGTTAAAAATTAATTATTATACTGTATAATATGATTTCTCACGAATGTTCCAGGCTAAGTATGAGTAGTGAGTAGTGACTTGATGTTTCAAAAGGCCGTCTATGAGCATTAACAGCTCAGTTTAATAATTAGAAAGTTATTTTTAGTTTTGTTTTATTCTTAACAGAAATGATGCGTACAATATCGTACGTATTCCAGTAGAGGCTGTTGTTAATTAATTACGTAATTATACTGGGGATCATACGCGTAAATGTTAATGATAATTTCAATCGTCCGTGCTTACAATGGCATCGAAATTACAGTACCTTGATCATATATATGTCTACTGTACAGTTATTCATGCATACTGAACAGTACAGTATACGAATACGGTTAATTAATAGTACGAGTATCAACATGCACAAATTAGCAGTAATAATATAAAGCCGTAGTTTGTTTGTGGAGAAATGCTGTTCAAACTGAGTAAATGAGCATTACAGCCAAGGTCCATGTAGACTACTTCATGCTGTAATGTGTGCTAGAGAATACTATTATATTACTGTGCTGTACATATTGGGATCGCTTGATGATCCGCCTATAGGTCATGATTGTAAGAATTTTTCTCTTTAACTTAATGTACAATATTTGAACTCTGTTACAACTTCCAAATTTTGTAACAAGTACTAGATCTGCACTCAGCAAGGAGACCCAGTAATTAAGTTGAAGAACTAACTTTATTGTTAAAATAATGAGTTTATATACTTTCTTTATTGTGACCTTTGATCTACTGGCATAGATCACAAGATCATCACTAAGAGAAAGGTTTCCCTAGTTTAGACATTACAAATAGGATATCATACCGAGTATGGCAACATGAGAATACATCTATAGATAAGCTTAATATAGTACCATAACTACATCAAAATATACGCATGACGTGATAATAACATCGTGATATTTAACCATATATAGAAAGAAGGTAACATACTAATTATGTAACTATTACAGAACGTGACAAACTCATAAAGGTAAAAAAAACTTCAAGGTTAAACTGGGTGAACTTACATAATTTTGAAAATTATTATTATTTTTTTTTTTATTTTAAACAGTACTCTTACAGTAGAAAAAGCACCTCTACTGCACACTGTAGAGTACAGTACATTGCACGCTGTATAGTACTGTTCAGTATGCAGAAAAAATGTTCCAGTACAATACACTGTACTGTATTCTGTACAGTATTGTGCCAAATCATCATTACGCTTCAAATCGTGCAAGTCCTAGTTAGTCCAAGTGAATGAAGTGAAGTGATACGACGATAGTATGAGTGTGTGACGGTGACACCACCTGTACGACTGTACCGTACCGTACGTCAAATTTTCAAGAGAAACAATGCGATGTTGTCTCATACGCCAATACCGAGTGATGCATCAACCACTTCAGTCGAAGAGTCCGTGCAGGCGAAAACTCACTTTGGCAATTCATTGAATACGGAGAAGCAAGATGGCCTCAAGTTCTGTCATTACTTGTAATTCTGATGTTGAATTTGAAAGGGAATTCAACAAAGCTGGAGAAAAGTTACTAGTGGTTGATTTTACGGCAACATGGTAAATATTCGGATATCATAGGGCCTTTGATATTGTATTCTTATTGTAGAAGAATAAGAAATGTTTAGCTGACTTGTTGCAATACGTACCAGTGCAAGTATAGTACTGTATCAATAGCAGTGTGAAGCAAGTGAAGTTGTAGAACCTTTTCCCTGTCTTCTAAACGAAGCTGCCTTGTCCTGTGTATTAGTGGTTCTTTGCTGAGAATACCATTTATAATTTCATGAATTACTCCTATTATTTATTTTTACATAGTACTACCTTGAATATTGTATTCTTATTGTAGAAGAATAAGAAATGTTTAGCTGACTTGTTGCAATAAGTACCAGTGCTAGTACAGTACTGTATCAACAGCAGTGTGAAGCAAGTGAAATTGTAGAACCTTTTCACTGTCTTCTAAACGAAGCTGCCTTGTCCTGTGTATAAGTGGTTCTTTACTGAGAATACCATTTATAATGTCATGAATTACTCCTATTATTTATTTATACGTAGTACTACATTCTCTACAAGCTGTTTCGGAAAATTTATGATAATATATGGACTACACCGATTTTAAGTTAATTACTTGTCCGATGTCCTATCTCGTAGAATGCTATTAACCGACCATTCATACCATTCACGGTATATTCATTAATTATTATCACAAGGACTCCATAGCGTCAAATCATTTTTCATTCTGACAATAGTAGTACAAGTTGAACACCATTTGACCACTTAGTCTATGAAGAATTGCCAGGCAAGGAGTTATTGTAGCGTTAAATCAACTCAAAAAAATTGTCAAAATCAATATCAGGATGCCATTGTACAGTACTTTACAATCCAGCGTATCGGGACACTGTACTTTTAGTGTTGCTACTGGCTGCGACTATACTGTATATATAAAGAAGGATAAGGTTATCGTCTACAACCAGACTTGCACTAGTTGCTACTGGCTTCAGCATGAGCAAGATAAATAATTAGCCAATAAGTTAGTATAATAATATCATAAAGTCCAAAAAATAGAGAAATAATAATCATAGTAATTCTCCAAGACATGGTTTTCGGTTAAAATGTAATGCAGAGGATGTAGCACTTCCAGTAACTGCCAATGCCTACTACAATATAGGAAGACGGATACAGTTTTAGCTTACTTTTCTAGTACATCGGTGCAGGACTGTTAGTACTTGCTATTGGTTACTGTATGAAGAGTAATCAATCACTGACTGACTAGAACATTAACTTAAGCCCAAAAGTAGCACAATCACTAACTTGGTGATACTCCAAAATGGAGTTATACTGTACTGTAATTTACAATCTAGTACTTTGGTATAGATCTTTCAGTGTAATGCTTACGCTTACTATAGCATGTGTACGCGTACAAAAGCAACCAAATGCTAGTACAGTAGATGATACAGTTTTAAATGTCAATATTACTCTTGCTTTGCAGATATTTTTAGACTAGATTCTATCTTCAGTTAATTCTATAAATTAAAATGCATTTCGTAATCAGCCTTTATTATGCTTACTATATCTAGGTGTGGACCATGTCGTCAAATGGCACCTATATTTGCAGCGTTAAGTAATAAATATAAAGGTTCCACGATTTTTTTATCTGTTGATATTGATAAATGTCAGGTTAGTTTGAGCTTTTGGATAGAAAAATAATGTACTAATTAAAATTACCATGCTATCTATCTATATTGTATATCAATACTGTGTGTATGTGTTCGTGCCTCATTTCATTCACAGTTTACATACATTAAGCCATCATAATTTACTCATAAAGCAGAATCTCAAGATAAATCAACACGTATAAGTCTGCTACTATAAATAATCGTAATACTGTACAGTGTACGGTATTGTATTATACTCCTAATGCATGCAAATTTTAATTTACTAACTTATTATATATATATCGGATATTCAGTCTACTTGGTAGATTATTATCTCCTGTCTGGAATTAGTCCATATGAATGTAAAACTATTGGACATAATAATAACAAAATCTGTCCTTTACATACCGTTCTTAGTACTATCAACTCCGAAGTCTGCACTCTTTGATATCGTTCCGATGAGATTGCTAACATTATAATCCATCGAGTAATAGGGCTTTATTTGTTCGTTAACTGTATAAATAAAATAAAATGCATAAAAGATAATTTCTCATGGAAAATATTTCAAGTAACCGTACAATTTATATTCAATCAGAATACTGCTGAAGCGCAAGGCATCCGTTCAGTACCGACATTCCGATTCTTTAAGAATAAAGCTAGAATTGATGAAGTTAGTGGTAGTCAAGCTGGGCTATTGGAAGAAAAAATTAAGCAGCATGGTGGAAGCAGTAACTCGTCTAGCAGTTCAACGAATGAGCATGAAAGTCCTGTATCTGGCTTTGTAAGTAATAGTTTTACAACTTATAAAATTCGCTAAGGGTGATAGTACTGTATAGGCGTAAATATTCAATTTCTACCCCCAATATAATACTACTACGATCAGATGTCAGTTGAAAATGCTATTCTTAAATCTTTAAATTTCGTTATGACTATTTTTAGTCGTTTGGCTTGCATTATTTGTTGTATCGGAATATAATTTGATAAATAAATTATTGACTGTGTCCAGGTAAACTTATATTCTGCTATAAATCTATCGAACTGCGAGTGTTTAAATGAAAATGATGATCATCCATTTAAGAATGCATTGACGAAAAGCGCATTATACCTAGAAAGTGATTGTGATGAACAGGTAAGAAAATATCTTATATTGTGTTTTATCAACTTAGAATTGATTTAAATAGCTTGAAATCTTCCAGGATTTTCAAATGATACAATGTAACAGATCGTAATGATATACTGATTAATTATCAGGCAATGAAGTATATTTTTATTACTAGTTCAGTGTTTAATTATGGCTTATTTTGTCATTATAGCTATTAATTTATATAGCATTCCAGCAGCCCGTCAAGATTCATTCCATTATTTTAAATGCTCCTGATGATGGTCAGCTGTAGCACAATTAAACATATACTATTTAAATATGGAAGCACGACTAATTATTAGCTAAAATTTTTGCTTGCTATTGTAACCTAATTATTTCTTATCAATTTTTTAGGTAGAGCACCAAAGATAGTGAAATTGTTTACAAATCAAACGGTATCATTAGATTTCGACAAAGCAGAAGCAAAACAGTCTACTCAGCAATTTGAGTAAGGAATTGACGTTAATTATCTATACAGTAACACATTTTCCATATTTTGCAGTAGTTTAACTGTAAGCCTTAAAATTTACGTTTTGTAATTTGCTATCAATCATATCAGTAATTCCTAAATTCTTTTCAGATTAACGGGGGAAGATGTATCTGAAGGAAATGTTATTAACCTTCGCTACGTCAAATTTCAAAATGTTGAAAATATAACGGTACACTATAATGCCGCTTAATCAGCACTTATTGAATGATTAGTATGATTTATAATAAATTTATTTGGCAGTTGAGATTATTCATATCAGATTAACTCAGACTTCATATGTGTTAATATTATTAAAATTCGAGTATGCGCAATTAGTATAGTACGGTTTGATATATAGTTGTTATATTTATCATATAATTCTATACGTGTGTCTTAGATTGTCCATACTCATATCTAGTTGTTTTTCTCCATTTATTTTAAATCAAAATACATGTAGAAGAAAGCTTACAAATAGTTTTTTATATCCCTTTAGCTATTCGTTAAAAATAATCAAGGTGGAGATGATATAACTGTAATCAACCATTTGGCATTTATTGGAAATTTAATCGACAAAACTGACATGAGCAGTTTTAAACGCGTAAGTGTAGCTATTTCTTATCTTTTACAACATCTATACCATATGTGTCAACTTAGTAGTAACCAAACAAACTATTTAAGTGGTCTCAATATTAAATTATTACCTAAATGTCATCATTATACTATCTTTCTCTGATTAAATCAAAACTTTTATTAATATAAACAAAATTTACATAGTAATAAAATACATGGGCTACCATAGTAGCAAAACAGGTCTTAATTGTAATAAAATATTTGTGGATAGGCGAATGCTTTGAATTTAATAAGAAGACAATTTGTTTTGTAGGTCGCTGGTAAACCAGGCGAAAGCCATTAAAGTTTTAGCAAATATGAATTCAAACGGGCAATTCGTAGGAGTTATTACGCAATACCATGTGACAATGGTGGAACTTATTCATTAATTTTGTACAAGTTAATGAACACCTATTTTAGTAGCGACCATTTATACTTCCAATAAAATATAACACTGTTCATAAATATGCTGTGTTGTACAGTGATTACGTAAGGTTTTCTAACAATTATATAATTAATTAATCCGGATAAAGTTTGTAACAGTAAATACCAAACATTCGTAAGCAACAAAATGTACAATTAAAACAACACCAATTGATCTCTTGCGGCAATTTATCGCAAGACAGCGTGTAAGCTATTACATTATTTCTCGAAACTGCCGGATTGTAGAAGTAGCACAGTTAATAATAATGTATGTAATCATCTACGTAATTATAATACATGTAATTATTTGTAGATGATTTAGTTCTTGATAGATAGTAATTAATTTATCAGGTTTGGTATAGAGATACTCTTTTTAAGATTTGTATTGTTGGCAGCGATCCAGCTGTGCAGATTATTTATAGAATATTGCAGGTGTACGTTGACATACAGTGGCAATTATGCAACGCACGTTGACTTACAGTATGCAATTATGTATTGCAATATAGATGACAAAATTTCATAATAAATAGTTTATTAAGCTTCTACTCTCTGAAGATATATTTTCAGCATGTACAATGAGTCGAATGATGTGCAGTATTAGCTCAAGTTCTTCAGCATACTAGATAGTTGCTGCCCTATCGACTGACTTAAGAGATTGCTATTCGATTTGATCCATATTTGTATCATGTCATTACCAGCTTGGCAGTGTATTAAAGCAGTATTTGATAACTGCACTAACCTGCCCGCACCAATAATTTCATTTCCTAGTAAGAAAGAAGATAGAAGGAAATTATAAAGATAATAGAGATAGTACGATATCTCCGATCAATACAAGGGTGAACTTATGTAAAGATACCAGTACACTAAATATCAAGCATGTACAGGAAAAGCTGAATTGCACGATACCTATGGTTTCCACTACTTTTACATTACATTTCCTTTCTAATATATTTTCACATTCTGACACTAGATTCGTTATAGAGATTCGATTTTGTTGATGTTTATAATCATGTGCCATTGATATCCACCTTTGTTCAAATGCTGCAGTCGATAAATTAAGCGGTCTAAAAACGGGAAAAGATCACAACGATGAACTTAGTTATACTGCATTACAGAAATTTGTATTTGACTGCAAAGTACCAGTGCTAACAAGTAATCTTAGTTGAGAATGTGTGTGTTACACTTTAAATCTGATTGTAACGATTAGAAGATGATATATCTTTTATCATTGATTAGATACTCTTTTATATCTTACACCGCGCCTACCTAATTACATCGAATATAGAAATAGAATAATTAAAAAAATGACGCTGTAAGGAGTTTGTTACTGGGCTGAAGCAGGATATATTTCCTGACAAGCTAAGATTTAGCGATGGAATAAGTAATACCAGCTCCAACTCATGAAACGCCTAGATTAGTGTAAAATTACGTATATAATCGATCATAACATGCCAACTCTTACAGTAATATAAGTTATCCTAAACCGTATATGTCAAACATTAATCTAGCAGAAATACATACGGATTCGCCGATATCTAAGTTGTCTATAAAATTGGGGTTTTCCATTTTTTTCTCATTAACGGCACACTGTATATCAGGTTATAACATTATGACATAAAGATACTATAGGTGAAACATTTATCATGCGTAGATCATGAGTATGAAATAATTAAAACAGTCTTAACGATGTTCTACCTGAATACCAGATGACGGTTTAAGGACTGTACTGATTTTATTGTATTGCTTATCGGCCTGATTCGCTATGGCTAAAACAATTATAAACGCGTCTTCTTTCCAAACTTTCATGAGAGCAATTCTTAACTTACCAAAAGAGGGTGTTGACTAGTAACAGAATTGCGGGAATAATTAAATTGTAATACCGAATACTAGTAAACAATATTTGAATTTAAAGACTCTAGCTAACACTTACCAAGACATCAAGATTGCCGTGAGGAAATGATAGTAATTCCGCAGGAAACAGTTCGCGTTCAATAGAAATGGTGGAATCAGTTAAATCGTCTAGAGGATTCTGTATTGATCGATCAGCAACAGGATTCGCACTCATTGGACTCGGATTATTTTCAAGATCGAGAAGTTGATTCTTTTCGACATCAATTAATTTTTCCAAATATCTACTGTTTTCGTTAGTATTTAATTGCTCTTCGGTGATCTTTATATTTTCTATAGATAAGTTTATTAGATTAGATTCAGTAGAATTATCGCCAATCAATAAGTCGCTTGCTGGTTTGGGAGATTCGTATGGTTCCGCAGAGTTAATGCCTGCAGATAACGTGACTTCACTCGCTGTGGTAGAACTTTGATCGTTCACTCTATTTCTTTCATCCTTAGCCGCCGGTGCTAAAGACTTTATGTCGTCTGAATCAAATCCAACAAACAGAGCTGATGCGATGCGTTTTTTCTCTTCTAATTCATAATTGGGTTTATTCTGCAAAATCTATATCAATTAAATTTAAACCCTAGATTAAAATTTATACGTGCTTTAACATAACGGCTTTAGTTTATATGATCATCCCTCATTTTACCGTTTGGCTAGGTGGTTCTTCGATATTGGAAAGATTTTCTTCTTTACTAATATATTACATTATTAATAAGAACGCATGTGTAAGTAACGGCACATCCTGAAAATCGTTAAGAGAAAGCTTACATTTGTAAATCAATTAATTTTAATGTAGTCATCAAGTACTAACGCTTTCTTTTCGATGTCTTGACCACCTAAAGGAGCCTGTATCATATATCCCTCTTTTGTCCATGGACGTTGGCTATAGGGTGATAATTTTCAGAAAAGTATATTCAACTTAGAATTAGGTCTTGCTAGTATTCCTCTCTATACACGTATCTACTCACCCTTCTACTTTTTTAGCATTTACATCTTGAGGATTAAATTCTTTTCGATTAAACTCTGTTCCTTCCGGCTTAGAGTAATCATGAGATGCTATTACTCTTCCTCCGTCATCCTCTACCGGTGTCTCTTTTGAACTAGCGCTAGTATTTACATATGGGTCGAATTTTAAACTTGATCTGACTTTAACATCTGGTATCGCCTTTCTCTGATTCAATGTTCGATATGGTAAACTTCCATATGCTAAAGCATTACTTACAAAAGTGTCTAGAAAACCAAGCGAAGGATCAACCTAACAATAATTCAATATTGATGATGCAATTAGTATTAGCTTTGGAAGATTACTGGATCGTAATTTACGTTTTATAGGATACAATGTTGATACTTCTTTGGTATATACCTCAATATCCTCGCAACTTGCATTCACTGGTAGAATTTCACTTCTATCGTTGATATCTAAAGTAATCAATAATTGTAGTGCTTCCTGGCATCTTTGCTGTACATCCAGATTTACGGAATTACTATGTTCTTCTAAAAAGTTGTGAGTATAATCTGAGACATCATTTGTTCGACTAATCAATTTCATAATAGCTGTTATTAAAAGGCAAGAGCAACCAGGATACTGCTTTAAGACGTTCTCAGCTAAGATACACATATTATCAGCAAGATTCATCATTTGTATAGAATCGACCAAGTACGCGTACTCTCCTAAAACCTAAGTATGATAAATATGAAATAAGTAAATAATAGACGATGTTATTAGACTGTTAGAAATGATCAAATACGTATGTTATAGTGAACAAACCCAGGAAATTGCGCGTATTAAGAGAGTTGAAAGTTTTGGACGCTTTAATAACTTAAAATACTCATGAACAGCGTACATACGTAGTTCCATATCAGATTGCTCATCTTCTGTCCCTAGAAGGTATTTAATACAAAATTTTAAATAAGATTTACACGTTATATAAGTAATTATTAATAATCTATCGCAGTTTGAAGTAATAAGCCAATTACAAACCTTCTGCAATTAAACGAAGGAGATTATCGACCATAGTAACAGGTACACAGTCTTTTCCTAGTTCAAATATACTATTCATTGTTTTGATATACCAGAAGCTATCAGGAGCAAATTTTTCAGCAAGCTGACAGATTCTGGAAACCAAATCAGACTTAAAATAGTTGTCTTCGCTAGATTGCAGATACTTAATCAATTTTTCGGTAATAAATACGATGTTTTTGGGGTTAATCATTCGGCATAGCAGATCCAAAGTCTTAAAAATTTTTGCATCCATAGTTTAGGATCGTTAGAATTGTTACGAAACGTTACAAATGATGCAGTAGGATACAGTTACTTACCTTTCGACGTAATGTTTCATCAGGATCGTCTAAACAATCCACTACTGTCATCTGATGCTCGACGGCAAACAATGGGTTAACTTGAACAATCGATGATAAACCTTTAATCCCTAAAATACCATTTAATACGATAATATTGGAAAATAATAAGGAAACTATAAAGCCTTAGCCGATTATAAATGGAACACATTAGACATTTTTAAGTTACAGTTCTACCTATATAACGCAAATTGTTATTTTCTGAAGACAAAAATTTTGATATCCTATCTGCAGCCTTCTCCAGTAGTTTTATGTTTGGGTATATTGTTGTAGCTGTCTGAACCACCTCATAAATGATAGCTGAAACAAATATTTTAATTCTTTTATCTTACACTATTACACCAAGACATTTACCAAAGTGACTCGATCCAAAGTGAACTTACAATATTCAATTAAACAATTTGGATTTGCTATCGATGCTAAGGTGTCTATAATAACGGGATATATTTTTTGACTGCAATTAAAATCGTCCATTCCTAAATACGCTAATAGCCGTAAGAGTTTTATCTGCAACCATGGCATAGATATTCCACGATAATTTAGATCGGACGGTGGCTTATGAGCTAAAAGCTGACGCTGGATGCTTACAAATCTGTCAATTAAGGGTTTTAAAGGTGCGGGATCTTCCTGTGTAGTCATATTTAACAATTTTAATAGAATTCAGACCTTTACCAAACATTATAATATGAAAATTAATAAAACAAGACCAAAGGGTTTGATGGTACCTTGGCTAGGCACAGGTAAGCGGTTATGACCGCCGTAAGAACGCTAAAATCAGAGTCGAATAATATTTCTTGAAGTTTACTCGCAAGATTAGCGGATTCCGCAGATAAATGATGAAATTTAAGTAAGGCAATAACAGCTCTTTTCCTTACAGCTTCTCTGTGAAATATAAAATTATAATCAAAAAGAGAAATTTTTAAAATATACAGTAAAGCTAGTATTAAGTTATGAGTCTGGTAAATGACTACCTCGTATGATTAATTTTCTTTTCGACAATTTGAATTACGGCAGGCATTGTTTCAATATTAATTAGCATAGCAACGGTCGATAACGCCATACAGTTCTCAACAAAATTAGTACTATTCAAGTCCTATTGAGATCATTACGCGTAAAATAAATAACTGATACTAAATTAATAAATGTAGTATTCAAAACAGGCAAACCTTTTGCAGCGTATTAATCAATAGAACCAGTAGATTATGATCTTCACTTAAAAGACATGATGCAGCCAAGTAGCCTTAATAAGATAACATTCTTTTGGTAAGATGTCAAATTGACAAATACTGTATAGATATATTTATATACGTAATGTTATCAATCATGTAAAATATATCGTAGTTACAGTAAGATATTCATGAAAGCTTTCAGTGAAGAATTTTAAGATAGAAGTAATTAAAAAAGCAGGCATACGTGGCGGATTGTGTGATGAAACTGCACATAGCACTAGAATTAGTGAGGTGTAATGTGTGAATGAAGTCGAATATTTATCTGGCAATACTGTATTCTACTTTTTCAACTAAATGTACATATTGTAACATATCCACAGTGAGGTCAATATTACGAACCGATTCGTTTTTCTTTCATGGAATTCTGTTGCGTAAATTTGATGGCATGAATATCAGCAAAGGAGACATTGTAATGATGTGTTGTCATAAAGATGATTTCGACCAGGAAATCTTTCATTTCGCCCTGACGGAAATATTTACATCAATTACTTTTGCTAGCAGTGAAATAATTGTACGCGTATAACACGGAATGCGCATTATATACAGTACTATGAATTATGTATTCTTTCTGCATGAGATAGCCCCTACAACATACGTTATATACCTTAAAGCACTATCATTAATTCTATAACTTACAACTACATAGATAATATTAGTTTGTATCTATAATTGTTTTCATTTACGGTAAAACTATACGTACATAACATATTCCTCTCGTGGACTAATGGATATTTGCGAACAAGAACTGGCATTAGCTGTAGTAGCTAATTGTAATACAAATTACGCATACATTGGAGAACGTTGACAAGATGCAAACAGTTACAAACCTTAATTATAGGTTACTTATGTAATTATCTTATACTAGGTAAAGAAATAATGAATACAATCTGTACAGTATAATACGATCTAGCATAAACCCTTACAAATTGTAAGCAAATTTCTAGACATGATAAGAGTTCCTTTTAAAATTTTATTTTTAATATTTGTATAGCAATCCATAGACTTACTGAAGAAATATTTGGTGATTGCATTCGTTCCTTTAGCAATTCGATCTCTGCACATAATATTTTATCTTCTTGCTGTACATGAAAACATAAATAACCACTAAGTGCAGCTTGGATATAGTGTGTAATGAAATAGCTTTAGATGTTATAGCATGAAAAAAATATGTGGTGGCCAACGATAGTATGACAGAATTGTTTAGTAGAGCTAAATATCAAGAAGTTTTAGCACGAAATAACAAGATCAGCAAAGTGAAAGTAATATACTCTAATCAATCTTGCAAGTTTAAGCACATAGTAAAGACACTACGCATTTAATCATGAGACGTATCTATTAAGCTGATTGTAATAAAAAGAGCCAGAGATAGGGAACAAGCAATAATGGAGATGGATATATAGCACGCATTTATGTGCAATCTATAGGTCGAATTATTTGTTATAACAAGTTCTTGTGGAGTCTACTAAGTTAATGGCTTTGATGTCTATTTGTTTAAATTGAACGTGAATACTATATGTAAACAATATCTATTGCGTACTCTACCCTAATCTACGAATTATTATTTCTATGACAGGCATGATGATTTCGGAAACTCTACGCGTAGAATCTCTATCTAAAACAATTGATTTCCAATTCCATCTACGGTCATACTGAACAACACTTGCAACTATAGACGACACTATTTACTGACCTATCTGTATCGCTATTGCAGAGTATGTAGCAAAGAAGTTACCATTGCGATTTGGAGTGTGTACGCGTATTGCAAAGTGTAGCAGGGTCGTCAAAATAGTGCTGTACTTCAACACATAACATTAAAACATATTAAGGTGGGAGAGCTCTAGACTTACTTAGCCTGTTCAATTATCATTGAGACACTAACATCCAAAGTTAGGCCTGGAAATATTAAATAGCATGAATATCTGCAGAGCACTGCAGCTAAGATTAGGGTTAGGGCACGATCGCCAACTGTATTAGTATGAGTGAGCTACCGACATCTTGAAGCTTGATTAACTATCATCGAAATATCGACGTCTAAAGTCGGATCAGATCGAAAACAATTTAAATACGGTAGATGCAAACAGAAAACTATTGGTTGCTATTATGCTCCAATGGTATGAGTAAGCTGCCAAGTTATAATCGTTCTAGCTGATTTATTATTATTGAAGTATTGGCGTCTACCATTAGATCTTCATTGAAAGCATCAAGGAATAACGTCAATGGCAGTAGAGAATTGTCACTTACCTGCCTGGATTTGACATCGAGAAGTTTATTTACCAGAGACTGAAGACTTTTAACAACTGATAAATGTGCTTTGTGATAGTAATGATCGAGTGATAAACCTAGAACTTTATCCAGAGCTCGTTCAGCCATAATTATAATCCAACTTATTTACCATCCAACTAGCCCTCAATCACTGTTCAATTTGACGAAGTCTCAACTTGAGCGTAGTACTAGTATTTCTATGACGACAGAACAAGTCCGCCTTGTCCGTCCGTTACGATAGTGTACAAGCTCAGTCTAATGGAGGATATAGTATCAGCCAGCTAGATACAATACAGCTCAGTGTATAACATCATAATTCCTTCGAAATTTGATAGGATAACTTGATATTCTAATTCTTGAATTCAATAGTTAAGGGGGATATCGGAATACTTGGATAAGTTATCATTGCTCATTCATTTGTAGTAAGTACTTATAATATGATGACTTGTATGTAGTCTTATAATACCGTACATGATTATATTGTAAAAGGTGGACTGATAATTTATTGTATATACATGCATATGTTGTAACGTAAACGATAGCTATAATAGTTAGTAATTAGATGTATATGTAAAATGTCACGACGCACAAAAGCAAAAGGTGTAAGCTGGAATATCTATAAATACCCAGCATTTTTAATAAGAAAGTTAGTTACAAATCTTACTCGCGGAGTAAAACTCATTGCTTAAAAACATAACAATTTCAAATTAACATGATTGACTTTTAAAACTAAACTGATAGATATACGTATATATATATTTATCTGCGTGTGGGTACTTCGCTTGTAATATATCAATATTTATCATTTCCTTGAATTTTAACTTGACGGCAGTAAATTTAAAGTGTAATCCATTGCTAATGGTTTAAATAATTGATAATTTCTTAGCTTTTCCGAGATGTGAGTTATTAAACGTATTGATAAACAATATTTTCATGGTAAAATAGATAAAGCTAGCAATGATTTCTTCTTAATACAGACTACAGTATTTTGAATAATTTGATTGATTTTAAAAACGATAGGATAGGTATTATCAGGGACTATTAAAAAGAAAGAGACGGGGCAGGAAACGACCACAGTGCAAAATGATGTGGAAGCTTATCACTTTTTCGGTCATTCTACTATACGCTACTGATGAAGCCGTATACCATACTGCACAAACTGACTTAGCAGGCTAATAGCAGCTAATTTGGATATCAATTGCAGACAGTATAGTATATGGATACAGGCATACGATACAGTCGAAATGATCAGTCACATAATCAGCTTCCACATTATTAGTATAGTGAACAACAGCTTCCTGTCCCGTCTCTTTCTTTTTAATAGTCTCTAGCAGTATTAGTCCACGTATAATGACGATTTTCATTCATTCGATTATTTTGAAAGTGAATTGCTCTACAATAAAAAACAGCATCTTCCCATAGTCCAAATTTTACAAGAAGAATACTGCTCAATATAATAATAATTAGGCACTTCACCAATGAAGGAAAAATCGCAAATTATGAAGATACGCGTATTCAAATGTGCCTTCAAAAAGTCAAACTATCGTTTTGAAGCACGAGAGATGTTCTACCGCGTACTGCATCACAATTAGCGGTTTGATACCGTATCCTCGATTAGACCAGCATGAATTAATGTTATGTATATCCACATTCCATAGTACTGTAGTTAAATGGAGTGAAAACGCAACCCGAACCCGATCAAATAGTTCATTTTCTAACCCCAAAATGAGTGCAATCGCTCTCTATATCGCTACAGAAATTCTTAAGGACACTGGCATACTGTACTGTACAGTACTGTATTTAGCGGTCCCTAGCTCAATATTGTAGTATTTCCCAACCACGTGATCTGCTATATATAGTCTTGTGATCACAATAATGATCACAAGGCCGTATAGAAACTGGCCACCTCAATCATTCTGTAGTTGTTAAAAGCATCATAAGCCGTAAAGACTTTGTCCGACTGCCATCGCAACATCATACGACGTGTAAGAGTATATTCTAATCCTTCGTCAAGTCTTTCGATCGATCAATCAATATGAGTGCCAAAGTTCACGTAGAATACTGGTAAGGAATGTCACGATAATACTGTACGACGGTAGTGTATTGAATTTCGAATAGATGTCGTTAGAAATTATTCTAGTCTTCCTGTACTGTTGATCCTATCTAGGATTAATGGTGATTTCTTGAGCAGCAATTAGACGTGACAGTAGTAGCCTTTCATGAGATAGATTTTAATAAGTTATGATAATTAGTTTTAGCTATGATACACTGTTTATGAGGAATTCTTTACTTGTGTAAGTTACTACCTCTACAGTATGCAAGTAAGCCCGGACGCTCGTGCAATGAATTCCACGGTTCAATTCTTTAAATGAACAGGGCTTTTCAGAATAGTCACTTTCAAAATACAACATCATCATCGTCATTCTAATTCGTCAAGTCTTTACTATCCTGAGGGTCTCTTATCTCTAGTGAGTATCGGTACGCGTTTTATTGATTGCGATCACTTTGATTCGCTTGCCTTGTGAATAACAGCCAGATCATAAAAGTGTTACGATAGTACGGTACCGGCTATAAATAGTTAATTTATAAGATATAATAATTAATTAGCCGTAGAGAATAACTATTTTCTTCTTATTATTATTGTACTTAGTAATTACTCTTCCTCATCATAACAGTACAGTATATGCACAGTATACAGTATATTCGTTCGGTACCATGCCATGCAGTGAGACAATGACGAAGTATTTTTTACGATATCATCGTGATATATTATTATGGCACTGTACTGTTTAATGTGATGAAATAAGAGATCCTGAAAATAACTTGCACATTATCCGTATCATTTTATTTATACTGTATATATGAGTACAGTAGAGTGGATGGTTTTATTGCTGATGGAAATAACACTGTGCTGCAATACTTTGAAGCGGCAATTTCGTTCGTGATCATTTATACTATAGTGACTAAATATTAAAATTATATACATACGAGTATACATGTGATCGCGAATAGTAAAATACAATATTATAGTAATTTAAATTTCATTCCAATACCGAATAAACTCATAGCTATTGTCAACATCTCTCATAGTGGCAGCTGAGGCTATGTCGGCCGATACAGAGACCTCGCTAGGGATCTAAAGGCCACAATACCTAACCTCCTTGTTGAAGGAGAAACTGGTAGATCTTGTAAGTCTATAACACGTGTACACGTATAAACATGCGCTACTTAATTTACTCATATTTCAATATATAACTTGTACATATACTCGTATGTACACTACTTCTTATTATGGTTACTTCTGACAAATAACAACTCAATCTTTTCGCAGCGAGTTTCGAGGTCACAGTTGACGGAAACGTAATTTTCTCGAAGCTGGAATCGAAAGGATTTCCTGTCCATGAAGAGGTGTGTACAGTACATTGATAACATTATACGTGATAGACGCGTGCTTACTGTAGTAAGTAATATCCTCTTCAGGAAATAAATGCAATATTACCTTCTAGGATTATGTCACTTTATATGGTAAATGTTAATGAATTAGATTATATTTTCCGCAATTGTATCACTATTAATGTACGGTATGTATACAATAATGCCATAAACATTGATACACTTTAAAACTTTGTTAACAACACGATTTTTGGGGATTATGCAGATCATCAAAGCGGTTCAAAAATACATAAGTAGCAAAGATGTGATGAAAGTAACTGACGTTCAAAAAGAGTCTTGCAATATTTTGTAAATTGCTACACCAAGGATTCCTTATCTTCGTACCAGTTAATGAACTTTATTACCCTTGTATGTTACGTATGCATGCTATAAATATCCATGATGATATAATTTGAAAGTGGTGTAAGATACCTCAAATTAATATCTGAATTTACTATATTTACAGTCTGCAACTACGTTACACTACAGGTATAAAGTTCATCTATACACAAATTAAGTTAGCTCTTCGATTTTTTGCCTTATACATTACTATAGCATCTATTATTTATGTTAAGCTAAAGATTATTACGTTTTCTAGACTTGGTGAACATTGCCGGTACTGACGTTGCTTCAGTATCACGAAACCATTACAGCTTTGTAAACGTGATAGTTCTGTTGACACGATAGGAAATATGTAGTGATATTACTGATTACTATTACCAGTTTTAATTTCCGTAGTATTTCTTAAGGAATATTAAAGGCAAATTGCTATTAAAATTCAAATCGATGTTATGTAATGATATTTTAAGCTTCAATATCTCGATTTTGTATATAATTATTACCATTGACAAGTATAGTATTTCAACATGAAAGCTAGGAATAGGAGATCAACTGGCATTTACTGTGTACTGTACCGTAGGAGTATACAGTAAGACAAGAGCATTCCGAGGCTGTTGCAGAAACCCTGTACCTGAATGATTTATCACATTTACAAGTTGTACTATTCAACAGTACAGAACTTGCTTTATTCAAACACTAATTACGGTAGTATATTAGGCGCCTCTCGCCAGCAAATGAAATGTATCAAGGTCTGATTGAATTAATTAATTAATTAAGTAATCTTTGCTGCACCAGCAGCAGGATAAGTAGCAGTGTACTGTACAGTGTACAGTACCATGGACCAGCAAAAGAAAGCCTCAATTGCTGAAAGGTTTTTCTTTAAAAGTCCCTAAGGACAGTAGATACTGTACTGTACTCTGGCACATATGATATTATACACAATATATAGAGTTCAAATACGTTAATGCTCTATTCTGGGCGACTTGCGTCGAGTTTTGAAAAGGATTTGACCAAATACTGTATGTCTAGTTCTTGATTGGACGTTGGGTTTTCGCTGCCTATGTAAACGTACCATAAATTGTATTATGCCGTCTACGATTGTAGGCTTGCTAATAGCTTATAGCAAGTTAAAAGCTTGGAACCTGACTATGGAATATTTATGTTTAATGCACTGTCGACTGAGTGCCGAGTGTGCGGATTCGGCTAGTATCGCACCACACCGGACCCAGTTTACGCTGCTTATGATGTTGGGAGTCCGTGCGTGTGTTTGAATATACTTTACTGTACTAGCATGTACTGTAAAATGGCGATTTTACAAGAATAACGGTACACCATAAATGGTGAAAAAACATTTTCAACATGTAATTGACCAAAAAGTTGCAACAGCATGCCCAAGAGAGCTTACTGTTTCCACATACAGTATAAAAAATTGACTTAATTTCGTCAAAAATGCCCGCATACTGTACAGTACAGTACAGTATAATGTACTGTACTGTACAGTATGTGCTGATTCATCGGATTGGAAAAGGATCGCACTGCACAGTGTACAGTATGTTTGTGCGCAGTGCACATTTTACCGTACTGTACTGTACAGTACAGTACAGTACAGTACGCTACAGCTCGATCAAGAGCGCAACCCAAGAAAAGATTGTGGAAAACAGGCGTTGTACTGTACTGTACACTGTAATGTACAGTACTATACACTCACGTGACGTACTGTACAGTATTGTACTGACCACTGTGACACGTGCACACGAACACGACTCTGCCTTACTGAAAGTGAGAGATCAAGTCAGTAACTGTACTGTACTGTACGCTATGGAATAGGGTTTTGTAGAGAAATGGACAGTAGAAGTACTGTACGCTGCATCGTACTGTACTGTAGAGGTCCAAAAAAGGGGGGAAAAACCATGGCACTGTACAGTACGCTGTACTGTACTGTACTGTGTACACGTGTACTGTACTGTACCACCGACTACAGTACAGTACCACAAATTTCCAAGGACTGTCTGAAATGTACTGTATAGCACTGTACAATAAGTTTAGTCCGTGGATACTGCCATCAGCGGGTGAAGCGGTATTCGACTGTCGCTTGCATCGTGGAAGTTTGCTTCAATGTGGTGTACTACTACTATACTGTATACTACTGTGTAGTAATTAGCATAGAATAGCACACGGTATAACGTAGCCTGACGCCAACGCAGACACTAAGCACTCCGGTGCCGTACAGCAGCGTAGTAACGGCTTATTATTGTTCCTAAATTGACTTTTCTCGACGAATTTGAATTTTTTGGGGGACTCTTACTCAATGTAGAAATCTTTCTATTCCATCTTATTATAAACAGTAGTAAAAGGTGATCTAATTTTACTACGTTGATATCATTGTTGAAGCCTGAGTATGATTTCTAAATTACTTTAGCATCAAATTAATGTCTTTATGTTCTTCTTACATGCAGAAGAAAAAAACCCTGTGAATGTGACAAACTAGCTTGACGCGTGCGCAACACTAAATTACAGAAGCTGCTATTAACTGTAAATTAAAACGATGGCTGAAATTGCTAACGGACACGGTATTGAAAATGGCGTCAAAGAAGACCAACAAAATGATAAGGTAAGATGTACAATTGCAAGGATGATGTTATTGCTTTCTTTGCACTTATACACATTCATATACGTTACAATAAAAGCCCACCGTCGTAGAAGGATGCCGCATGCCAGTAAGAATGTCAACAGAAAACGAATGGCGTAAGTACTGTAGCATCTTAGTACAGGATATTCAAGTCAAGCATTGCTCATTGATTACTTTATCAGCCATTGGCTTGACTTAACAGTAAGCTCGAATGATAAACTATTCTCATTTTAGCTTTCATTTTTCGTCAAATATCCCACAAGTGATGTCTAACATATCTAAAATATCTGTAGTTGAAATGAAAGTCGTAAAAAATAGAAATTAAGATGGCGGCATTAGCAACTGATGACGTCACGACCAGAGGTTCATTGCGTAGTACAGTACTGTATCTTACACGAGTGCGCTTGCAGTAAAGTTTGTATTCTTTCCAAGTTGTTCATGTTGATAGAAACAGGGAATGGAACAAATGTAATGCGCGCAGTTGACTGTAGCCCACGGACATACTTACAGTACGGACGTTGTGCCACACCTCGACTGGAACAAGAATCATAGTGCAGCATACCGTCTGTCCCATGCACCTTTTTTAGAGCCATAAAAGAGTCTTGATAGTAGTAATAAATAAATAAAAACCATGTTTACGCTAGTATTGATAATACTGTACCACTATCAGGTGATATTCCCAAGGGATTAGAGTACTATTATCATAGTACTCTAATTCATTTACTGATAACAGGAAATACTATTTAGTACAGATAGAGGTTTTCTCTTTTCTCTATGCGATGATTCCTCCCAATCGGAAACCATCTACTTTTCTGCATAATGAAGATTATAACTCAGTATATATTGTAGTGTACTATAGCACTGCGACTCTTATCTATTAGAGTAAGTTTGTCACATAATCCTGCACTACCATTTAATGGAATTGATTACAATCTGCTGCTAGCAAGTGATATTTCTTCTTGCTTGATGATTATGGATACTGCTAGCATGACTATCACAAATCGAAATATGTATCCAAACGTCAAGGATCATAAATGCTCAAACCAATTGCTTAAAGTGCTGTACTAAGCTTATTGGAATGTGAACTGTAAAATGCGTAACATCCTATTGCATTTTAAACATTCGCTAACAAGGATTACGTAACCGCGCAAAATATACTGTACTTTAAGCTGGTTCGGCTTATTGCAGTGGCAACCAGCTCACAAATTGACATGCAGTAAATGCTGGTTCTTCTTCTACCTTCGTAGCTTTTGCACACTGCATATCTAAGCACAACGTTACTTGCACTTCAACGGATGACTAGTTCATTTGTTTGATAATCAATTAATCATCCATACTGCCAATCTACAGTAATGGGACATTTTCGCAAACAATGCCTTCCTATAAAGTATTTGCACGGGCTATACTTCATATACTGTATTACCTCATAGGAATATTCTATAGAACACATAGTATTGTCACGGTATGTCACAAAATAGATAAATTTAAGTATTAGGGCCTATTTATGCTTCACAACATATTGGAATTGGTGTAATAGGTGTCACACTAAAAGTGAAGCGTATGCTTATATAGGATACCTGTATAAATGATATAATGTGCTGAAACTGAAAGGCGTTTTCTTCTAATGCTATAAAAGGGCTACGATATTGAAACATTGCGAAAACTTGTAGTATCGATGTTAGTGCCTAGACGATAAATTTTTATATGTCTTCTACATAACAGTTATGGCTTGTTAGTAGTCAACAAATGTATTTGAAGATGATATTCTAAAGAAGTGAGTAAACTAAGTCTGCATCATATCTGAGTGCTACCGTTGCTGATCCTCTGATTTCTTTCCGCAAAAAAGGCTATATAGTATATACTGTATCGGTACCGTGTTTGCAACAACGTTGTTAATAGTGTAGTACTACAGTATATTCAGATTAAGATTGGGACTTGTGGGAAAGTATGCCTTGAACCATGTAAAAAAAACAGCGCAATGTACTGACTACATGAAAGATTTTAACCTGATTTAGCACTTTACTAACAGATCTATATCTGTTACAGCAATGGCAGAAGTTGTTAGTAGAAGAGACTTGGGAAATGGCGAATTTGAATATTATGTTCACTTCATTGATTGTAAGTATTTTATGAGATGATATATTCAGCACCGTGCTCTTTCTAACATGTCTATCAAATACATATGTAGATAATAAGAGATTAGATGAATGGGTTCACGAAAAGCGCTTAAATTTTGCACGAATGACATATCCAAAGGACGGCAAAAAAAGTACTAGTAGTCTGCCAGCCTCTCCTAATAATAAGAAGGTAAACGGGATAGGAAGAAAGCGGAAAGCTGTGGAGGTTCGTACCGAGCATAAGATACCGTATCTTATAAAAATTTTTTATAGCTGAATCACTTAACACTGAAAAGTTAACTGCTTTAATATTGGTATTAGATTGCCCCAACAATAGAGAACGGACAGGAAATTAAAGAAGGCCCTCCACCAAAATCTGGCAGTTTACGTCAAACCAATGCTGATGGTAGTGATGTAATCACGCGAATGAAAAATATCGACGTGATTGAATTTGGTCGATATCAGATAAAGCCTTGGTATTTTTCTCCTTACCCTGAGCAATTAACTCGAGCAAATGTCATATTCATTTGCGAATTTTGTCTCAAGTATATCGGTTCGCCAAGTGCATTTGCAAGACATAGAGTACGTCGAATATCGCTACTTAGTAGAAAAGTTTAGTGGTGTAATACTGACATCGATATAACTACGACTTATCAAAAACACGATCTCTTATATCGTCACTTAGGATAAGTGTAAATTGTATCATCCTCCTGGTAATGAAATCTATCGCAAAGGAAAATTGTCTTTTTTTGAAGTTGATGGACGTAAGAATAAGGTAATCCTTATCTATGTATGAACTACTATTTGATATGTAAAATTTACAAATTTTATTCTCTTTTACATTCTAGATCTACTGTCAAAACCTCTGTTTACTGGCGAAATTATTTCTCGACCATAAAACTTTATATTACGATACAGAGCCTTTCTTGTTTTATATTTTAACAGAATTTGACAATAAAGGCTTTCATACCGTCGGTTACTTCTCTAAGGTACAAATGCTATCTGCATCATTTCAATCGCGTAATTTATGCAGTAACCCACTACTTCTGTATATGTGCAATCTATTCTAGGAAAAAGAATCAAGTGAAGATTATAATGTTGCATGCATTCTTACACTTCCACCTTACCAACGAAAGGGATACGGAAAAGTCTTAATTGAATTTAGTAAGTATATTTGATATTTTGTATTGCAAATGCTGGAAAATTATACTTCGGTACTGAAATGATGATTCTATTGCTTCCTTAATGTCGATTTGTACAGGTTATGTCCTATCCAAGTTTGAAGGTAAACTAGGTTCACCAGAAAAACCACTATCTGATTTGGGTTTATTATCATACAGAAGCTACTGGTCACAAGCGATATTAGAAATTCTATCGAAGTATTTGGATGAGTCTAATGGAAGTACTCCAAATATCACAATAAAGTAATTTATTATTATACTAAATTAATTTTATTGTTCGACTGCGGTTGTATTTGAACGAATGTTTCGTTTACCACATAAATAGTGAAATCTGCGACGCTACTAGCATGCGTAAGGAGGATGTAATATCCACACTGCAACATTTGGATCTTATTCGGTATTATAAAGGTCAATACATTCTGACGTTATCTAAGGACATCATTGATGGACATTGCAGATCGTTTAGCAAAAGAAAAGTGCGCATCGATTCAAAATGTCTAATATGGACGCCGAAAGATTGGGCTAAAAGAGGTCGCTGGTAGAATTCAGTTTCTGTGTTACTTTTACTTTCATTATAATTTTTTTTTATATGTGTGGAAGCATGGACAATAATAGCTATATTAAAGTGCTGACTAATAGCGAAGGTATAACTTCGTATTAATGTAAATTGAGCGGAGTTCTGTTAAGTGTTTCAGCAAGATTATGGCATGTTCAACAGCAAGTTAAATCTATGGAGACATTATTTGAAAACAATCTTGTTACATTAAGATCGAGAGATTAACGATTACTTATACTTATGCTTGTAAGGATTCCATGGGACTTTCGACTGTATTATATCTATTTACTGTTAATAATAATTATTAAATCATATTTTATAGCATATCGATATCTCTAGATACCAGTAAGCTTTATCCTTAAAGACTAAATTATACTTCGTTTAATGATATATTCAGAAAACGACTTAGTAGTGAATGAAGACATATGTATAATACTACGCGATATGCTATATTAAGGTGTGTATGCTTAGTAAAAATGGAAACTAAGGTATTATAACTTTCAATTATTTATAATGTACAGTGTCATAGTATATCGCTATATAGATAGCGTTGCTTATTCGATCCGACTAAAAATTATGAATATTATTTGACTTTGAATTCTCAGTCATCTAATTAGTAAACCAAAATAAAATTTCAAATTTCGATTACGTTTCCTTCTTTTGAGTTTCATGTAGCCCATTTTCAGCGATTTCTGTTAAGCTTTATCTTACAATTAACTTGTTACTCTGTACTCGAAACACTAAGTAAAATACGCCGTTAATATTGTGAATATACTATATATGTTAACATATATACTATAACGAATAAACTAATCGTAAGGATTTGTAGTATCCTTAGTGCTCATCGTAAGTAAATTTTCGAAGTTTTCTATTAAAATGTATCTCTCACTGTTGTAGTAGTACGTCTGCATAAGCGTTATTAATAGCTCATGCTAAAATGTTTATCTGTGATCTTGGAACAGTGCCTTACTTGCAAATTCACGCGTTCGTCCAATATTCAACTTTAAATTCGAGCGCTACCGTGTGGTAATGCAATATGTAAGATATAATAACCGTCTGAGCATGCGTTGGTACCATAGTAACGAGACACATTCTTAGTTTTATCGACTTCACTGCACTCTTTATACTGTACATACACAGTTCTATACATGCTTCGGATCTGGACTTAAGTTGTAATATCGAAGCATTATAATTAATTTTACCATTTTACCATACTGCGTGTATACTATACAAGTATTGTTAATGTTATTATATCGATAACCATAAATACGTTTGATAACTATCACTGCTTGTTACAGATTATACCGTATCATATACTAGTTCTGATAAGATCTGCTTGTATATGAGAACGCTAAATGCCATTCCCTACACCGTTAGAATACCGTGCTGCTGCATGATTATTAGCCGAAATACATCTAGCCTATCAACTCTTTCAGCTTGCTGCTATGCATACATAGGATAAATAACATATAAAATAAGTCAATGATTAAGGTGTCTAGCTATAGCATATTATACTGGAGATTATATCTATACTATTCGTAAATTCAGTAATAGAGAGAAGTACAGTAATAATAAGGCGATTGTTACATGCACGTTAGAATAAGTTTTCGTACAGTTTTTATAGTTTTAGTACCTTTAAAAGCGTCAAATTGTTTTAGTCTTAAGTAGATTAAGAAAAGGCGATAGCTACAATTTGTTGGATCGTATACTACTCACTTTAGTACGATTCATTGACTCTATTGGCCAAGCTTGTTCTCTAAGATTTATGCCGTACAGCATAATTTGTGAAAGTTAATCGAGTAATTCCATCTAAAGTAATATTTATTCATTCAGGTAAACAACAAATTTATAGAAATTTTATTTGGACTAGCTCAAGCACTTGGCATTAATATATATTTCCTGATGTTTAATATCTATCTAATATAGATATTGTTACTGATTGCGGTTTTAATGAATTATTCCGTTGCTCGATAGCAGAAAAGTGGGCCGTAGACCAATCATGGACAGCGAAAATTATGTTAGTAATACCGATAGCTTGACGGTCGTGTTTTATGTTATCGTATTATAGGCAGTTTATAAATTATATTATTGACATTAAATTGGTTCTATGGCACTGCAAGTTTAACAAAAATTTTAAAGCTACAGTTGACAGCTTAGTCTCTGTAACTTTAAGATATTATTCTAAAGTTTGAAGTGCAGAGTAGGGAAAATAATAATTAAACTGTCTATGATACGATAACATATAACATCTAAAATAATAATTAATTTGTCCATAAATCTCGAATGAAATTTAATCGGGTACATCAATAGGAATCAGGCAGTAATGACGAAGCAGGATCGATCATCTCTGTGGTAAGATAGTCAAACTTCTAAATTCCTATAAATTCAAATAATCTTGGTTGAGTACTCCTATTAATCATAAGAGTATCCTTAATATTTATATGCGAATGTTGTTGTCACATAAATATCTGCTTAATTACTCATCATGAATGAATGCTTTGATCCTGCAAATTATAGTCCAGCACCGGTTCCGTACGATGTACGTAAAATATATTTATGTACTTAAAATGTATAGATATTTTTGATTACTATTAGAGTAATATTAACAAAGTAATAAGATTTTTCGTTATATTTTCCTTTGATATATTGTAGTATCCGCAACAAAGCAATCATCTAAAAAAAAGAACAAAGCTAAGAAGTCTACTACAGGTAACAGTTAGCATATTTGTGCATTTTTATCATTTCTGCAAAGATAATTAAATTTACTCGGAGAAACAGGTAATATTTAAGCAATAATTTCAATATTGAAAATTTCGGTATTGATCTATAGGGAGTTCGCCGTATTCAAATAAGAGTAAATCATTAAATGCAACAAAAAAGGGAGTAAAAACTTCACATGAACGATGGGTTGAAGCTGTTCGTTCAAGAACTGCTGGTATCTTTCTGACATAATGAATAAATGATATTACATTAGTACAGAGTATTTAATCGTACGCTATGTTCTTCCTTCATTAAATTATAATTTAATTGTTGTAATAGCACTTACGCCTCAAAGTAGCATGGGACTAGCTCCTGGGATCAAGAATCCAGCACAAAAGAGCATGAGTCAATATTTACAGACACTACTAAAGGTATCTATCCTCTGGTAAACTACTACAAGACGCTGTCATTAATATATTCTACTAACATCATATTTCATTAAATAATAACATCGTATTTCCAAGGGAGGTGACCCTGAAGTTGAAATACAGAAGCCAAAGCGAAATGCTAGTGAGACTCTATCTGATGTTTCTTGATACAACACAATATGAATGGGGATAGCTTATGGGATATATTTAAATTAATATAGAAACTCGAAATTCTGTAAATGGGTTTTCTTATAAGCCTCAAGAAGATATGCACGATGAGATTATAGAACAAAAAAAGGTTACCACAAGAGTATATAGCTGTTAGAATCTTAGAGCTGAATAATACATATTTATAGTAGCCTAACGGCCAAAGACCTACTTAAAACGTTTATGCCGCAGTATTATCTGGCAGAAATAGTAAGAGTTCATAAAATATAAAGAAGATAATACGGTATTTCAATACTGATTATAATTGCAGATTGTTGCTAATCTAAGAAAAGAGATTGATAATCAACGCGCAGCGATCAGAAAATTAGAACTAGAAACAAATAGAAAGGTAGAGCTAGATATTGTCACATGAATAATACGCTCGATAAATGTCTTGTGATAGATTTACTTAAATTAAATAACAGAGGATTTTAATGCTAATATAAAGTATGAATTGCTTTATCAGGATAAACGAATAGAGCAACTAATACAAACAGGAGAGGTAAGACTGTAATTCATATTCTATTAACAAACACCACAAATTTACCACAAACTAACCCTAACACTAACAAATTTGCTTGTCTATCGTAAATAGCAATATAGTGAGTTCTTAATATTTAAATTTCTTCTAAAAGCAAAGAAAGTAGTTAACTATGATGTTCAGTCATAATCTATAGCCATTAATACAGTACAAGCGCACATATAATATTACAAATTTTAAAATCATTAGCTCTGACCTTCTATATGGTAAGCTAAATCTTAACGAATTAATCAGATTCTAATACGCAACCAGATAACTTAAAAGTGTGTCACTAATCACGGCATTGACATTATTCGCTATACTATAAATCTAATCATCAAAATTCCAATTTTTTTCAGGAGGAACGTACGAGAACCTTTGGCGATAAAAAACTTGAAGCAAGCTCGGTAGGACTAGTGACATAATCCATCAGTAGTAAATCAATAGTTCTTCTAAACATGATGACCAGTAGCTCACCAGCGATAGTTAGATAAGGCGGCATATATTTCTCCAAGCTTTACAAGAAACAAGATAATTATCATTATGACTGTAATATACTTGAATTTACATATGCTAAACCACATATAATAAGGTATTTTACTAAATTCAAAGTAAATCGATGATATTTTACGTAATAAGATTAGTAAATATATATGCACGGGCAAGCTAGGTATCTTAAAGTATATTTTAACGTAAAGTATTACATGCAAGTTGCCAAGCTTGATAAAAATGCCATAGTTGTATTGTACTTCAGATTTCGTCAGATCTTACTTTTATAATGAGTATTAGATAGCATCGGAACATTTTTTAGATATTAATGATATACAGATTTACTACAGAAGTACATACAGTAGTATGTGTTGCAGTATGCGAAGTCTAATTCAGCTTCAAAATTATCGGCTTAACGGTTAAGGCTGACAAAAGTTACGGCTATAACTATCCCCAAATTTTACCAAAGGCTCTTTTATAGTAATTGTGATGCGATAAGAGATTTTTAATATGACGGTACTATAATCATGTTAGATGGTAAGCACTTTGAAGCAAAGAATCAATTCTTTAGAAAAGGCTAATCGAGAAAAAGAAAAGGAGATTAGGTAGGTGTATTATAATTTCTAAGCAACAAGCAATGTGAATGAATTATTTATAAAATACTTCCTTGTTTAAAAATATTGATTACGCCTATCGCAAAATATTTAGTAAATTAAAGGACAACATAAAAAATACACAAATAAAGGAAATTGAAATTCACATGGATTCCTATTATCAAGAGGTAATTAAAACCAGGATACGATCAATGCCAATAGCTAGAGCAAATGAAGCGGGTTATGGCATAGCTCCATGTTATGTGGTCATTATTTAATTTTTCTTTTTTAGGAGTTGACTATAACTGTGTTTTAGCCTTAGAATCAGATTAAATATTTAAATGAGCAAAATCGTTCAATTAAGTTTTTACTCGAAATCGAAAACACGAATATGATATCCGTCTGGTACATATAAATTAATTTACATTCTATTGTGTCAAATTTCAAGATTCTTAGGTTACAAACTTTATTGAAGGCGAAATCAGATTCTATTGTACCCAAAAAGTAAGTCGAAGATGTTATTTAAAACAAAAGTGATACGTTACTTATATAGCCAGTAGTATAAACTTCAGCGTAGATAGAATGAAGACAATTATAAATATGTTTCATTTCATTATCAAGATTGATTACGGGGCACGATGAAGATAAAGCAAAATTAAAATCATTAAGCGAAACGGTATCTAAATTGAAAGGTAAGATAACTTCAAATATCAATACTTTATAGTTATATAACAACCATGAGGTACATAGTGATATTGATCACTTGCTATGCGACTAAAATTATTTTCCTATTCCACAGAAACAAACGAAAAATTGACAGAAGAAAATGAAACTTTGACAACCGAAATAGATAAACTGAAATCAGAAGTAAAAACTACTACTACTGCTAAGAAAACTTCCAAGTCAGCTAAGGCTCAAGAAGAGATAGATGAAGGTTTATATAAAAATACGAGATCATTAGCCAAATAATGTATTAATTAAATATTCGCTGCCATCGATAAATGAAATCGTTTTTTAAGTTTAATAAAATATATGCGGTAACCGTTTTCTTCGTTTAGATGCCTTGGAACAGTTATCCAAGAAGGAAATTATTAGGAAATTTTCCCTATTAAGCAAGGTATAATTTGATTACGGTATTTATACTTATTTATTAAATTTATGTAGCATAAAACACGGTTAATTTATTTTCTGTCATAGAAATTTTCCATCTGACTGAATGGAAATTAACAAATATACAGTGCAATTAAAATAGAACAATACTGTATTCTAATGTCATTAACCATTTTTAGAAATTACATGTAGCCGATGATGATTTAAAAATGCTCGGTGGCATGACTATCGAAGACGAGAACAGCAATGATTGTAAATATTTGCTATAATTGCTATCTTAGATTAAAGTTTTATTTCTACTTATTCTGTTGGATATAATATTTCGTAGCTAAGAAATTATTTATCTTTATCTAATATTAGCTAAACCAACTCCATTGCAAGGATCACTGGCTGATCGTGTCAGACAACTTCAAGCTCGAGAAATTGAATTGTTAGACGATCGCAAAAAATTAAGAGCGGTAGTCAAAAAGCTGAAGGAGGACAGAACTCATTACAGAAATTTAAGCGACACACTACAGTAAGCTAGCATAAGTCCACAGAAGCTTAATAATAAAAACATATACATAAATGGAATTAGTAGCAAACTGAGGTATATCGAAACTTAACATCATGATTCACGAGTGTGAAATATCGGAGAATTAAAGATAATTAGACATTTTGATATACTTCCTTGGTTGCAAGGCAATATATAAAATGTCAATCAGTTAGTTAGATTAGTATATAAGCATGTAGGAAGTACCATACGACTGAAAATTAATGATTCTAATGAAATTTCGTCATTATATACCTTAATGTATAAAGCTATCGAATATGGCGTTTTATTAGTAATAGCAATATACTTTCGATTATAGGATATAAGAGTATCCTTTAAATTTTCTTTTTCGTTTACTTATCCAATCATGCATTCTTGTTGCTACATACAGACTTAAGTATGTTACTATTATCGTTGGAATTTGAACATGAAATTATTCTTAATCTGGATGTTAACTATTGCAGGAAAAAATTAGATGATGGTGGTAGTAAGGGCAGCTTAAAATCAGTAGGAAATCGTCAGCAGAGTGAAAGCTCTGAAAGGTAGCACGAAAATATAACCGAAACATTAAAAATATAGTAGTTATTCCTTCTAATGTATTCGTACGTTTCAAGGAATAAGGGGAATGATACTAATGAAGATGATAAAGCGACTAAAAGAAAAGAGGCTACGAGTTTAGCTAAGCAACTAAGCAATGTACGTCGGTTTTTATGATATTTCTTGTTTAATACTCATCAGAGTAAATTAATTACTATTAGCTATCAAGAACTCAGATCTACTAGTATTTATTCGATATTGACGTAAAAATTTTCTGCTAATTCGATATTGATCCTATGAACAGATCCGAGAGCAAGATGCTAAGTTAGACCCAGAAGAGGTTAGCCTGAATTTGAGACAATTATAGTATATCCAAGTTTGAGTGTATTAGATTACGAATAATTATACGGAAAGTTAATAAATACCGTAATCATTAAATAAATATTTACCTTAATAAAATTCATGTAACTTAGAGATGGTTAAAATTATGTGGATATTTCCATAATTGAAAGCACTATTTTCTTATATTAATTAATTAATTTTGGACGAAGTGGTGCATCTTAATTCAATCAGCAATAAGGGGACATATGAATCGCAAGCAGTTTCTGGATGATCCTAATGCTTATATTAGGAAATCAGTTCCATCCGATGATGAGGTTACAACCTATAGTACCAAGTCAAAATTTAAACTAGGAAGATCGTCTAGCACAAGCAGTCAGGATGGAGGTTCATTTCGAAAGCAGTCCCTTTTTAGGTATCTTATAAAATTAGAAGTATATTTCATAGTATTACCTGCGCGCTCTAAAATCAATGATATCTCTATATCGTACAAAAGAGTGCTAATACCAAAGCGAAAATCAATAAATCAATGTTATCAGTATATTAAAATGCGCTCGCTTTCTGCTTGTTGGTAATTTTTATCATAGATCATCCCGTTATCAGCTTCGAGTAACATTAAGATAACCGTGTCAGTTTAATTTTAATGTAAATCATGGCATAAGTAGCATTCTTTCACTGAAATACGATGGAAAGTGAACAAGAGGATAGCTTTAAATAACGTTTAATTTCTGTGATTAATATATATTCAGTCATAATTATTGTCTCATAGATAATGTCAGTTAAAGTTAATTATATTATATAATTACTTGAGCTTTCAATAATGTTACGATTATCTGTAGTGGAGTTATTTATCAGATTTTTTAATAAATCTATGATATAATTTGGATAATCGTGTAGTAGCTCAAGAGATCAGCAAGAACGATACAAACGCTCCGCAAAGCAAGACATAGATTCTGATGAAAATGCTGGCAGTGCATGGAGAAGTCGATCAAGTATTTACTTATTCATATTGACAGTTTTAAAAATAGACAGTAGCGGATAAGCTTTATTTTCAAATTAAGTCATTTAGTCTCTAGATGCTGATCGCATCACGTCCATAATACTGGGATGAGAAACTGTCGTTTAGTAACTCTAAATCTAATTTATAAATAAAATTTATATTTCAAATGTAAATCTAACATAAACCAAACATATCTTGTATACTAGTGGATCATGACAACAGAAAAACATCAAGGTACGCAAATGATAAGTCTGACGATGAGGATGATAATGATTACAGCTATCGCTCTCGTTCAAGTGCAACTTCGAGAGGTAAGAAAATATCTACAAAGTATTAGCTTACAATAAAGCGGAGAACAAGAATAGTTTATTTGACAGACATCAGTAACTATTTTCGAACAAAAATAAATAAATGAATGTTTATTAAGCAGCTTTATGACGAGAATAAAGCACTCATTAAATTTCGATAAACATAGAAAAACTCTATGAATATTTATTGATCAATCACATGAGTATCTGTTATTTCCACGTTTACTCAGGTAAAAGAAATTCCAGAGTAGATCAAAATTCCGAAGATTCTGAATCTTCAGATGATGCTGTACAAACTTCGAAAGGAAGAAATACTTCTTGTTAGTATAGTTAATTTTAGGCTTACATAATGTTATATTTAATTTTCGAAAAAATCCCTCACTAGATGAATTAGAACTGAATGAATCAAAACAGCCGCATATAAATTTTATGACATAAATACGAACTAAGATATTGATAAATATAATCTATCATTTCATTATTATTTAGCATCTTACAAAGATCAGAAAAAGCCTAAAGCCACATGGGGCTCAAGCCGACTATCTTCAGATGATGATGATAGACATGTAAGAATTTTAGATTCGTCGCATTAAAAATATAACTAGTATTGCTCTGCGAACGTAATATCACAACTTTTTTTTACAGTATTAGTATTGAGATACTAATAGCACTGGTATTATTCCATTATCAATTAGCATTCTAGCAAGCAAGGGAAAAAGGGAAAGAAAGGAGCAATGAAACATAGTTTGAGTGGACGCTATGATGTTAGTGCATGGGCTGTCGATGGTGATGACCTCTATGGTAATAATAATAATAATCGATATGGACATTCGAAAAGAAACGACAGATTGTCGAAAGGGGATGAATTATGGTAGCATTGTCCAAAAGGAACTTGAATTGATTTTATGGTACACCTGATGAGGAACTTGCATTTTTTAAGCTTATTATAGTACAGGGTAAATTTATCAGATTAATCTGTATGCATTTTACCATCTTCTATTAGCTATGATATATCGTTCTTTGAATTAGAAGGCAGTAATAGTGAATCAATCGCTTATATTCTATCCATGACGACTAATTTTGATAGTTTATTATGTAGGTAATATATAAATGCATACATATAACGTTAAATCTCTATGCTTTTAATGTCTTCTATTTAAAGTATGAATAATTAAGTCACATGCTGTATCCTTGCCTTTATTTTCTAATACAATTCTTCATCTGTTACTATGTACAAAGCAGAATAATAGTAAATCAATTTGTATATTTATTAATTTTGAATTGGATTGCCTTGAATACAATCTGAATAAAACTTGATAATTAAGTTTCTTAAAATTAACCATAGCGTATTATATTGCTTGATACGAAAGATATAAGTGACTATATATATATATATATATATATATATCACTCCAATTAATTACTACACGACTATTATACGAGTTTCGCCTATAATGGTTCACTTAAAAGAGAGTTAAAACAGAATAACATAAGCTAATATGACTTACCTTTGTGCTATAAGCAGACTATTGGAAGGATACTAGATAAATTAATGTTACTATATTTAACGAGCACGTATTACTGCATAAATCAAATGAATAAAAAATTTAGCTTATCAAAACATTTTCTGTTTTGTGGGTGTATCAGTGGACGACTGATCTATGATGTAAAAAATTTTACCAAGAGAGGTTAAAGTATATTAAGAATACGATATATTATTTATTATTTATAAGTGGGTTCTTGTACAGTCTATAGTAACTAATTCAGGAACTGAATGATCGTAATATAAATAGTCTGGACTACAATTAATTTATGCGTACAATCAAGTAAGAGTTAAAGAACTACAGTACTTGTTTAAACACTTATAACAAAATATTTATGCATTGGATGGCTGTAAGAGATTTTAAGGCTCATCAATACAATTGTTTACGATCCGTACAAAATACAATATTTCGACATGTGCGATATTAAATCCTAAATAATGGATGAGGTTGTTGACGATAAATTATCCATCCTTCCTTAAATTATTTAATTCATATTTATTCACAGTTTATTATCCTAAATTCATACCTACAATTCTCAAAACAGCGAATTAAAGGCTGTTAGAAAAGCCTTTGACCAAATAGGCATTTAGCATTACCTACTGCGATTTGAAGCGCCGTAAGTAGCTAAATTATAATTTAATGCTTTTAAGCGCCAATATAGAGTAGAAAATATACATAAAAATTTAAACTACCAATAACATTAGCAATTTTGGGGGATTTAGAATAAATAACCTGGACGTTAACAATGGTTACTAATTTAGCAATCTCTTTTATTAGCTTGTAATACGTATTCATAATGACCATCTCTTAAATTAATTATCATAACTATATTAATTCAGTTTTTGGTTTATTGGTTGCCTTGAATACGGATTCCCAATTGAATCCTACTGAATAAATTATTTTGTCCTGCAAGCGCTTGATAATTCAATTTAGCTACTAGATAATGTTTATTTTATATCCAATAGTATTGCCATGAATAATAGCGAGCTAATTTGAAGATTTTATCAGTCTTTTAGAAAATCTATAATTAGGAATAAATTAGTTTTTACCGCAATTTTTATCGGTGAAAATTATAGAATTGTTTTGGAAACCATTTTCAGTCACTTATTTAATATTAATTAACTTGGTACATGGAAGGTGTAAATCGTTTAATTAATTGTTATTATCATTATAAATTCCAACAAATACAAAGGTGTTACTCCTATTAGTGTAATATACTGGACTAGGCTTTTGCTCAATAAATAAACACTGTCGATAAAGTTCATAAATAGTATTTATTCTCCTAAGTTACGAAATTAATTAGGACAATAAATTTAGCCATATACAGGAATATAGCGCTTGAATTCAATTCGAAATATACATAATAGAACACAGTAATAAATGTATCAAGTTATGTGTAGTGTAATGATGTTCTGGAACTGTTCTGTGTTAACAGAAAGTATCATACTACCATCAAAAAGTAGAGCGGCTGTATATACAACGACATTACTAGGGATAGTTTAGACCAAGATATACCAAATTGGTTTCTAAATTCAACTTTATGCCTTCTTAATATCAAATTTTATCTATCCAGTCCAAGTGAGATTTTACTTTGCTTAATTTTTATCTTATTCAAATTGTATCAATGCTAAAATAATTTACTACATACTATTAAGTATAAATCTTAAAATAAAGGTTACTCTTGCCGTAAGATTACCCTTTAAGTTTGTTGCATTTACTTAGACTAGTTAATTCTTGTGCAATTAGTAGTGACGGCACTATAAACGTTGGGATCAGCTTTCAATTTACAAAGATTTTTGCGAAAGCGTCTGCAGTAAAATAAGGTCGCTACTCGAATTGAATATATTTGCTGATTTCAGTAAGTAGATATGTTTACACCCATGTAAGTATTTGATTAGAAAAAATAATTTTTTGAAATAATTCATTTCGTCTTTATAAATTTTAATCAATACGATAAGTAAAAAAGTATGTTGCTATGAGTCATTTCTAAATTATTAATTAGCAAAGCAAATGAGCAAAGGAGTCATTCATCCAAACTATGCAATCCTTCCTCCAAAATAGCTTCTTAGTTACATTATAATGATGAATACATGATGTATAAAAGAAATCAATATTGTACAAGAAGTCATAAGCGATAATTTCCGTTTATTCCTACTCACATACTAAATTTGAACAGATTTAAACATAGTTAATACTATTAAAAGATGCCCAACAAAAATAAAAGGTAATACATTGATGTCATAAATTTTGATGGAATGACAGGCAATCATTAAATTTTACAAATGACATTTCTCATAACTTAACAAAATGTGCCTACTCGGATTATTTTGATGCACTAGCAATTCTATTGAATACAAGAAAGCTTAATTCTAACTTAATCCCTATTTTAGACAGTTTAGTTGATGTTGTTAAATGTCTAGCACTCCAATCAGCACGTTACATAAGTTCCTACAGATCAGTATATCAGATTTAACAAATGTAGGCTATTCATAAAACGTTAATACTAAATTATTAGAAACGCATTGACGATACAAGTTAATCGGTGAATCAATTTGATTTGCGAAATTAAAAATTTTAGGAAATTTCAATTCAATGATAGTAAATTTCTGACTTGTACGCCACTAACCCTCATTTGATCTAATTGAAAATAACAAAAGTAGACGAAAACATATTATCCTATAAATATTATTATGTAATTTTCTAAAAGGTTTAAATTAGATAGAAAAATAAAACATAAATATCATATTAATAATTTAAGCAATAATACTATTTTGTGATTTCGAAATGGTTGTAGTTTCGGAATGCGATAAACCTTTACTATGGCAACAGCCAAGTTTTCTATAAAATCGACGAAATAATCGTGAGGATAGTAAGGAATAAATGATAGGATTAAACGCTGCGTTGGCGAATACCAAAAAGAAACAAATTGGAATAATACCGTGATGAATTCGCATATTTGAATCTTGTATTAATATTACAATAACAGTAAATGGAAGAAAAGCAATAAAACTAGTCATCGTAATGAGGACTACTAATAATAAAATGCGTTTCTCGCCTGATGAACCAGATTCTACAGGTCTAACAGCCATTCGTGTTTTACGTATATGGTGTGCAATAGCTAGGTATAAAGCGATCATGATTAAATATGACAAGCACATGATAGCAATCGTTATAAATACCATAGATTTCAATAATATATCATGAAAACTACCAACGTAACATAAATTTACAAAAATATTATAACTGTCACTACCATCATAGTCGATAAAAAATCTTGATCTAATAGTAATTATGAGTGAAATGGATATACCAATGAGCCAACATAGAACAACGATTATTTTACTACGATTAAGATCGATTTTGTATCTACTATTAATGAATACGAAAGTAATATAACGATCAATAGCAATAAATAATGTTATAATGTGCGACATGGTTATACTGACGGCTAATAACATTCTAGCGACAGAGCATGCTGGGCTGATTAACCATAAATTTGTTCGATTGGGCATACGATTATTGCCCATGCTATAGAGTTTAGGCTTATTAGTAGCATAATATGCGTCACTTGCTACAACCAGTAATAAGTACAGTGAGCCACATAGATCGGCGACGGCTAAATTTTTAATTAAAAAAATGGAGACACGATTTAATTTAATGGTTGTTTTCTTAACAGTTCGAGGTTGATGAGTATTACTGGCAGGAGCTTGAGTGGTATATGGGCCAACTCTAACTGATATTTTTCTTAATTTTGCTCTTTGAAGTATGACATATAAGTTGGATAGGATACCAATACATGATAGACACCAAGCGACGCTTTTAGCGGTAATATTATCCTCAAGTAAAGAGTAAGTCTCAACCATGACGAAAGTAACTTGTTACCTTCAACTTGAAGAACTTTAATGGTCGTCGAATAATTTTATAGGTAAACAAAATTGAACATTAGCCTCGATAGAATAAGTAGCCAGAAAGCTTGATAGAGTACAGATCGTTCGACTGCCACAATGTTGGTTAATGCATTAGCTTAAATAGTATAGGATTAATATATCCAAAATGGTTTCTTTTGGAGCTAATATCAGTTGATTGCGACTACTACACAATACTTCAGACTACTACTATCTAGGGTATCAAAAATTTTATTTAAGCAAAATGAAGTGGATATGATCAAGAAATCACATTATAATGTGGCCAAGCTGAATCAAAATAAAAATGCATATAACACCAAGATGTGTCTTATGTAGTGATACTACGGTTTCCTTTTTTTCACCTTTAACTTGTAATCGTTGATGTTCTCCTCGTTGTAAATAATTAGTAAACATTAAAGTTACAGCTACTGCTTTTTAAATAACTATCAAAATTGAATCAATAACGATGTTTCAAGTATGATGTGTAGTATTTACTTTACATTCATAAAATTGATGATAGCTTGATTGATACCAACTCAACTAAATAGAAATGTTGAGATAATAAAAAATCGACTATAAATTATTGGCTAGGGATGAATTATATCTTCATCAACTGGCAATCATTGGACAATAGCTGAAATTTTGGATATCAGTTGTTGTTGTTATCAATTTTAAATCAGACAAAGCCATTGTCTCGTTATAAAATCCCGAATACACTGATATAATCAGCCGATAGTATAGTAGTAGTAATAGCCAATGTATTATTATCGTAATTTGCTGTTAGCTTAATAGCAGATTTGACCATCAAATTTCATGAAAGAGGACGTTTTATGATGATATTAAAGGTATATGCAGGTGATATTTTAATTGAATATGAATAATGATTGTGATAGATACAGTATTGAGTAAAAAATTGTAATTGTCGAATGGGCTAATCAAGTTATGTAATCAACTGAGTGGTATAAAATTACTCTACCAGAAATGTTTCTATCTAAACATTGCCTAGATACCGTAGCAACGTATCACGTAGACGATAGTTGAGTAAATCGTTGTTTAATCTTCACTATAATTATATACTATGAAGAAGCGAACTGAGTTTGTACATCACACCAAGATTGAATTAAGAAAATTATCAATTATAGATTGATTTGATAATGCAAGATAAATATCGCTGAATAAATGTCATTAATTAAAACCGTTATTCTAGACGGATTTATCAGTAGAAGAAGATGGAATACTAATACTAGCTTTTAATTCTTTTAGCCATTTAATCGAATACGTAACAAAATGAAATAGAAGACACTGATCGGTCTCCGTGATAAAGAGGAAAACTTGCCGCAGTTATCAAACCTTGGCAAGGAATTGATAATTAAGACAGCCGATAAGCAGATATTATCATTTTATTTATATTTATTCTTTTCCATCAAAGTTATTGTACCGCGACGATCTAGCTTTGACCATTTATTGCTCCTTTGACTACGTTTTCTAAGTGGTGTACACTATTGTCTACTAAAGTAATAACAAGTACAGGTCTTCTTGGAGTAAATATAATTTTACAAAGCTTATTTTTGTTTTCATGTGTTGTATCTTCCTACTTTAGTGATGTATGAAGCGGTAACAATATATCCAATTTATCATTATTTATTTTAATGTATCATAATAGCTTTCAGTCTCTGGTTTAGTTTAAAAATTGAATAATTGTAACCGGAGGAAAAGTTGTTGTCAAATTTTTGACTAAGATAAAAGAATCGTCATGACCTTACATATTATATTGGATAAACTTTCTCGTAATTCTATTGAAGAATGATATTGTTTTAATATATCTGTCTTGCATCCTTCAGATTATTGTCAAGTTTTAATGGCATAATTTGTCCATGCGCTATTTTTCGATTTTCGTTATAAAAATGATCGAAATATTAAGCAATTATAACATCGATGAATTCAACTGTAGATTGCGAAAGGAAGTATCGGAAAGTGATCTTATATTGATTACAGTTGGATTCAATTTTTGAATGCCGTAGGCTTAATGATTACGTAAGATTTTAAAAATTGGACTTACGTTTGTCAATTTTATCTGCTATTAACTTAAAATCTCTAGAATGAATATCTGTGAGTGTTACAGTAAAATTGATTATGAGAGAAACAACAATGGCGGTCCAGTACTGTAAAACCAATCATGTCGAATCATTTAGTTTGACCGACCATCAATCATAGCTAAAACAATTTTAACGTCATTTTAAGCCTTAAGCTGCGGTAACTCAATAGATACGTAAGTCAATAACAACAGAATGAATTACATTGTCATGACATTGCATACTCGTACATAATACTAAATAATGCATTTCAACATCACTTTCCTTGGAAAGGATTACACTGACTACCTAAAGATATGTATCATTATGCTGTACTTGCATGCATGGTCTTCTATCAAAAAGCCCCTTGTAGTCTACGGTAGTTTCTCAATGATTATATACTCCATGTACAGATGCCGAAAAGTATTATTCTTTGAATCACGGTATTATGTACAACTAACAATAGTGCCATAATGACTATCATCGCTATGGAAAACATTTAACTCTCTGTAAATTCTAAAAGGATAACTCTACATATAGTAGTTTGACATAATAGATTGTATTAGTCAAAGAGCTTTTCAATACCGCTAAATGGTATAAGTGATGAATTTTTTTAGACGAAAGCCTGTAGTTTATAGGTATTGGGCATTATTACTAAATTGTTTTTTTACATGGGTATTCAACTATTTTATGAATCAACCCTTTGATTCAAATTTTTTAACGCTGTCCCATCCCAGTAGGAGGGCACTTTATTTTTTTGTATGCCGCACTTTATTGCTACTGTATACCAAGGATCAATATTCGTATAAATACTTACTCGCATATCCGTACCGTCTATGCTCTTATTCTGAATTCATTTGTTCAATAAAATGACTCAATGCATTCAGACTACAAAATTTGCTATTATATATTATTATAATTACTTTCAATTTTATTTTTGTAATTTGATATTGATTAGTTCGTTATGATAATAATATTTAAATTGCAAGATTACCACGATTAATTTTTACATACGTTTTACAATTATCATCCGTCAACGAATATTTTCTGTCTGAATAACATTGACCTTGTAAAATGGGAATACCAATACATTAATAGCTATAGAAACATGCGTATAGTAAAATTAACTTGATTTTTATTTTTTTCTTCCGGTTAAATTAAAAATGTTAGTTGATAACGACATCATCGATCGTTAAGCCTATAATTTTCTACTTTAATATTTTTTGTGTTCACAATATCAATGAATAACATCGCATGATTAAAGTAGCCGTAAGCTATTATAATAAAATATCTATACCGTTACAAGCACAAGATGTCGACGGTGGCAATACGTAGATGCGCTATAATATTGAATTTTGCCGTATACAAAAAAATATTTTAATACCCTTATATGTCACAGTCATATCTCATTGCATACCGGCATTTGTATTAAATCAATAATGGCATTGTAGGAAATGATATTGCATAACATAAGTAAAGTATTCTGTAGTTATTATTTAAGCTATCTACCCGAACTTATGAAGTATCCTGTAACAATTTGACAGTTATGTCATTGTACTATTAAATGCAGCATCTTGCAATAAGCTTCGTAAGTATTGGATAGGATAATGCGACAACTATATACAAGAATTAGATGTAGTTTGATATACAATACCTTACCTTCTCGATACAGGCTATAATTACTTTTCTCATTATTGAAATCTTGAAGTATGAACTTACAGTTGATAATAGCAGCAGCCAGTAGAGTATTTTGTCCGAAAAATAGATTCTTCAGATAAGTTTTCGATTAGTCTCGATGTTGGACCTCATAAGGCTATAACCCTTCATCGCAAGTTCTACTGGTAAAATAGAACTCTCGACAATTGATCGATGTCTTAAATTGATAACTTAGACGACGATCCATCGATACGATAAATGCCATCGATTCTCAGGTAAGTAAAGTTAATATAACGCAAATACAGGATCTTAACGGAAACTCTCTGTTTAAGCCCCTTTAGGCAAACAACAAGAAGTGAATTCAATCTACAGGACAGGATACACTGTCGATAAGGCAAGTTCAATGATGCCAATATCCAAGAGTCTTGTTTATTCAGGACCGTTTATGGAATAATATACCTTTGTTAGTAACTATATCTGTACAATAGCAAGATGATATGCTTTAGCATAAGAACCGATGTTATCAACCTCTCTTGCGCTTATAGGTCTCATCAACAAACATTACCATGGTCCTATCAAGAAATGATCTACCATATTATTCAATCTCAACAATGGTGAAGAGCGTAAAAAGAATAAAGTAGTCTCTATCATCGCCATCTATCACGTACAAATGATAAATTGTATGATCCTGTGCGCCGCGAAATATAAAAGAGGATCGTGTTTTAGATCTGTTAAAAGAAAGCGATTATTGTATTTTCGGTAAAGTTTTCGCTTATTACAGATATTCAATGACATGACGGAACGTAGTTAGAAAATAGAATTCGTTTTTTTTCAAGTTATTCACGCACACACGTGTATCTCATGACATTGTAGTGGACGCGATGTGGGCCCGTATTTTCAGAATACGGAGAATTGGTGAGTCAAAATGGATGAACTTGCAATATAAATGAAAGATGACAGATGAGTCATCTCATGTGATTGATCAGGCCTGGAAAGTGTAACAAAACCTGTTCTACTAACTGTAATCAGAGTATAGATCATTCAGATCAAGAATCTGAGATTTTGAGCTTTCCTTTGCTTTAGTCTACTTTATTTGGAAGGCCAAGCCAAACGCGATATCATACTGTACACATGTTATCGAGACATAAGAACTGTGACAACAAATCAGCTCTAGTACGAACATAACTTTAATACCATATCCTAATGCACGTGAACATTTGTAGCATGCGA